TTCCCGTCAAAGGCCTCTGGAATTAGAAAATTTTCTGATGGTTCTATTAAGATGTTCTGACCTTGGAGACTTCTCTGTGGTGGATTGAACAGTCACACAGAATTCTCAGCATTTCAATGTTCTTTGTACTTCTTGACACATCACTGCTCAATATATTCACAGCTAAATTGTGCTACACATTGCTGCTTCCTTTACATACAAAGCTCCTTATTTTGGCTTTTTCGCCAACGCAGATACCAAGAGGTTAATTTAGAAATGCTACATCTTTACAAATATGGCCCCTGTAATTACTGGTGGAAGTGTTCTGCCTCAATTAGATCACAATCAATTGTTAACTCTCTGCAGCACTAACTTATTCGGCAGTGCTTTACAATATTATAAATGGGGGGATTTAACCACAAATAAGAAAAAACATGACATATTTGACAGTAACATTAGGTTGATGAGTACCCTGCTCAAACAAGCTTACAAGTAAAGCACCTTCTAGTTGTAGTAGGCTCACTCCTAGTTTTCATACCCCGCCAGTCCTACACACAGGAATCTGATTGGTTCATGCAGTAGGTTAGCTAAATACGTCATTTGGGTTATGTACCATTGTAGGCAACATATACCTGATATCATCATGGAAGCCCTTAGAAGCCATGTTCTGCAAACCTAGGTTCCGGTAATATAGTCTCCGGATAGAGTGGAATTGCAAGGGTCTATTTGGATTCATGATCCTTAATATTAGATATTAGAAGGTGAACCATTCTCGGCAGCTCTATTTTTTAAGAGGATAACTTGTTCCAGGATACCATGTTAAACTAGAAAAACTTTATATAAGCTAAATCAAGGCCATTTAAGTATAAACTTTCTTGGATTTGCAAAACTCTGAATATATTCACCCGTGACAATGCTATCATTAGGTTGATGAAAATGAAGATCCATTTATTGCAGCAATTGTGAGTGGAAAAATGAGCAAAAATAAAAACTTATTAGCTCATCACTAAATAGCAGATAAAAGTGATACGATGTTTGTCCCAGGTGGAAAGCAATTGATAGGCACCATGACAATAACTTCACCTCTTAATTTTTACACTGAATTATAGTTGCTCGTGGTTGTTACAAAACTTCACTCACTTTAACCAGATTACATTCTCAACATCTGGGAATTAATGGGGGAGGGTTGGAGAATTGCAAATGTTTGTCTTCGCGATGGGAGCTAGACTGTATGACAGGACACCTTGCACCTTGTCCTATGCTTTTAAGTCAAGATGTAGAAAAAGCTTCTGATTAAACTCTATATCTTCCTCTAGTATAATATTTAAATGCATAGGTTTGATATACAGTATATGTATTTAAAAAAAAAAAAAAACAATTTACAAGTAGTAATTGCACTTAATCACAATAGGTGCTGGTATCTGGGTCGCCTCCAAAGACCCTCAATACTTTTATACAAAAAAATATACCAAATGATACCACACTCAATAGAATAGATATAACTGAATATACATTTATTAGCAAAAATGCACTAAGGACAAATGTAAGCTATCTTATATAAAGACAAGAGAACACCATATGTTTATATATGAAAAATATCTTATCCACTATACTATAAAGTGCAAAAAAGTGCTAAAGTGCAAAATATCACATCACCATGGTTTCTAAGTGAACATTTATAAAATACAAACATTAATGCCTGTTTAAAAATCCTCTGCACAGAATAAACCACATGGTCCAACAAAACATCAGACTGTACATAAAGGTATTGAGTTGTGTGAGAAAAAATCCTGGTAATGTACATCAAAGTTAAAAAAAAAAATAGGGATCCCAGGACAAAACTCAATTTTGGAAAAAAAAAAAAAAAAGTTCATGGACTGATCTCACCCATGGGTTTGGCTTGGAGGCCTCCTGTTTGCTTTAAGAGTCCCAAATCCAGATGGATATACTCTTCTGTAATGTGTCCCAAGTGTTATCTTTAGAAACTCCCACTGGAGAACAGAGAGACTGGAGATGAATGTGTGCAAAGATGTGGATTTATCCTAGCAGTGGCATACACACAACCCATGGGGCCCCAGTGCGAGAACTGATCCATGGGCCCCGCGCGCTTACTCTGCGCGGGCTGGGGCCGCAACACATAGTGGCGGGCACCTGGTCGTAGGGCTGCGACCCCTGCAATCGCAGTATGTACGCCAGTGCATGCAGATACACATACACTTAAAGGACCACTACAGACACTCAGATCACATCAGCTCAATGAAGTGGTCTGGGTGCCAGGTCCCTCTAGTTTTAACCCTGCAGCTGAAAACATAGTGGTTTCAGAAAAATTGCTATGTTTCACTGAGGGTTAATCCAGCCTCTAGTAGCTGTCTCACTGACAGCCACTAGAGGAGCTTCCGCGATTCTCATTGTGAAAATCACAGTGAGAAGACGCTGAACGTCCATAGGAAAGCATTGAGTAATGCTTTCCTATGGGTGGTTTGAATGCGCTCGCGGCTCTTGCCACGCATGCGCATTGGGAGCTGAGAGGCTGATCGGGGAGGAGAGACCCCAGTGTCAAGGGAGTCCGGCGCTGGAGAAAGGTAAGTGCTTAAGAGACACACACACACACTCTTACGAATAGACGCATACACACAAGCTAACAGACACACACATTTACTGAAATACACACACTCAGTGACAGACATACATACACACTCACTGACAGACATACATACACACTCACTGACAGACAGACACACACTCACTCACTAACACACACACACACTCTAACACTGACACACACACTCTAACACTAACACACACATACTCTAACACACACACACACACACACACACTCTAACACGCACACACTAGCACACACACACACACTAACACACACACATTTAAAAAAAAAAAAATTATATCCCCCCAGCCTCCCTACCTTTGGGAGTGCTGAGGGGATTCCCTGGGGTCCAGTGGGGCTGCCTGGCGGCCGGTCCTGCGGGCGGGCTGGCTGGCGGGCGCACGAGGGAGCACTCTCGTCATCTTCCGGCTCCAGTATCAGTGCGGTGCACGAGGGAGCTGAAGAGGGAGCACACAGGGGAGAGTGCTCCCTCGTGCGCCCACCAGCCTGCCTGCCGGGTGACACCAGGGCCAGCCTCGGGGGGCCCTGAGGTGGCAGACTCCTGCCCCCCTGTCCGCAGGTTTTATTACAATTGACTTATCGGTTTTCAAGTCATTTATTATATATTTTTTAATACTTATTCACTTAAATTGAAAGATGGTCTTGCTCTACTTTATTATGGGTTTTTCATTTTCCAATTTAGCTAATCCAATTATCCCCATGCAGATTACGTTGTTATATTTCTATTTTGTAAAGGATGCAGTATACCCATCTAATTTTAATTTGAAAAACCCCAAACAAAAACTATTTATTTATTGACGGAGCTCCCTTTTATAATACATTGATTTTTACATTTGCATTTAATATTCAGGTAAATCTATTGATAAGTGCAATTAGGTAACTTTATTTTTAACATTTGGCATTTACTTTTTGTATCATTCTTGAGAATAATTTATCACAATCCATGAAGTCTAGATATGCGCTGAGAATGTCAAGATTGGTCAAGTGTTTTGGTGGAGTGCATACTAATTTGTATATCTGAACTTTTCTCAAGCAAAACCAATTTAAGGTACCTATACCCCATGTAACGTCACTTTTTTGAATGCTTGACAAAAGCTCCATGTTATTATTTATTTGACCCATCATGAGTATATATCATGACCAACTTCCCTCTTCTTTACTCATTCATTCTTCATTTCTGTCTCCCCCATCAACCTCTCTCTCCCATCAGTTTCTAGCCCATTGTGCTGCTCCACAATCAATGTTCCCCTTTCATGAGCCTTGCTACCCCACATAGTTGTCCCTTTTCAACGATTGTGATGGATCCAAATCAATTTCTATCTTCATACTTTCCACAGCACCTATTACAGTTACCTTTTAATTAATGCTCTACCCTATCATACCTGGCCCCATGTACTCCCTCTTCAATTGTTTTTCCACATCACATAATTACCTCCCCTCTCATTACTGTGGGTGAGGTGACTGGGTTTGGAAGGCTAGATTGTTGACCTAAGTGACATGAGATTATAATTTACCTACCTAGAGATATGGTCTAATCACTAGAAGACAGGTAAACAAGGGTCTGCATTTCACTCGCCACCACCCCTAGAATAATCAGGATATTCTTTCAATATCCTACATTTCATTTGTATCAGACCCCCATGACCCTCCACATGTTAGCACTTACAAACTCAAATATATATTTTTATAGGCCTTTAAATACCAGTCTCCTCCACTAGTTGCCAGCAGTCTGATAAAACGTTTTCACACATTTTACACATCTTTTACATAATCTTTGTTTTTGCTTACCTTCATATCAACGGTGGGTCCTCTTACAGGCCATATAGACATAACTTTCAGCTTCTTCTTTCACAGCTCATTCTATTACTTTTTAACACAACACATTATCACATACAGGGGATTATCACACAAAGACAAACATCCCTATATTAACTCCCATAATTATAATGTGACCTATGTATGCTACATTTTGAACTTGATATAAAAGCTGATCTGGCTTATTGATGATTGTGGGTTTTTTAGTATATTCCTAAAACAAATGTGTTACTCTAAACTTCCATGTATATTTCATTCAGTAAAACCAGTTTTTTCATTAGTTTCTGGATATACCACTTCATAATTAAAATGTAGTTCTCACATATAAAGACATAGCAAAGCTTCTCCTTTGCCTTTTTCCTACCCACCATTCATCTTGCATGCAACATCCATACAGCATATTTTAATCTCGTGTATCAGCACTGAAGGACGATGTGTGACACACAGGAGAATTAGAAACATGATGCACTGATAATCAAAAGCTCAGAAAAAAACATGTTCTTGACATATAAACAGATATATGGAGCCAAATATAGGTGAAAATGCATGAGACCACAATGCAAAATCCTTGCTTTTATTGGGGACATTGAACATTATGAAACAGATATATATTCAGATAGATGGACTTTCCTTATGCAGTGCATTCTCATAGCTGATCAGTGATATGTGCACTTCGACGATGGGAAATATATCATACTATACTAATACATTTCTTTTCACCTTTAAACAATTACCGGTAACAGTTAAATATTGACATACTGGACTTATCTGAACGTTGTTTACTGCATTTTCCCGTTTGATCAGTTTTATTCAGAAGACACAAATGTACATTTTAAAATGCTTTGACTTCATATGTATTTAACATGTTAAAGAAACACTCTTTAGACTTCACACTAGAACAAAGACACATGGTTATAGCTCTCGAATAATACAGATACACAAAGGTCTTAAACATGGTATTTAAAAATGACAACAACAACACAAGACTAAAGAGTGTAGGTTTTGCCCTGCTGACATAAAAAGTGTGTTCTTTAACAGGCACACACAATTTGCAAACAAACTCATAACACTTACTTCAAACATTGATGAACAGATTGAGAGTCGGACATTACTCCTGCTCTTTTCATATAAATATAGATTTTTTTTCCCTTTAAAAACACAGTTTTCAGCCCCTGCAGACTTTAAGTTGTAAGTTCTTTGATCCTCTGCCGCAGGCCTTTTGTAGAAGGAACCACATTTTAAATCTCAACTTCAATGTTTGTTTACTTGGTCAAGTATTAAAGACAGAATGTTACTTTATGGACAGTCTTGTTCTGTTATATTTGATGAACCTGTGCCTCCCTGCAGATATTAAACCATAAGCCAAAGGAACATAGAATACAGTATCATGGCTACATTCCCATTTTGGATAGACAGTATTTTAAAAACAATTTCCAGCAAACTACAATTCATTTAATGAAGACGTGGGTTACAAGTAAAACTCACCATTAGATCTTTGTAGGACACAGTATTATTGTTAAATCCACCTACATAGATGCCAAAAGTGTTACTTGTTTTTGAACAGCAGAGAAGCCAATGGAACTTTATCCTGTTCTTTGAGATGTTACCATTTTTGACAAGTAAAAAATATGGCAGATTCAGGCTTGCTCCAGTGGAGACGTTCTACCCTATTCTTCAACTTTAGCATCTCCTGCAAAGGGCAAACAGACTGTGTGCATCATACGTCATCCAGCCTGTTCTAGTCATCCAAACAGCAGAACTTCAAGGAGTATAATGAGCCACTAAAGTCACGGCATGTTCTTTTTGGCAATCAACCACACCATGCAAGGGGCAGTCAGTAACAATGTTGCTAGCTTTATCTTCTTCAGAAGTTGGAGGCTTTGTAGAAGCTGCATTAAAGGCAATGTTGTTATTTGGTGCCTTACGTGGGGTCAAGCAGATTTTAGTTGTTTTGGAAGAGCATTTGTTACTGGAAGTTTGTGGCCCGTCACTGCACCGAAGAAGAGCAATGAAGCATCTGTAAAACTACGAGAAGAAAAAAATCCATTATGGAATCAAATAGAAAATAGAAGATCACAGACACAAACACAGCCATTATAGTTAGAATTTAAGTTAGTTTTTGGATGCTAGAATGTCTCAATATTTTTTTTATTGATTCATTGTTAAATCGGCATAATCAAAGATAAATATATATATTTATGTAAATAAGTACATACACAAAGCACATGTTAATTAAGGTTTATGGTTTTTTTTGTTTGCATAATTAGCGTAAAAAGGAAGGGAATACTATACATTTGAATTTTGCTGTAAATGCATTGACCACTATTTTAAACTTCTCACATGCAGTATCTGAGCGTACTAAAAAGTATTTGGTAAGAAAAATGGGAGGCATTGGGTATATTCACATCTCCAAGATTAGATTCAGAATTTAATATGCTAACTAAAAAAGATGAAAAAATAGTCATAAAAAATTGGATGTTGTGAAAAAACAAATATTCTGTTTTTTTCTTATTAGTGCTTTGATTGCGAAAAATCAATATCTGTAACATATCGTGAATAAAACTGCACACAGTAAAAACCACTTGCACAAAAATATCCTTGTGTTAAAATGGTTATAATTTGTGAATATATTTGCATAATTAGAAAATTCACTAACAAATTACTGTTGGAAAAATACATTATTAGGGCCTCGTTTTAATATTTTTGGACAAGCTTTTCAAATAATTTCAAATAATTAAAACAATTTGGCTAAACTTTTAGAATGGTTCACTATTTTGAAAAATATTTTAATATGTTGTAAATTGATATATTTTATTTTACACATTATATAATTTTAAAAAATTATATTAAATAATATTTGAACATTTTGAAAATTTTTTTTTAGCGGTTTGAATAAAAATATCAAATAATTTGAAAGGCTTATCTAAAAAATATTAAATTGAGGCCTGGGAGAGCTAATTGCAAAACAAGTGTTAATTATTTGATAACATCTAGTTTATTTTGCCCTTAATGGACGTCACCATAAAAGTCTTGTGATATGCCATTTTTTTACTCTCCATCCCTCTCTCCTACAGAGCCATTCCAATTGAAGTGACCTGCATTTATCAAAGGTTACATTTCTGAGCCATTTCATAAATCTGGTTCAGATTGCATCAAAGTGACATCTAATTGAACACTGTTTCATTCCCAAACTTGAAAGATTCCGCTCCAAATCAAAGCTATCAGGATCAAATAGCCCTAAGGGTCAAACACACTGTGTCCCATTTGTATAAAGGAGCCAATGTCAGAGCATCCTCTTTCTATCACCAAGGCTCTTATATCTCCCGTCCTACAGGAGAGCATATTCTGGTTCTTGAGCCAAGTTTGATCTAGATTGAAAACACTCCGGAGAACATAGTAGCTTTGTGTAAACAATGACCCTGTTTTGTCTGTGAATTTGTTTTGAGAAACAACATATATACAAAAATGGAAACAAAGAGCTGGTTTTTCCTTTTATGTGAAGCAATGGGAATTAGGTAACTAACAGTGAGTTGTGAGTTGAGGTTAAAATAAGTGAGTTGGTACCAAAAAAAATCTCCATTTCAGTTAAGGTCCAAATATATTCCACATATAATAACTTAGTTATTATTCATTGCTTTGTAAGTCACTAGAAATTGATATTTGGTAAATAGACCCCTATGTGTCTGGAACAATAACAACTAATTGGAGGCAAACTGAATTGACTAAGTCCAGGATTCACATGGATGTTTCTCTTCATATCCATATGGAATAAGTCCAAATACAATATAGTTATGGTTGCAATAGCATGTAGCAATCAAATCCCAGGCTTCACAGAGCATTTTTTTTTCATAAATTTAAAGTGATCATGTTTTCTATTCTGGTTTATTCCGTTTTATACTAATCTACTAAAAAGAAAAATTATAACCCAAAAGAAGCCAGAGTATATTTATTTTCTTCCATTCCATTCAATACTTTTTCATTTTTACATTCTTATTTGCCTAAACATTTGCTAGATGTCTGTAAAATCAACCATGGTGGGTTATTGATAATAATTGGCAATAGCATTGTAATTAGTAGTACTCTGCAACTACTATTCTATATATACTTAATTTTTAATTGACAGTGTGCTGGCAAAACATCTAGCAAATGCAAGGAAACAGAGTTAATTAAAGGGACACTATATGCACCAAAGCAATTTCAACATAATGATGCCATTTAGGTGTATAGATTATGCCCTTGCAGTCTCACTGCTCAATTTTCTACAATTTAGGAGTTAAATGAATTTTGTTTATGTCCATGCAGCTATAACCACATGTACCCTGCCTGTGAATCACACAGCCTGGTTGGGGGAAAAAATGGTTTAATTTAGATGGTAATTTGTTTTAGAGGTTTATACCTCCTGCTCTGTAAATTGTACTTTAATCACACACAGGAGGCGTCTGCAGGGCCTAGAAGGCTAATAACAGAGGAGGAGACAATACATTCTAATTTAAACAGACCATGAAGTTTAAACATTAGATCTCTCTTTACAGGAAGTGTTTAGGAAAGCTGTTTAAGTCACATGCGGGGAGGTGTGACCAGGTTGTATAAACAAATTGATTTAACTCCTAAATAGCAGAGAATTGAACCGTGAGAGTAGAGAGATGTAGTCACCAAAACTGCTTCATTAAGCTAAAGTTGTTTTGGTACCTATTGTGTCCCTTTAAGATTAAATACATGTACTTATCCCAACATTAGACTGAGTCAAAACATTATCCTGACGCTCACAGTCATACATTCATAAGTACACATTAACAATAATTCTTGAGAGAAATAGCAGCTTGAGTTTATTACACAAAGGAAGATACAAGTTGCAAGCTAGCTGTTATTAATTTCTCATTTCCTCTATTTACTTTCACTGCAAAGGGCAGAGCATATAACAATGATTGACTGGGAGCTAAGATGGAAGTCCCATGCTAATATAACGTATATAAAATGACAGGACTGCGAGTAAGAGCTAAATATTAAGATAGTAATTTGCACTGAATGCCAAGATGTTCCATGACAGGCTTGCATTTGATATTAATTCAATAAAAAATAAAATTTTTACTTTTTTTTTTTATTTTTATTTTTTATGGCATAAGCCAGCTGCTAGTTTCTAAAAACATTACATAGATCACAGCTGTTCTTTCAATATCATATAGCACAGAGACAGACAGGTAAAGAAGAGTTTAAGATAAGAAGTGTTCATTGAGCTGTTCCTGCTTGCTCTTCTGTTAAATTTAACTTTATAGTGCATTATTTTGTAGTGCTTATTGTGCTGCCTGCATTGAAATCAGTATCTTTATATAAAGAAAGCACACACTCCTATTGGGAAATATTAACCCTTTCAGTGTTACATAGTAGACCCAGTAAGACAAGCCAGGTTCATTTTGATGGTTTACTTCCTCGTAATGCCTTGCCAACTTCAAGTAATCATTTTGAGGACCATTGAGCACTAACAAAATGATCATAATTTAAAACATCAAACATGTTTTAACATCTAAAACACATGTATTGTGTATTTTATATATATATATATATATATATATATATATATACAGGGAGTGCAGAATTATTAGGCAAATGAGTATTTTGACCACATCATCCTCTTTATGCATGTTGTCTTACTCCAAGCTGTATAGGCTCGAAAGCCTACTACCAATTAAGCATATTAGGTGATGTGCATCTCTGTAATGAGAAGGGGTGTGGTCTAATGACATCAACACCCTATATCAGGTGTGCATAATTATTAGGCAACTTCCTTTCCTTTGGCAAAATGGGTCAAAAGAAGGACTTGACAGGCTCAGAAAAGTCAAAAATAGTGAGATATCTTGCAGAGGGATGCAGCACTCTTAAAATTGCAAAGCTTCTGAAGCGTGATCATCGAACAATCAAGCGTTTCATTCAAAATAGTCAACAGGGTCGCAAGAAGCGTGTGGAAAAACCAAGGCGCAAAATAACTGCCCATGAACTGAGAAAAGTCAAGCGTGCAGCTGCCACGATGCCACTTGCCACCAGTTTGGCCATATTTCAGAGCTGCAACATCACTGGAGTGCCCAAAAGCACAAGGTGTGCAATACTCAGAGACATGGCCAAGGTAAGAAAGGCTGAAAGACGACCACCACTGAACAAGACACACAAGCTGAAACGTCAAGACTGGGCCAAGAAATATCTCAAGACTGATTTTTCTAAGGTTTTATGGACTGATGAAATGAGAGTGAGTCTTGATGGGCCAGATGGATGGGCCCGTGGCTGGATTGGTAAAGGGCAGAGAGCTCCAGTCCGACTCAGACGCCAGCAAGGTGGAGGTGGAGTACTGGTTTGGGCTGGTATCATCAAAGATGAGCTTGTGGGGCCTTTTCGGGTTGAGGATGGAGTCAAGCTCAACTCCCAGTCCTACTGCCAGTTCCTGGAAGACACCTTCTTCAAGCAGTGGTACAGGAAGAAGTCTGCATCCTTCAAGAAAAACATGATTTTCATGCAGGACAATGCTCCATCACACGCGTCCAAGTACTCCACAGCGTGGCTGGCAAGAAAGGGTATAAAAGAAGAAAATCTAATGACATGGCCTCCTTGTTCACCTGATCTGAACCCCATTGAGAACCTGTGGTCCATCATCAAATGTGAGATTTACAAGGAGGGAAAACAGTACACCTCTCTGAACAGTGTCTGGGAGGCTGTGGTTGCTGCTGCACACAATGTTGATGGTGAACAGATCAAAACACTGACAGAATCCATGGATGGCAGGCTTTTGAGTGTCCTTGCAAAGAAAGGTGGCTATATTGGTCACTGATTTGTTTTTGTTTTGTTTTTGAATGTCAGAAATGTATATTTGTGAATGTTGAGATGTTATATTGGTTTCACTGGTAATAATAAATAATTGAAATGGGTATATATTTGTTTTTTGTTAAGTTGCCTAATAATTATGCACAGTAATAGTCACCTGCACACACAGATATCCCCCTAACATAGCTATAACTAAAAACAAACTAAAAACTACTTCCAAAAATATTCAGCTTTGATATTAATGAGTTTTTTGGGTTCATTGAGAACATGGTTGTTGTTCAATAATAAAATTAATCCTCAAAAATACAACTTGCCTAATAATTCTGCACTCCCTGTATATATATATATATATATATATATATATATATATATATCTATCTATCATATCTAATACAAAATCGAATTAGAAACTTTAAGTCACCTAAATCAGCATACATTTTGCAAAAGACATATTTAAGTTTAATAACAAAATATTATGGTATATATTATATGTTTTTTCTTTTTTTGTAATTTATTTGCAGCATTTCCTCTTGTGATGGGGTAATGCATGCGCTTAACTCCAGGAAACGTAATTAGTATATGACTGATTATGCATTAGTAGCTGGGGCAGAAAGAAAACAGGTCTCACCATGGATATCCAGGAAGCACGGTTGACGTATAACGTGATTAATTGTGTTTTTCTTTATAATGTTTTGTATTTAGAGTAGATACTGGAGGAGAGAAAGTTCTATCTGTCGAAATAGGGGAAGGAGTGGCGACAATATTCTGAATTCTGCCTGTGGTGCCCAATAAAAGATAAATTATGCTAAAAAAAAAAAAGATGGAGAAGCAAAGGAAAAATCCATTTTATATGTTATATATTTAATAAATATATAATATATAAATATATTTTTTTTCTATTGCTCCTCCTACTTTTCCCTCTGTTGGGTACGAGCTCTTATCAGTGTAGTGCAAAATATATACATAATATTATATTATTATGCATATATTTTGCAGCACATCGATTGGCAAATTTTCACATTTTTTTTGGATTGTTCGACTGAATCCATTTCCAAATGAATGTTCAACCGACATCCAGCTGAAAATTTGGATATCTTGAAAAAAATGTTCTATCTTCGGAAAAAATGATTTGGCAGAACTGAAATTTCTTGCCACGCACTGTGGATGCAAACTACAAATATGGCACCAGACAGAACATTTTAAAGAATTTACGTATAACACACACATATCTGAAGCAATTTTGATTCACTGAACATTTCTTAATAAGGACTGATATGATGTTAAATAACCTTCAAATATTTTTGGGGGGTTTCTACGGCATTTACCAGAACATAAGAACAATTATGTCAATTCAATGGCTAAGTTCATTAAGCAATTACAAAAACATTCGTACAATGGAAGGCGATAAGACTTCCACTTCTCTTCTCGTTGTCTGTTGATACAATCTATAACAAAAGGGGATTTGACTGTGGCATTACAGCTTTCACTTATTCTATTCCTAAAATTACTTTTATAAAAAGACAATGTAGCTTTTCCAAACATGACTCAATATCACAAAATTATACCCATAGTGGCATGAATGGTAAATTAGATATATTGATTAGACTTTGTCTATAAAGTCTTGCAGGCATTAATAAAACTGTGAATGTATAAAAAGGTATAAAAAAAAAGCTAAGTCAATTTTCTGTAAATATCAATGCCTTTACCTACTGTCCTACTGTTTGAATCCTGCTGGGTTTGTCATTGACTTTTTCATAATAAAGAGAAAGGGAGATGAGCTTCAATTTTGATACTCAGCTGTGCATTGTGTTGTAGTTCTATTAACTAAAGTAATGGAAAATAAATAGGACATAACTACTGGATCTATAAGAAAGTATTATCTGTTGGTGAATTATTTTTTATCTGAAAACCTCCAATCAGTAATTTCATATAATGATAATGGGAGGAAGTCAAATTACTTTTTGTGTGCAGTTTAGGATATAGAGAGCAACATTTGTAAATAAAAAATCCCATGTCTTGAGATTTCACATAATGCATAAACTAGCATTATATTGTGGTTTAAGCAGCACTGTTACCAATAAAAAAAAAAATCTTTACTTAATTCACTTTCCTTTGGCTCTTTGTGGCCGAATCTCTTTTTCCTGATTTTTTTACTGAGCGATCTAGTTTTTGAAACATAAGATAAAGTAGGCAGTGTATAGCAGTCAACAAAACTTGACAAAACCTGACATTGGACAGAGATTAGAGTGACACAGTAGGCACGTCATTAACCCAAGTAGCACGGAGGGGATGGGTGTTTTGGGGACTCGAGTTTAGCATTAAATATTAACCATTTACGGAGGCACTTTTTCAAGAGAAAATTAAGAGAAATTAAGAAAATGTGTTATTTTCCAGTTTCTGCATGTCATTTTAACTGTGAATAATACAGTTAGCTTTTACTGCAATGAAATACACATATTTGTATGCTGTGATGTCCCTCATATACAACCATGTACAGGTTTCATGGTGTTTTGCACTCAAAAAACTTTAGATCGAGTTCATTACTTCATTTAATAATTCATTGTTATATTATATGGATTTAACTCATTAATTACAAAAAATATACTCTTAAATCAAAAAATTGATAATATTAAATCAAACAATATGTATTAGTAGACAAAGTACATTATGAGCCTACTAATATAACTCCATGTAACTAAAGATCCCTGACCACAGATTTGTGAATCATCGAGTTATGCTGTATTACTGTATCTTAGAGTCCAAAAGTACCATCCAAAAAAGGGTAAATTAGAAAAAAAGGATCAAAAAATAAAAAAATAAGAAAAAAATGAAAAAAGTGAAAATAATGAAAAAGTACAAAAAGAGAAAAATAAGTATATACAGTCCCAGTGTGTACATACTACAATATATGGGTGGATCTCATCACATTCTCCATGGCTCCTGTTTTCAGGCTGTATGTGTATCTTGACGTATAAGTCGTGGTGCAATGGTAGATTCCTGTAGTCATTGTCAATCTTTTATTTCTCCCAGATTGTATGTAAAAGAAATCCCTCACTTCTCCTGGAGGTACCAGACTCTCTCCTTCTATCTGCTGGTACAGGGTTTTTTTCTTATTTTTTTATTTTTTGATCCTTTTTTTCTAATTTACCCTTTTTTGGATGGTACTTTTGGACTCTAAGATACAGTAATACAGCATAACTTGATGATTCAAAAATCTGTGGTCAGGGATCTTTAGTTACATGGAGTTATATTAGTAGGCTCATAATGTACTGTGTCTACTAATACATATTGTTTGATTTAAGTGTATATATTATCAATTTTTTGACTTAAGAGTATATTTTTTGTAATTAATGAATTAAATCCATATAATATAACAATGAATTATTAAATGAAATAATGAACTCTATCTAAAGTTTTTGAGTGCAGTATCATTTTTTGGTAATTTGTATATTTTGAGGTATATGGGCCACCTTGATACTTTGCACCAATACGGATGAAAGAGTGTCTGTACATAGAATCTTTTTTCATGATGTTTTGGAAAGTTAAAGGGTCAAAAACTGCAATTTTACTGATGATATCATAATTTTTATACATTTTATTACTCTAAAACACTAATATTTGTGTTCAGCAATGTCTCACGAGTACAACAGTATTCCCCATGTACAGGTTTTATGGGGCTTTGGAAAGTTACAGCGTCAAATATAGGACTTGCTCTTTTCAGTTTAACAATGATATCTTAGGCCATGTTGCCTAATGATGTCCCTCAGTGGTAGCAAGTAAATTGCGAATAGCATGGGAGACAAGATGGATCCTATTATTGTGAGATGTTTGGACTACCCACTTTATCACAGATGCAGGTCCATTTAAAGGTTATACTTTTATTTGCGCTTCTTCAAACACATGAATTCCATTTTCACAGGACATTTCATAATCCTGATATATGTCATATAAATAAAACCCCATTATTTGGATTTAACAGTGTCTCACAAATATAAGAGAACCCCTATTTACCAGTTTTCCCGTTTTTTGGGGGAAGTCACAGGGTCAAAGATCTTAGTACCCATTTCAAAGTTTGAAATTTGACAAAGTAATTTGTTGAGCCCATGTTGCCTTCTAGAGTGTATGGCACAACCCTACTTTATAGGCTTATGGTAATGAATTTACCTAAGCAAATAAAGATCGTAGCAAATGAGTGAATGCAATCAGGTATTACCAGCTTTTTGGAAATAAGCAGTTATTAAATAATTATGTCCACTTTTTTTACAATCTATTGTTTTAATAATATAGGTTGTAAATTCCCATTGCGTAGGGACCTCAACTGTATTTGTTTGTCAAACTTTGATTAATTGTACTTTTTCTTGTACCAATTGTACCTATATACAGAGCTGCAAATGTGTGGGTACTATATAAATAAATAAATGAAGTATGACTGGAAGAGTGACACTATTCTATCACTATCTTTGTAATTATGCTACTTGCATGGTCATGGTCCAATAGTCAATGTATATCATTAATGGTAAATTTCAAGCTGGACAAAAGTGGTAAGTGGTGTCCCTCAGGGTTCTGTTTTGGGACCGCTTCTATTTAACATATTTATAAATGACCTTGAAATGGGCATTGAAAGCCATGTATCACTGTTTGCAGATGACACAAAACTTTGTAAAGTAATAAAATGTGAGCAGGATATTGCCTTGCTGCAGAGGGATTTGGATAGATTGGGGAACTGGGCACTAAAATGGCAGATGAAATTTAACGTAGAGAAATGCACTTCGGGGTTAAGAATGCACAAGCAATTTACACCCTAAATGGTAGTGAGCAGAAAACTTCTAAGGCTCTGTGTATATACCAGTGAAACTACCCCAAGAGGGAACGGGATAATAACTGGTATGGCACAGGGACTTATGTGAGCAGGATATTTTTATCCTATAGGTGACTCCAGGTATCTCTATAGGGGCTTAACCCCAAATTAGACAAAAGACAACAAACAATGAAAGGTGTAACTAGTCTCAGTATAAAAATAGTCCTGGGACTAGTCACATCGCCTGGAAATATATATAGCGATGCAGTGTAATAAAAACCTGGCTGCCGCATCTATAATAAATACTGTTAGAGACAAACTATCCAAATAATCAAACAAAAGTATTTACAGGTGGTACTAATAGTTCTATGCCAACCACAGAGGAAAGGTGTAAGTACACCATACATAATAGTTACCCAAGCCTAAATATAAGCTTTATTATAATGTGCTACATAGGGGTGAGTAACGTCAGATAACTATATCCCAATCCTAAATTCCTTCTGGGAAATGTCTAGCATTATAATCTTGTCAAAACACAAAGTAGAGCTGCCTTTGGTCCAAATATCCAAAGATTGGTAGTACTAAAGCCCTATCGATAGAGATTAATTAGTATTCATAAATGGGCTTAAGTATAGATAAACAGTTCCTTTGGAAAACAAAGAATTATAAAGATAGAGACACAATGAAACATAAGGAGAGATATGAAATGATATATAATAAAAGAATCAGTCTATAACAGACTGATAAAATTAAATTATAAAGCCTCTCTCCCTGTTAAGCTAACTAGACAGGCATAGAAAAAAAGAAAGTTGAAAAGAGCAAAAAATTAAGTGACAAACATGGTGCTATAACCACCAGTGCCCAGTGCTCAAATACAAGATATGAGAAAAAAACGCCCAACGCACGTTTCGGTGCCTAAAGAGATGCACCTTCAACAGGGGCCAGCATGAAACTAAAAAATGGTCTCTTAAATACTAAATTTACCAGGGAACATGAAAAACTGTATGCAATAGGGTCTGGGGAAGTGCCGTCTCAGATGTATCTAGTTGCCATTGATGGTTACGACCGCGTCGTTGCGGACCACGTGTTGTACGTGGGGGAGGAGCCTCGTGATGTCACACGTGACCCGACGTCCCAGTTATCACGTGGTCTATCCGTTATGCCAGCTGATCGAAAAATGGGCAGGATCTAGAACGAATGATCCCAAGAGAATCTGCATACAGCTCCGGCCCATCCAAATCATGTGGGCGGGTACACATACACGAACTAATGTATTGCATTTGTGACTATAAAAAGAATAAATAAATAAAATAAATAGATAAATCACAAATAGTAAACTTCCATCAGTATTGTATATTCAATATATACCACTAGAAAGTGGCCATGTATGAATTATTTATAATACAACATCTATGGACATATAGAGGAGATAAATAGATCAACAAAATTACAACTCCATAAATGCTGTATACTCAATAAATGCCACTGAAAAATTGGCCATGTGTAGATTATTTATAGTGCAACATCTATGAACATATGACACAGGTATTATAAATCAAATCTGAATATACAGAATCATTTGGCAAAATGAAGACACAGGGACGTGACTATTTAAAGTAGTACCATATCTATAGTCATCTTCTACTGTGTACAGGATATCATCATCTGACTAAGCCAATGGTGATTAGAGTATTTATTTTATGGTTGTGTATATATACCAATAATGTACACATGTATCCACTCTGTATTGTTAATGTGAGCCATATACACACACATACATCATTTACTACAGAGGAAAACTATTAACATTAAGAGAAAGTATAATGTATATATAATGTATATGTCCATAGCTATGCCCCATATGGGACCCTTATCTTTGTATTCATATCAAAATTATAAAAGAATGCTAGAATGATAAATAAAAAATAAAAAGTGTGATAAACAGAACACTGCACACGCTATATTACAAAATTTACAAGTGTATCCGGCATATTAAACATATTAACAGAAGTATATACATATACATACAAATAGTATGTGAAATAGAATGAGATGCTTGGGTACATTGATTGTATCTCAGACCAAGTAGTCCTATGATCCATTAATCTACTATAAAGGGTGTATATGAAAAACCCTCATTTAGTCCAAGCGGTGAGAGGGTTTTAAGCTTATAGATCCAGAAACTCTCCCTTTGTAGTAATCATTTGTCCAGATCACCACCTCTTGGTCCAAGTGCGACTCTTTCGATGCCACAAAATCTAATCCCATCAGAAGAACCCCCATGGTGAAGTTTCAAATGTTTAGAAACTGGAGTGTCTATTAACCTTCTGGGGTTAACTGAGTTCACATGTTCACCTATTCTCAATTTAAACTTGCGGGAAGTTTTTCCCACATAAAGTTTATTGCATGAACATGTGAGTAAATATACAAGGTATTTGGACATGCAATTGAAGAAGTTTGTTATAGATAACAAATTAGGCAGCAATATGCAATGTCAATCTGCAGTTGCTAAGGCCAGTAAGTTTTGTCATGTATAAATAGGGGCATAAATTCTCGAGATGAAAATATAATTTTGCCTCTTTATAAATTACTGGTAAGACCACACCTTGAATATGCTGTGCAATTTTGGGCACCAGTTCTAAAGAAATATATCATGGCACTAGAAAAAGTGCAGAGACGAGCTACAAAATTGATCAAAGGAATGGAGAATTTTAGTTACGAAGAAAGGTTAAAAAATTTAAATCTGTTTAGTTTGGAAAAACGGCGCCTGAGAGGGGATGTGATAACATTATACAAATATATTCGGGGCTAGTACAAACCATTATCTGGAAATCTATTCATAAACAGGGCTATACATAGGACACAAGGTCACACATTTAGGCTGGAAAAAAAGGAGATTTCATCTAAGGCAAAGAAAAGTTTTTTTTACAGTAAGAACAATAAGGATATGGAATTCTCTGCCTGAAGAGGTGGTTTTGTCAGAGTCTATACAGATGTTTAAACCGCAATTGGATAAATACTTACAAAAACATAACATACAGGGATATCATTTCTAATTACCGTAGTGGGGTAATAGCTGTTTGATCCAAGGAGACATCTGACTGCTATTTTGGGGTCAAGAAGGAATTTTTTCCTAGTTTGTTGCAAAATTGGAAGCGCTTCAGACTGGGTTTTTTGCCTTCTTTTGGATCAACAGCAAAAACATATGTGAGGAAGGCTGAACTTGATGGAAGCAAGTCTCTTTTCAGCTATGTAACTGTGTAACTATGTAACCAGGAATTGAACAAACAGATGAAGATGAACGTCTTGCTGAGTTATTGTGAGATATGCTTGCTGTGAAAGCATATCACTACAAACTATTCTAATACGTGTTATAGCGAGTTTGCATTCTCTCCTTATTCATATATTTATTAAATCAAACATTGTAGTATAGGTGTACCAGTAATTTCTTGGCCTACATTTTTCACAGGCAATATTCCATTTAAATATTGTATCATGTAAACAAATTCATTTATTGGATTGTGGTATTCTTTGCAAAGTGAAAAGCACCATGAAGTAAACCAATAAATAAAATAAATTGATGATTTTTGTAGAACATATGCCACCATGAACCAAATAATGCAATTTTCTTGCTTGGGGGTCTGTGTCTTATTCTTTCAGTAGATCTAAATGCTGGCAGTTACTTCTTTAGTGACCAGTGTGAGAATTTGTAAAAAGCAAAATGCAGGGATTTTATGCTCTACTTACTGTGAACGGAGACAGATTCACAGCAACTTTACAGAAAAATTACATGTCAGACACATTCAGGAACCAAAGTCAGCTCTGTGAATAGATATTTCTAATCACTATATAAAACTAGGTTAGTCTGGAGTTTCATAGCTTGCTATCATAGTCAGAATTCAAAAGCAGACTCTAATGAGGTAGAGAATGGGTATATATATATATACATACATTTGTTGGCAAATGCAAATATTACAAGTTTTAGAATGAAATGTTGTATTTCTTAAACTGTGTACTTTGTCTTTAAGAGATATTGCAAACTGACAAAGTTAGAAATTGAACATATTGGTTTTCATAACTGTTTCTTTAAGCAATAACCTCAGTGCATAATATGTTTGCGCAATTTTGTCCCAGACGAATTACAATAACAATAATGCATAAACAAGCTTCAAGGCTATACTACGACTCTTTCAGTACACAATATACTATGGTAACCTTAGTAGATAAGTATGTTCAGACTTTAAGATGCCATCTTGAACTAAGTCAGGAAAATTTCCATGACGTATACACCCTTTAGTTATGGCCTTGTATTTTTGCCAAGTTAAGGGAGGTCCTAAATTGAATAAAGTAAAAGAAGTGTTACTTTTTCATATATGAACTACGGTAACCCTAAAATGGAGACACCTAAGGTATAAAAAGGTGTACTTCTAAATGTTAAGACACAGAGGAGAGACTTGGAGACAGACTCTGCTCCATCTTAAAATGACAGAGAGGCTGACATGATGACATGTTCAGAAGGGTATGTTAACCTATTAATGATATTTGCAAGCATTTAGTTTAATCTTATAAACTCTGCTATAATGGATTTTAGATGTCTATAATTATATTTTTATATAAAAAATATCTAAAAGACAAAACTATTGCTTCCAAGACAATCCTTATTTTATATTGTATTCTCAATTATTTATATATGGTAAATAGAGGATCTCTTACACTATATAAAATTATGGCTAAGATATCTGTATGGTTAGCCCTACTAAGTTCTATGCTTTAAGACATTATAGTGGTAAATAAGGGAACCAACCGCGGGTACACATTCTCTCTCTCTCTCTCTCTCTCTCTCTCTCTCTCTCTCTCTCTCTATATATATATATATGAGGAGACTTTAATTAGAAAGATACGGTGAACATGAAAAACAAATAAAACAGGTCAAAACATGAAGAGCTTAAGAAAAAAGAGGATTAAGGAAAAAGCAGATTGAGGCATTGATATAGTATGTGTATACATAGGTGATATAACAGAAACAATAAAGGATACTATTAATGACATAGGAGGAGACAATATGATTTGTATAGGATTACAAGTTTAACCAACAGTGCTCATCAGCTCTGCCCTCCCCTTATGTTTAAGTCCAAAGCTTCAATCAGGAAGTCTTGGACTAGGCTCTGCCGATAGGCTGAAAGTGTCATCTGACACTCTCTGCTTATAAGTAGCTCCCATTCACAAAATGGAGAGAAAGAGATACATATATGCGGTATGCGTTTGTGGCATCTGAGCACTTTTTGGATATGTTGTGCATTCAGATCCAAGCTATCTGGGGATATAAGAATTGAGGGGGTGACTTGGTTGTTTTATGTGTGTTTCGGGGTGATGAATATTGTAGATTGTTCTGTACCTTAGAGATAATTAAATTTAGATGTTTTTCCCAGGTAATTATCTCTCAGGCACAGAGGATCATGGGAGGGATTACCCTGTAATTTTGTATGGGAAACCCCATGTAGGGGCTTTTGCATAAAAGGCCGTGTGTGGCCCAGAATAAAACAGTTTACTCCCAGCATTCAGTCTCGACTAATGTCTGTGGGGGAAATCTAAACCTGCTTTGGATTATTGCTACTTGGGGAATTCTCCTTTTGATTACTACTCTTATTGGAATTACTGCAGCAGAGCTCTGTAAAAAGACCTCTGGGAAAAAGACCTCTTTGGTGGCGAAACCCATGATCTTATCCGGGTGGCCGCCACACTTTGTATTTTTTCAAATGTCTTTATTAAGGTATTATCTCCATAACATATATTTATAATGCATTATCTAATGCATGAAAAAGAATTCCTTTTAAATCAAAGTATTTTTTTAAGAAGCCAGACTAAGCCAATTCCAGTGCTATTACATAGTTACATAGTTACATAGCTGAAACGAGACTTGCGTTTATCAAGTTCAGCCTTCCTCACATTTGTTTTTTGCTGTTGATCCAAAAGAAGGCAAATAAAAACAGTTTGAAGCACAATTTTGCAACAAGCTAGGAAAAAAATTCCTTCTTGACCCCAGAATGGCAGTCAGATTTATCCTTGGATCAAGCAGTTATTACCCTACATTGAAAGATTACATCCTTGAATATTCTGTTTTTGCAAGTATGCATCTAGTAGCTGTTTGAACATCTGTATAGACTCTGATAAAACCACTTCTTCACGCAGAGAATTCCACATCCTGATTGTTCTTACAGTAAAAAAACCTTTCCTTTGCCTTAGACGAAATCTTCTTTCTTCCAGTCTAAACGCATGGCCTCGTGTCCTATGTATAGTCCGGTTTGTGAATAGATTTCCACACAATGGTTTGTATGGGATCCTCATTTTCTAGAAAGGAATGCGCCCAGGACATAGGTTCTCCTCTTAGGAATGAGATTATAGAACAGACTTTAATTCTGTCAGTGGGGTATGGCCTGGGTTTAAGAGTAAACAATAATTTACATGAATTCAAAAATTCTCTGTATTTGGAGCAATCTCCAAAAAACCTTTGTGGGTTGCAGACAGCAGGATCACTTGAGGAATGAGAAACCTTGTTTTGGATCTCTCTGATATAAGAGAGAATTCTTTCGTTTGCAATTTGTAAATCCTGCATAGCTTGAGTTAGTATGTCGACTATGATTTAAAGAGGTAATTTGGGAATTAACATCTGTTCGTTCCATGTGATAGGCTTAGTGATTCTGTAATGTCACAAGTGGTTTAAATGTGGAACACAACTGCAGATTATAAATTTCCTTATTTTTATTAGAGAGTGAAATGAGAATCCTTTAATTAATAAGGTTACTGTAGCTTTAAGGCAGCGTGGCTTTTGCAGGTTGATAGTTGAAGACATAAAGTATTAATAATTGTAATAGTATTTTAGTAGTAGCAGATTTTAGCAAGCAGGTAACAGTTCATTAGCAAGTTAGAACTCAGAGATAGTGTTAAATTGTATACTTATGATTGTTGGGAGTTGTCCTCCAAAGACAGGTTAGCTTGAGTCCGCCGGATGATTAAACATCAAACAGTCCGGTTTCCAATAATTAGAATGAGAGCAGATAAATCCAATACACGGTCCGTGGTCAAAGGGAGATGAGAAGGCAGGAATCCGTTTAAATAGTCCAAGGTTCGGTACACATTATTAATGTAGAAGAGCTTAGCCGGCAATGTGATTGCGGAAGTAACAACCAGAAATCACTAAGCAATTTTGAATCTGGCACGGTCTCTCTATAAAGCTTGAGAGAGCCGTGTCAGCTTTCTCAATTTGCTCAAACAGCTGTTGTTCCTCGTCAATATTAACATTAGGTGGTTTATAACATATCCCAACCAATAGTTGGTTTCCCTTCTTTTCCCCCAAGCAGATATTTACCCATAAAGCTTCCACATTTTCCTCATCACATTCCATTTGCTTAAGACAGTGGCGTACATATGACCCATGGGGCCCCGGTGCAAAAATTGATCCGTGGGCCCCCCCCGCGCGCGGGCCGGGCCGCAACACATGGCGGTGGGCACCTGGTCGCAGGGGTTACAGGGCGCGGTATGTACGCCAGTGCATGCAGATGCACACACACTTAAAGGACCACTCTAGGCACCCAGACCACTTCAGCTTAATGAAGTGGTCTGGGTGCCAGGTCCAGCTAGGGTTAACCCATTTTTTCATAAACATAGCGGTTTCAGAGAAACTGCTATGTTTATGAATGGGTTAAGCCTTCCCCTATTTCCTCTAGTGGCTGTCTCATTGACAGCCACTAGAGGCGCTTGCGTGCTTCTCACTGTGATTTTCACAGTGAGAGCGCGCCAGCGTCCATAGGAAAGCATTGTAAATGCTTTCCTATGCGACCGGCTGAATGCGCAAGCAGCTCTTGCCGCGCGTGCGCATTCAGCCGACGGGGCGGATCGGAGGAGGAGATCTCCCTGCCCGGTGCTGGAAAAAGGTAAGTTTTAACCCCTTTCCCCTTTCCAGAGCCGGGCGGGAGGGGGTCCCTGAGGGTGGGGGCACCCTCAGGGCACTATGGTGCCAGGAAAACGAGTATGTTTTCCTGGCACTATAGTGGTCCTTTAAAGGACCACTACAGACACCCAGATCACATCAGCTCAATGAAGTTGTCTGGGTGTCAGGTTCCTCTAGTTTTAACCCTGCAGCTGAGGGTTAATCCAGCCTCTAGTGGCTGTCTCACGGACAGCCGCTAGAAGAGCACACTGAACGTCCATAGGAAAGCATTGAGTAATGCTTTCCTATGGGCGGTTTGAATGCGTGCACGGTCGCATTTGGAGCTGAGAGGCTGAGGGATCCTCAGCGCCAAGGGAGTCCGGCACTGGAGAAAGGTAAGTGCTGAGAACACACACACACACACTTACAGACGCATACACACTAGCTAACAGACACACACATTTACTGACAGAGACACAGTCAGCGACAGACATACATACACACTCACTTACAAAACATAAACTCTCATTGACAAACACACACTCACTAACAGACATCAAACAGACTCACTAACACACACACACTCAGTAAGACACACACAGTAACACACTCACTGACACTCACACTAACACTCACTACCAGACACACACACTAACACTCACTCTAACACTCACACACACTAACACTCACTAGCAGACACACACACTAACACTCACTCTAACACTAACACTCACTCTAACACTCACACTAACACTCACTAGCAGACACACACACTAACACTCACTCTAACACTCACACTAACACTCACTAGCAGACACACACACTAACACACTCTAACACACTAACACTCACTAGCAGACACACACACTAACACTCACTCTAACACTCACACTAACACTCACTAGCAGACACACACACTAACACTCACTAGCAGACACACCCACTAACACTCACTCTAACACTCACACTCACTAGCAGACACACACTAACACTCACACTAACTCACTCTAACACTCACTAGCAGACACACACTAACACTCACACTAACTCACTCTAACACTCACTAGCAGACACACACTAACACTCACACTAACTCACTCTAACACTCACTAGCAGACACACACTAACACTCACACACACTCAAACACTAACACATGTTTTTTTTTATTTAATCCCCCAGCCTCCTTACCTTTTGGAGTGCTGGGGGGATTCCCTGGGGTCCAGTGGTGCTGCTGGGCTCCTGGGCGGCAGGTCACTGGGCGGGCGGGCGGGCTGTCTGGGCGGCCGGCACGCGAGGGAGCACTCTCTGTGTGCTCCCTCTTCAGCTCCCTCGCGCGCCGCGTACTGATGCCGGAGCCGGAAGATGACGTCATCGTCCGGCTCCGGTCTCAGTGCGGTGCGCGAGGGAGCTGAAGAGGGAGCACACAGAGAGTGCTCCCTCGCGCGCCCGCCTGCCTGCCCGACCGACCACCTGCCTGCCCGGTATCAGCAGGGCCAGCCTCGGGGGGCCCTGAGGTGGTCGCCTCCTGGGCCCCCCAGGGGAAGAGGCTGGCCCTGTGGGTACATACCGGGTCGCAGGGGCGGCCGGGCCCCCTGGTGGGCCGGGCCCGGTCGCAGCCGCGACCCCTGCAAACCCTGGTATGTACGCCACTGGCTTAAGATTTGGCTTTAAATCATGGTTAACATACAAACATACCCCACCACCCTTCTTGTTTTTCCTATCCTTCCTAAATAACATGTACCCATTTAAGTTAACTGCCCAGTCATGTGTCTCATCCCACCAAGTTTCAGTTATGCCTATTATATCATATTGTTTAGTGTATGCTTATGCCTCTAGTTCCCCCATTTTGTTATTTAGGCTCCTTGCATTAGTAAGCATACATTTAATGCGTCACTTGTATATTTTGTGAATTATCAACATTACATAGCTTCTCTGTTCTGAGCTTGCCCCTTCGCCCGTCTCCACCCCCATTATACTTTGCTAAAGCCCATCTCCTTTCTGTCCTATCTCCATTTTGTAGATTGCTATGACCCTCCCCCCCCCACTACTAGTTTAAAATCTCCTCCAACCTTCTAGCCATCCTATCCCCCAGCACTGAAGACACTCTCCCGTTTAGGTGCAATCCATCACGACTATAAAGGTTGTACCCAATCGCAGAGTCGGCCCAGTGCTCTAAAAACCCCAAACCCTCCTTCCTGCATCAAGACTTAAGCCACGCATTGACCTCTCTAATCTCCCGCTGCCTTTCCACTGTAGCATGTGGCACAGGTAATATCTCAGAGAATACCACCTTGGAGGTCCTTTTCTTAAGTTTGCTACCTAATTCCCTGAAATCATTATTTAGGACCTTCTATCTTCCTCTTACTTTGTCATTGGTACCAACATGGACCATGACCACTGGGTCATCCCCAGCCCCTCCCAAGAATCCTTCCACTCTGTCAGCAACATGCCGGACCCGAGCAACCGGGAGACAGCATCCTGTCCAGTTGATCCGATCAGAGCGGCAGATTGCCCTATCTGCTCTCCTAATGATAGAGTCCCCTACCACCACAACCTGTCTTGCCTTCCTTACATTTTGATCCCCACCCGTACTAGGGGGGCTGTTAGATCGGCTGTTAGAAGTAACAGCTTCCTCTAATACAGCTACTCCTGAGCTGATGCTCCTAACATCGTCCCTCAAACGGGCAAATCTGCTAGGTTGCACCAAATCAGAACTAGCTAGCACTTTCCTCTTCCCTCCTCCCCTGCTTCCTCGCCCCACTGTCACCCAGCTACATGCCTGTTCCCCATCTGTCTTATCTCCTCCATCTCCACTACCTGTCCCCACTAAACTCTGCTCAGTGAGCAGCAGACTCCTCTCAAGATTGTCAATCTCCCTCAAAGTTGCGATTTGCTTCTCGAGATCTCCAATCTGAGCTTCCAGAGAAGCCACTCGCACACAACCATCACAGAGGTATGGACCCTGGACGGGTACATCCAGGCATGCATACATGCCACAAGATGTGCATTGAGTCAAACCAGCGATCTTACTAACACTCATTTCCCCAGATACAGAACAATAAAACAATTACCTTATTAGCTTAAACCCCTTGTTTGTTTCAACTCCTGGTTTTCTAACTCCTACTTGAAAGAAAGAGTCTACTTAATAGAGTCTGCTTTCAAGTAATGTGAGCAAGCTCAGTGAGTTAGGGGTGTGCCTTTATGGGGATACAAATCCCACACAGGTGCAATTAATTAACACTCCCCCAATCAATCAAGCAGCAGCACAAAATGTCATGTCATGTTCCATTTGTTGTTCGTATGAATCTATTTATAGATATATGTAATCATTCTCCTGAAATTGCAATACAAAATCATCGACTATTTTTATTGAATATTATCACTCTATGGGAAACCCCAGTAAAGAGGATAAGTAAGTACTTAAAGGTGATATGTCTGAAATGGTAAAAATAAAACTATTCCTCTGGGTGTTAGTCCCAGCACTCTCCAATTTAGAGCAGTGTTAATATTCTGTCACATTATTTACAGTAAAGTAATTCACAGCCTCACGGGTTTCACAGTTCCAGAGTAAGATCTGATCCAGTTTATCATTTCATAGTCACCTCTTGTAAAATATAAATATTACATAATTATAGTTCACTCAGCAATATCTTTCAAAGTTGGAGGTTAAATCTTCTTTTCAAACTAGGATATAATTCTTACTCTTTTATCCCTCCGTGGAAAGAGGATAAGTCATGCAAATTCAGCTCCTTATCAGCAGGTGCCTTCATGGCATTAGAGATCTGAGACGTTCCTTGTTCTCTTTAAGGAGTAAATGTGGTGTTAAAACACATATCAAAATAAGGCAGATAAGAATAATTTGTATTCAGGTCTAGTTTTGGACAAGCAGACGTATTCCATTTATTTTTTTTATTAGCAGATGAGATTTATTGGTAAATTTACGATACACTTATAAAATCACAGCTATAATATTTTTTTTATCATTAAAGATCCTTTGTGGCTGAATGGTAGTCGCAATTGCGAGGGAGCCTGTCTCTGTATGTATCAGCCACAACATTAAAACCACCTGCCATGTAGGTCCCCCTTGTGCTTCCAAAACTGCTCTGATGCATCGAGGTATGGTCTTCACATGATCTCTGAATGTATCAGTGCCGGAATAATATAGGGGCTGATGGAGCTGAGGCTCCAGGCCCATGCCTATGGAATAGGCCCAATGATTTACATTTTTTATTTTTTTATTTTTTTTACTACTCTTCACATGCTCTTGTTTAAGTATGGAAACTTAAGAGGGATGTAGGGGAACAAAACTGGTGTGGACAAATGCACTTGCTGCTTCAGTCTCTCTAACACTGTGGCCTGTTCCCGTTCTTCTACACTAACTACATACACTTTTTCTCTGTCCCAGACTGTATAACAGGAGCTTCTGCCTGCTAGTAAAAAGGTAGGGAAAGGAGTGGAACAGCAAGTGCTAGGGGATAATCCTTAGAAAGCTTAGAGCTAGCGCATCATTAGACGCATTTATGCCAAGCTCAGCGGGCTGTCTGCACAGCATGCCCTTGATTGGTCATCCTGCATGATTGGCAGGCAGCCTGATGTGCATTCACTCCAGGCTGACCATCTAATTCTTTGTGCAGACACGCCCCCTTTTTGGGCATGTTTGTCTCTTTGGGCAGTTTTGGTTACGTGATTCACATCATTGGCATACCCTTATACCCCAATCACCGAAATCCTTCTTCACCAGACACTGCTGTTAGTGGGTATGGATTTACTTGAATGATGAACGTGAGAGATTAGGATAGGGTATTTGTTTTCTGATAGCTGTATTCTGTGAGTTTACCTCCAGCACCACCTCCACCAGATACATGACGCTTTGGACGTATAACTGTATTGGAGTTTTCTATCAAAAATATTCTGTAATTTGGCCCATCATAATTGTCTGCACCAGGCCCAATGGGCTCTTAATCAGGCCCTGTATCTGGTATCAAGACATTACCAGCAGACACTTTAACTCTTTCAAGGTGTGAGTTGTGAGGGGCCTCCATTGATTGGATACCTTCATATACCTTCTGCTGCCCAAATGCCAAAGTTGGCGCTGAATTGAAACTCCAGAAAAGTATGAGTGTACATTTTGCTTACTATAATCCTCGCAAAAATATGAATAAGATATATTACACTATCAGCTCCTTATCTTCTATTTATTTTACATATTTACTCCAAGAATGATCTGGAACCACACCATGATCTTTGCTATACAATACTGAATTATTTTTAATTAATATCCTTTTTTTCTGTTCACAAATCAGTCTGTATACATTGTTCTTATTCTTAATAATATTATGGCTGTCTAAATTAATATTAGTAAGTGTCCCAAAATTTCTCGCCCAGGCCATACCCCACTCAAGATACTGAAAATAAAGTGTTCGTCTTTAAAGGACCGCTACAGGCACCCAGACCACTTCAGCTCAATGAAGTGGTCTGGATGCCAGGTCCATCTAGGGTTAACCCTGCAGCTGTAAACATAGCAGTTTCAGAGAAACTGCTATTTTACATTAGGTTTAATCCAGCCTCTAGTGGCTGTCTCACTAACAGATGCTAGAGGCGCTTCCGCGCTTCTCACTGTGATTTTCACAATGAGCAGACGCTGCCGTCCATAGGAAAACATTGAGAATGCTTTCCTATGGACTGATTGAATGCACGCGCGGCTCTTGCCATGCATGCGCATTCGGTGGATGACGTAGGAAGAGGGAGGAGAGTTCCCAGCACCAAGGGAGCCCGGCGCTGGAGAAAGGTAATAGTTTAACCCCTTAACCCCCCTTCAGCCTGGCAGGAGGGGACCATGAGGGTGGGGGGGACCTATTAACACTATAGTGCCAGGAAAATGAGTTTGTTTTCCTGGCATTATAGTGGTCCTTTAACCATTTGAAATGTTGGGAGGTATGAGGGATACATCCCATGCTGTTCAAAATTGCAAAATTACAGAGTAAAGCATGCTGATTTTGAATTTACTTTGGGACCCAGATTTCAAAACTCGTAGCTCGTAGCAAATTAGCCTGCAGCATAAGAGAAAGTATCGAACATATCTGCTTGCCCATTGAGGGTTCATTTGTTTAACTGATTTATCCAGACAGCTGTTAGTTAAATCAGACATACCTTTCCCAATTACTTAATCAATGCACTGTGCATCGTTAATTGCTAACTGATTTTTTTTTATTTTTTTTACAAATCTCTGATCTTTGGACATTTTGAAAGGCTTTAGTGTAATAACTCCCCAGTTATCGGCTTTAAAGGAACACTCCACATCAAAAGGAAGTTTTCATAGTGCCAGGAGGTCCCTTTAGATATAAGCAAATGCTCTTCTGACATTCCATCCTTTCAAGTGATTGTTTTTTTTTTGTTTTTTTTTTTAAATCTTATTTAAGCATCCTAAATTATTTTCACAGACATATAATAATATATATTTTTTAAATTTCATGGGGGTTCATATGGGAGCTACCCAAAAAAAATTTTACCTTTATTTTCATACTACAAGATTATTATAATACTATAGACAAATAATAAGAGAATAGAACAAAAGACACGCAAAAAATTAACAATTTCAAATGCAGCTGCAAATGTGAGTCGTATTAAAGGGAAATTTTACCACATGACAGGAGGCTTCATATTTTGCATATAACTCTCTTTACTAACTCCACATAGCAGTAAAGAAAAGTGAAAACATTAACCAATCAAAAATGCAGTAGGAGGTATAGTATTCACAGTGATGAGGCTCCTCCTCCTCTTTCTTTACTGCTCCATCAGCAGACAGGTCAGAGTTTCAAGGCTCTTCCCTTTATATTTACTGTATTCCTATATTATATGTTATATCGGGGCTACTTTATACTGTTTTCTTCTGGGGGACTTCTCCCTCCTGTCCTGGGGGGGGTTTATTCTTATTTTTATGTCTCACTATGTGATTTTATTCTATTTTGCTCGTTCTTCTTAGGGGTTTCTGTCATCCCTTTTTCCTCCCTTCCGTTTTTCCCCCGTTTTTGCCGCTGGCCTCCCAGCTTATTTCCCTCAGGGTAACGCTCACCCTGCTCCTAATACTCCCTTGCGGCTCCCCAGCCGCTTTCTAGATCGCCGGCACGCCGGGAAACCTCTTTCCCGGCTCCCCGGCGGCCATCTTGGATCTCGCGTCTTGAGAGATTCTCGGCCGCCATTTTGGGAGTACCGCGGACTGCGCAGTGCCGACCGCCGCCGCAACCCGCTCGTTCCCAGATACCCACACACACATCCCGGCTGGCTGGGGTGTGTTATACCGTTCTATGCTGACGGCTTGCAGCCTGCAAAGAAGTACAGCTGGCAGGGGTCACTGGCATTCTTATTATAGGATTCAGAGGCTGCTGGCCCTATTGAGTGGTGAGTCCACTATTATTGATTTACTGGGTGGATTTTGTGCCACCTACAATTCTAACAGGGTGAGGCCCTTATTTCACTGCTGCCATCAGGTGGATTTTGTGCCACCTATATATATGTATATGGTAAGGGGCATCCCAACCCCATCCTAACACCAGATTGAGCGGATTTCGTGCCACTCTCACTGTCATATACATTTCTGGGCGAGGCCCAGCAAGAAAACCCAATTTACCCTGCTGGGGTCTCTGGTGCTTATTGTACCTGTGCTACCACACATCCTGCTGGGGTGTTGTCATTATTATTACTGAATCCATACTCTACTACCTGACCCCTAGCCCATCTGCCCTGTGCCAACACAAAATCACTATGGAAGCATCCAAAACCCCTGCAGACTTCCAGTCTATGATTGCGGACGCCATCTGCGCTTCTATGGAGAAAGCGCTGTCCAGGGTTATGTCGGCATCTACCGACAAATCTAAAAAAGCCACGCTGACCCAACCTCAGGATGAAGACTCTGAGGCCTCTGAGTCACACGTACAGGCAGATCCACGCCCCACCAAACGTCACTGTAAAAGTTAAGAAAGCGGGCGATACCCCAGGCAAGGGTAAGGCACCCTCTAAACGCCACAGACCAACCCCACCTACTCCTGCCCACTACTCCAAGGAAGAGGGGGACGAACACACGCGCTCTATGGCCGTGTTAGATGAGTGGCAAGCCACGGACTCTGATTCGCACGATGACAATTGGGACTCGGACTCCGGCTCCCATTCTGGCTTCTTACGAGGCACCTTCCTGGACGACATCCAGTTGCCTGACGACCTTGCGCCTGCTCAAGAAGGGGATACCATCCTAGACCCCACGGGGCAACGTCTCTTTGACCCTCGTAATATCTGCCATCCACGCTCTGGAGACTGGACCCCCCCCGACCACCTCTCCAAATTTATGCACCGCTGGCTACGCAAACCACTTGACAAAACGGTGCGCAACCGTCTACGCTCTGAATGCCCGCGCCCCTTGCTCCCGGACCACGTAACACAGACCCCGGAGTTTGATCAGGTGATGAACACCTTTATGTCCCGAGGTGGCCGCGACCCTCGACGAGGCGTGGAGAAAGGATTCCACGGGGTCCAGGATAAACTGCTGGACTCAATTGGCCCACTCTCCTGCATATTGTACCTGGCGGATGATGCGTTCACTAGGGCCGATCAATTTGTCTCTAGCATGGTCAAAGAGTGGGCACATGATATTAGGGAATGGGCACAACGGTGCTTCTGTTTTGTTGGTAACACCAACGTAGCCCTCTCCTCTGAGAGGCGCAAGGCAGCTTTACTCCGTATTGACGGAAAACTGGTGGATTTGGGAACCAAAGAGTTGGGACCGTTGGCACAGGGCAAATTGTTCGGAGAACCTTTCTTAAAAGAGCTGAACAAGCATGTTAACATCTTTACGTCCCTCAATAAGGCTCAGACGTCTATGAAACGAGTCTTCAGAGGCTACCCCTGTCGGGGTGTTTTTGGACGGGCTGGCCGCTACAGGGGCCGAGCAGCCAGCCGATTCTGGCCTTCTGGCCCCCGGTCACACAGACCACAGCCTTTCTACCCGGAAGTGGGCTTCCGGCAACCCTTCTCCTATACCCGAGGAGCAGACCGAGGCAGAGGACCTCGTAACCGTGGCAGAGCACGCTTCCCCACAGGTAAGCAATCTAGTGTCTCTAGGTTCACTTACCCCTTACACTGCAGGCCGTATTGCTCCGTCTTTTCAGAACTGGATGACCATCTCCACGGACGCATGGATCCTCCAGACGGTTCGGGGCTACGTCATCGACTTCGTAGAACCCCCTTACCAGCTCGCTCCCCCGCACCCCATTCAATGCTCCGAGGAGGACCGCCGCCTAATCGACGGCGAACTATGGGAGCTCAAGGCGAAAGGAGCGATAGAACCGGCTCACGACGGAAAGGGCTTCTTCAGCAACATTTTTCTAGTAAAAAAGAAATCAGGGGAATTCCGTCCGGTTATAAACTTGAAGGGACTCAACGCTTTTGTAACGTACAGGTACTTCAAGATGGAAGGCATTCACCTGCTGAGAGATCTACTCCAAGACAGGGACTGGTTTACGAGACTGGACCTCAAAGACGCTTACCTGTCGGTCCCTGTCCATGGGTCTTGCCGCCAATTTCTCAGATTCCTATGGCAAGACCAACCCTGGCAGTTCACATGCCTCCCCTTCGGCCTCAGCTCAGCACCGTGGTGCGTCACCAAGCTCCTCAAGCCGGTGGTATCACAACTACGAACTCAAGGAATTCGTTGCATTATCTACCTGGACAACCTGCTACTATTTTCCTCAGACAGGTACAGTCTAACACAACACACACGATATACCATTCAACTCCTGACGTCCCTAGGCTTCGTGGTGAACTACCAAAAATCGGAGCTGCTCCCAGCCCAGACGATACATTTCCTGGGCTTCGAGATAGATTCCAAGACCAGCACCTTACGGCTACTGATCCCAAAGATCACAGCCATCAAAAAGGAACTACGCAGAGTCATCCGCTGCAACACCATTCCACTCCGCAGCCTAGCTCGAATCGTGGGACTACTGTCCGCATCTATACAGGCAATCTTCCCGGGCCCACTACACTACAGGGCGATGCAACGCCTGAAGGCCTCCTTCCTCCGTCAGAACCCTTCCTACGACCAAAACATTCCGGTAATGGAAGAAGTCAGGGAAGAACTCGGATGGTGGTTGGACAGCATGGAAGCTTGGAACGGCTGAGCCATCTTCGGGAATGCACCCGACATAGTTCTGGAATCAAACGCCAGCCTGTTCGGCTGGGGCGCCACAAGCGAGGGCAGATCGACAGGAGGCACTTGGACTTCCCAAGAAACCAACCTTCACATAAACTGCCTAGAACTCCTAGCGGGGTCGTTTGCGATCCGCAGCTTAGCGAGAGACCGGACAGACTGCTGCATCCTCCTCCGGATGGACAACATCTCAGCAGTCCGCTACATCAATCGTCTGGGAGGAGCCCGATCCAGGCTCCTCTCAGAGATCACGAAGGAAATTTTCGACTTTTGTCTACCCCGGAAAATCTCCCTCATGGCAGAATACCTCCCGGGAGAAACAAACCTGACAGCAGACTGGTTTTCACGCCACTGGCAGCAGCGACTGGAGACTGGACCCAGCGATCTTCCAGCGCCTTTCGGTCAGGAGGGGTCCCCTCCACCTGGACCTCTTCGCGTCACGCAACAACAGGCAGACAGACGAGTACTTCAGCTGGCTCCCAGACCCAGAGAGCAAGGCAGTAGATGCGTTTCTCCAGCCTTGGCCACCCTCGGGGGCGTACGCCTTTCCCCCATTCGCCATGGTAGCCAGGACGATGCAATACCTGAAGACCCAATGCGGATCCCTGCTCCTCATCTCACCCCTATGGCAGGGTCAACCATGGTTCCCGGATCTTCTAGCGTCATCCTACAGAGATCCCCTCCTCATACCGTCCTATCCGACGCTCCTTACGGACCCGAGAGGGAATCAACACCCGCTCATCCTGGAAGACCGTCTCACGCTGGTGGCTTGGATGCTTTCAGGGGAGCCTTGCAAACCGAAGAGTTATCGCAAACATCTCGAGATCTCCTATGGGACTCATGGGCACCAGGAACCAGACGATGTTACTTATCGGCATGGAGCTCCTGGTCTACTTGGTGCAGTGAGCGGAATTTCGATCCCTTTACTGCACCTATAACAGCCATCATGAATTTTCTCTCTCATCTCTTCTCCAAGGGCCAATCTTATCGATCCCTCAACGTCGTGCGCTCCGCAATCTCGGCGGCCCACGTTCCGGCCCAGGGGATCCCCGTCGGGAAAGACCCGTTGGTATGCCGCCTCCTCAGGGGCATCAGACTTCAGAGGCCTCCGAAACCTAAATATTCCAGACTATGGGACGTCGAAAACGTCCTACAGTTCCTGAGGGACTGGCCAGACAACGACAGACTCTCGCTCCGACAACTATCAGCCAAACTGACGCTCCTACTTTGTTTGGTCTCGTTCCGCAGAGTTTCGGACGAACGAGCATTAGACATCGATGCCTTTTTGGTCTCCCCGGAGGGAGTTACCTTCCAAGTTTCACGCCGTATGAAATCCGACTCCACATCGGTCTTCTACCCCTTTTTTCCTACAGAACCGCTTCTCTGCGTGGTATCCACCCTACATCGGTACGTAGAGGTCACATCCCGTTTGCGGGTCTCCCCTACGGGCCAACTCTTGGTGTCCTACGTTAGACCACACGTTCCCGTCTCTACCACCACCCTGGCCAGATGGGTAAGATGGATTCTGTCCCTGGCGGGCGTAGAGGAAACCTTCGGAGCCCACTCCGTCCGCGGGGCGGCAGCTTCTTCGGCGTTCACCGCAGGCGCATCCCTGGCAGACATCCTACGAGCTGCAGATTGGTCACGAGAATCGACCTTTCGGACCTTCTACTTCCGACCGAACTCGGTGGCAGCCACGTCTCTCCTGCTTCAGCGTTAAAAATGCAAAATATGAAGCCTCCTGTCATGTGGTAAAATTGAAGATTATGCTAGCGCTATTGTACTTATAATCTTAATTTTAGTAATGACAGGAGGCGAGTATTTTCCCACCCTCCACACCCTTGGGGGATAAGGATCCAAGTAAGTATACTTACTCTGTGTATTCCTTACTTCTTCTATCTTTCTACTCATCTTGTATGACTCAGGCTTGTACCTTGTTTAGTTAGATCATTGTTATCGTTTACTGTCATATTTATACTAGTTTTTCATCTAGTTTTACATCAGTTCGGTGGAAATGGTGTTGGGTTTATTACATTACTGCAAACAGTTGCCAGATCGGTACCTAACCTTCTCCACGTTCTTTTTCAGCATAACTTCGGGACATTACATCTTATGCTCAGGATGGACACGTTTGGGCCGTCCTTCAGCCTCTAGGACTTCGTATTTGGAAAGTCACCCGTTGGTGCATGTTTCAAGACTTTATGTTTCAAGACTTTATCCGTTTCAATATTTGTCTTTGATGTCGCTTTCGAAAGAGGGGGAGGAGCCTCATCACTGTGAATACTATACCTCCTACTGCATTTTTGATTGGTTAATGTTTTCACTTTTCTTTACTGCTATGTGGAGTTAGTAAAGAGAGTTATATGCAAAATACTCGCCTCCTGTCATTACTAAAATTAAGATTATAAGTACACTAGCGCTAGCATAATCTTCAATTGTCACTTCCTGTGAATTTTTACGCTATGTTTACTTAACCCTGTATGTATCAAATATACATTTAGGAAGTGTGAAAAATGAAATCAAGTATAGAAATCCACACCTTTTTATCCTGAATTTGGGCCCCATCATTTTAGTGCCCTGTCAGTAATTTTTATAAGCTCTGTCCTTTGTAACTGGCAGTCAGCATAGAGAACACATACAGAGGAGAGAAAAAATTAAACAATGTTTCTATGTCTTCTCTTTATTCGGAATATATGCCCTGGCTTTGCTTTTGTCTGAATTGGAATATGATGCAGTTTGTTAAATCATTAATATACATTGAAGTGTGAAAAAGTCTAAAAGCAGCCCTTTGTGGTAAGCTGCTGCTCTGCCAAAATGCTGCTGAGCGAGTTCTGAGGCAGCTGCTGGGATCTCTCTGCACTGCATGCACAGCTTCCTCACACTCCACGTACTGATGCCAGGAGCTGGAACCTCAGAATGAGCATTTAGCTGTAGGGAGCTGTGCATTTAGTGTACAATGGATTCCCAGTAGCTCCCCACCTGACATATGAATATGAATTAGACATTGCGATGTCACATTACGGCAGGAGCCAGGTTTGTGTGATGTCACACCATCGGTGGTGCGTATGGGGTCAGCAACATTTTTTATGTATTTTTTGCCTACGGTGGCAAAAGCCCTTGCACTGGCCTTAGATCTCTCTATGCTGTGTTTACAGCATGCAGAAGGCTAAAACATAAAATGTAGATTTGTGTGTTTTTTTTTATTTTTATTTTTTATATTTTTTTCATGTTTGCATCAGTGGGATACTTCATTCATCAAAATCATTTAATTTTGCACTAAACTATCTAACTGTAATCAGTTCTAAATAGCATGCAAACTATCTAAATGTAAGCAGTACAAAATTATTATGCAAAGTATTAATAAAAGAGTTAATTCCCTACTGGTGGGAAAATACTTATAAATATGGTCCCCTTGGGCTAGATTTTGAGAAATCGCTAGTGACCATCCTGCTAGTTCATTGTAGCTAATTAAGAAAATGGCTCATAATTACCATCAAAGTCAGTCTATATAATGTTCTTTAGTTCGCAAGAATGCATCTTAATTAAAATATATTAACAGAGCGTCGGTTTCTTGAAACCCAAGAGCTGACTACATTAACGAGGAGCGGAATCCAAATCAGGGTTAGAAGGAAACACAAAAAGTCAAGTAATACAACAGAGATGACAGTGCAAGGACATTTAATTCTAGCTGCTCTGTCATAAAGTATTAAACATCTAGTAATGCTCAACTCAAACTTCGGATTACATGAAATGGTAAATTAAGAACAAATTAAATACACGTGGAAATATATAAGGTAATCTACATGGAACATGCCTATATTCATTTTCATTGTTCTGTGGAGACTGCATTTTTGAGGAGACATGTGCTGACATTAATAAATGCATTTCTAGTAATTAAATCAATATTAAATGCATTCTGATTGGCTGAAAACAAAGCCAATATGAAAATACCTCTGATGTCATATACATGAGTTTGGCGCTGTGGTGTCTCTCTAATTGCTTGCTTTTAGCAGTGAAATTCTAGCAATCCTAGCAGCGTTATTAAACGTACTATTAGGCATTGCCTATGGTCGTTATCTGTGTTCAGCATTTTATATTATTATCTTTTATATTACAGTATAGAAAAGAAAGTTTCAAGCTTTTATATTTAAAGCACAATCAAATATTCTTCAAATGTAAACAAACTACAATAAATAAAGGCCTATAAAACCAATAACAGCTCAAACTCTGTACACATTACCACGTGGCAGATCAACAGTTGCACACAGACAGAGCTGAGCACACAAGCAGTGTTAAAAAAAGACTAATTTGTTGTCATATAAGCAACATTTAATTTCATCAAAGGACCTTTTTCAAGCCCCAAGGCTTTATATAGGATACTTGGCGAGCAATAACCTAATTTGAGACAATTAATTGGCCCATATTTTAATTTTTTTTTCTGTATATGCAGTACTGTCTGTATACTAATGTGGAGGAATTTGGCTGTTTTGGATCGTGGAGCGCCAGGAATATATTGTTTTTAATTTGGCAATGTGCTTTCTCTTTCTATTTTCTGCTGGAAGCTCAGGTTATGGCAGGTCAACTCTTGAGTAATTAGACAGAGCCCAAGCTGCACAGATATTTTGTGAGAGTGATTGATAGTGTGCCAATGCAAGACTGTCTTCAATCCAAATTTTGAAAAAATTATCATTACAGTCCACAATCACCTCCGCATTGGCCAGTCTGGGGTTAAAAGTAGAGTATTTGCAGAAAATGAAATGTGGATTAAAAGTGACTAAACCATGCATACCAGGATTGGGTCAGAATAAATCAGAGGATATCCCTTTGTTGGTCAAGACCTTTTTAATCACTGAATGTATTCATTTTTCCAGGCGACAAGTGGCATTCGTCAAACTGGGGCAATCATTTCATGTGTTCTAGAATGCGTCAGGACAGTTCCAGTTTGGGATACATGTCCTGCTGTCTTGGTTACTACTTTGAAAACCCTCTTCTCAAGAAGTAATACAAAATTTAAAAAAAATACCCTATAACCACAACAGAGGCATAATATTACATACATATATTTGCCATGTGGACATTTTGGCACCTGGTAAACATATAATATACAAATTAAAGAGTAAATGTTCTGTTTACCAACCTGCTTATTCAAGAAAATGTAGATGATGGGGTTATACACAGTGCTGCTCTTTGCAAGTACAGAAGGTATGATGCTGGCTGAAGGAGTAATCAGACCTGGCTTTCCAAACGTAGCAATTAACGCCATGATACCATACGGTAACCAGCAAAGTAAAAAACAGATTACCATCACTATGACCATAACAAGAACCCTCTGTTCTCGGTTGCGTGCCGTTCCTTTAGTAACTCCGCTGATCTGGTAATAAAATCGAAAAATCATTTTTTTAGATATCTAAATGGCCATTGTATTTAGACAAAACAGTATCAACAATATGTTAACTTATTATTTTTTTTAGAGGGTGGGGGTTTACATTATATGCAATTGGAATATAATAAACAAAAAGTTATTGATTGAAGGTTATTTATCCTCTGCTGGTTGACATATTTATCAATCTAATACCACAGTCTAAAATAATTGCAATAAATAAACAAAGTTATCCATGTTTAGTATAATGAGTAGAGAATTATATCAGTGCAATGCATTATGAACCAGAACAAATTGTATTGTTTCTTTTAAACTTGTCTTTTTTTCTACCTTGTCTATTTTGGTCTAACAATTGCAGTCATAAACAAAAAAAAAAATTTAAAAAATGTGAGTAAAGAGAAAATAAAAATTGGATATTGCCTAAATGATATAATAAACATATTCCATGTATGTAGATGCTATATTACTATAGAAATAACGCGAATCAAGGCCGAATGATCACCGTTCCACAATGACAACAGAAAACACAATTACATTCTTTTCATTCTAAACTCCATTATGCCGAACATTCCGTTCAGCAATTCTTCCATGAGAAATAAAGCATGTTGGCATGAACAGTACTCTATCAAGTGTAGTTTGATAAAAGTCCACAGTGAAAGCTAATGTTACCTTCTATTATAAACCTACTGAAAAAGAGGGGGAAATGGTTTGTTTCAGATGCCCAGGGAACCACTTTATTTGTCTGTAAAGCTTTTTTTTACACTAAAAATCGAATTTATAGTTCCTATTTTTCGTGTTTATCCACATTTGCTTTTTAGAAACTGACATATTGAAGAAGTTTCAAATATTTTCTACCTCTTTTTCTTGTAAATGGAGGTTCTATCATCAGGAAAGCTATTAAGAGTTTCTTAAAAGGAACTGTCACATTTTAGATAAGGCTTCATTAGCACCCAGGACATAAAAGTAGCTATTAGTTGTGTTATTAAATTCATGTCTCTGTTTTTTTTTCTGTTAAGGATACTATTTAATTATGAACTTTGTGAAATAAATGATAAAACGTAAAATAATTAAAATGAAGGCATATAAAGCACCTTAGATTGATACATTTACAATCAGGCAGCTAACATCTTTCTGAAAGGCATAGATAAGGCATGTCATGCAAATAGTGCAAAAACAAATACAAAGTACAGGGTGCGCAATTAAAAACAGCACCACACAATGTGATATACTTATATCAAGGAGGACCATACAATTTGTCTCTGGTTATCTGTAAAATATAAAACTGTACATAGTGTAATAATGTAAATATACAGATATTAAAGTACACAGAGGTAATGGGTCACTCACTCTTCCCAGAGCCACGTATAGCTGGATTCTAAGGCTAAGCAACCACTGTGATATTAATACAAATAGAGGTGTCGAGGTAAGACCAGGACTCGCTGGCTGCCCATTATGAACAAAGCATATGATTTACTCATATTTCAGGTAATGTAGCCTGATACCACTACATTTAAAGCTCTGCTTTTAGTAAATTTTGCAGGTTAGGATGTTATTTGACATGGTGCTCCCATGGTGACATAGCTGTGCTACCTGCACCTGTGTTTTCCCAAAGATTTTATTTTTAATGATTGACATCCGAGCATCATTAGCAGTGGTGCCCTGTGCAATCCTACATGGCTTTAACAGACAGATACAATTTTATTTTGCCTTGGAGATTGTCCACTTTGGAATGAAACATGTAGGACAGAGGATCGCATTGCTTGGCTGGAGAAGGGATACTGTATGACTCCCTCAAAAACCTGATGTGCCTGTTTAGATTTTTTAAAACGTGAGTGGATTTTATGCTTTATAGAAAATGGTCTCCACTGTATGGCCTGTACTGTATGTCTCTCTGTTTCCTCGTATAAATGAACATGTAACAAGAGACAAAAAAATGTAAATATCCTCGGTCTTCTAATATGGCTTTGGTCCATTCAAGGCACTCCTTTCAAGAATGTCTTGTGAGTGTATATTTGGTATAACCAAATATAGTTAAAGTGTGTTATGTGTTGCTGGGACCTTTCTTTCAATATGTACTTTTTCCATTTTACCCCACTTGTCTATACATTTCTGGGGGCATGACCTCTCGCTTGTACTATCCAACCTGTCGTAATTCCTCTTGTATTCACCAGATGCAGACATGTACATGGAACATGTAGAATGAAAACAACTCTCTGTATACATGTATTCATGCCTGTGTCTGTGTGCATTCCTGTATATTAATGTCTGGAAACTTATCAGCATGCCTGTCTGGGTAGTCATGCCTAGTTGTATTTGCAAGACTGTGTTCATACTTGTATAAACTATAACCACTATAGGACTGTATATGGGTTAAAAGAGAACAACGTGCTTATAAAACAGAGAGCCAGTGGTATCAGCTTCAGTGATCATTCTCCAGACTGTGACCCAAGTGTAGAGCTATAATTGACACGTGCCTATTTAATTAACACATTGTTTGAAAGCCATTTCTCCAGAGATTAAATGATTTTATCCCTTTATTGATAGAGGAAGAAAAATGATCCCCAAGGACACCAATCAAAAGCAAACTTAAAAAAACACAAGTTTATTAATTTTGCATATGGCTGAAAATTAGATGAACATCATATCTTCTATAAATTATTGACTAGGAAAAAAGGAAAAAGGTACAGGGACATGATTTTTAACGATGTTACACATATTAAGTATTTATGGCGAATAAAATAAAGTAAATCTGAACTTATCCTGCAGAAAGAAGAACAATGAACACACCTGGAGACATTGCCTAAAGTAGCTAAATGTTCTCACAGACTTGCAATGTTATTATTTTTGTTTAATATATACTAACGAACACACTTTTATCTAAACTATGTTACAGAATTATAGTTGTCTCATCTCATGGCAAGCTGAATTAACAGAACACATGCCGCAGACCATACCAAGCACAGAAATACATAATTTATCTAAAGTGGCAGGGATTGCGAGGCTGGCCAGACATTAACAGACACTCAATGTGAAATAATAAGGCTTCTACTTTTAAAAGATAGAAAACATGCTTTCTTTAATATCTGAAAGTCTCCACATATGTCACTGCAGTATCAAACCTAAAAAGAATATACAATAAAAAAATATGAATAATTTATTAAACATAGATTGCTTATATTTTCATTCTTTTTGTATTTATAGAACTGTATTTGTGTGGTTTGTCCGGTTGTGGACAACATTTGCCATGATAATTACTCCAATATGGCAGGACCATGTGTTTACAGTCCACAGTGTGATTAAAAACATGAAGAAAAAAACAAACCCAACCCCACTATATTAATACATACAATAAGTGTTAGACTATTATCACCTGTTTAGGAGTCATAGTTTATTGACCTGGGTACTTTTTGGTAGTTTGTAGGCAAACATTTTATAGGCAAACACCGCCAAAGCTTATGTTATATTCTGCTTTTGTATTTTTCACAAGCACACCCACCATTGCATTTTCTCAGTTACCCGAGCCGGTGGAAGAATTTTTGGCTGGAAAAGCAACATTTTATCACCTCCAGTGTAGTGCTTTAATCAGATTATCTGTGTGCCAAACAATTATTATGGCTATTCTTTTTTATTTTTTTATTATAACGCTTTTCCTTTAAATAATGTATTTAAAAAAAAAAAACATTAAATTCATGCAGACCACTTCATCTGAATAAAGTGGTCTGTGTGCAGTGGTCCTATCATTTTAACATGTAAAACATTAGAATTTGCATCAAGCATTATATGATTATTAATAGTGATGTCCCGAACTGTTCGCTGAACGGTTCGCTAATGGTTCGCCACGGTTCGCCACGAACGGTTCACCGCGGACTCATCATTGAGTAAACTTTGACCCTGTACCTCACAGTCAGCAGACACATTCCAGCCAATCAGCAGCAGACTCTCCCTCCCAAACCCTCCCACCTCCTGGACAGCTCACTAAGAATGCAGCTTCACAATAGATGCTGTCCAGGAGGTGGGAGGGTCTGGGAGGTAGGGTCTGCTGCTGATTGGCTGGAATGTGTCTGCTGACTGTGAGGTACAGGGTCAAAGTTTACTCAATGATGAGTCCGCGGCGAACCGTTCGGCGAACAGTTCGGGACATCACTAATTATTAATTTATCTTTCCAACACAGATATGCATAGAAGAAAATCAAAGATTTCCTCAATAAAGGAGGAAGAAGAAAAAAAAGAGAACCCCCCCCACAAATAGTGTAAACATATGCTGATCTAATGTGATGACTCATTATGTGCAAAGAGGCTTTCAGGTTCCATTGTGGATAAATTGAGATATAATTAGTTTACATGTGCTTATAATGATTCCATTAATTCTACCAAAGAAGACAAAATAATCTGATTTATAAAAGTGTCAATTTCTATTAGACACACTCTTCACATATAAAGGTTTTTATCAAGCTAAAGTGCTCTAGCGCAGTGTTTCCCAACCCAGTCCTCAAGGCACACCTACCAGTCCAGGATTTAGGGATTACAGGGTGTGTCTAAGGTGTTTTTACAAAGAAGAAAAAAAACACCTTAGACACAACTGGGTAATCCCTAAATCCTGGACTGGTAGGTGTGCCTTGAGGACTGGGTTGGGAAACACTGCTCTAGCGTAAATAAAATTCTATATATCTCAACCAGTGTTTGTTTTATAACCAACTTTATCTAACTCCCACTATATACCAATAATGTAGTATCTTAAATTGAAGTTCATTTAAATTAACGCAATGAACTGCTTTTCTTATTTGTGACCAAGAATGAAACCACGAATCCATCGAAAAGGATTTCTGTAAATCATCCTCCCATTCCTTAGAACTACTCAATTTGTCAGAAAACTCCAGTTTTGTAGATCAGAAACCTTAGAGATTAGCTTATTTGCATTGTGATTATCAATAACTAGATATTGTGTGAGCATTAAATAGACAAGTTCTTAGAAGATTTTTTTGTTCTTATAAAAGAAAATTGTTCTTTATTCGATCATCCCTATTTCATATGTATTTCAAGAAAAGTTGTCAGTTCAGTATCGAAATATATATCTGAAAGATACCTAATTTTGGATAATATCCATCCTACAGCCATAATATGCTCCATATTCCATTTAATAATTTCAATTGGAGTAGAAGATGTAAATGAATGCAGAGATGACTGTCATGCGGTAACACTTCCGGGTTCGGCACTCAGCTGTGAGGAGCCGGACCCCGCCCCCCTCTGACGGCTCTGACAGTATTTAGGGAGACCACGCCAGAGAGAGGGTGCTTGGTGATACTGGGAGCTACTTCCGCCAGACTTACCTCTCCACAGGCTCTGGCAATGTGGGTCCTACTTCCGAATATGTACGCCGGCTCTACAAACTCTGAAGTCGTCCTAGCCTTCTGGACTAAGACAAGTATGCTTCATGTCATAGAGGATTACTGGAGAACGGAAACTCACTTACTTTACAAGTGGATCATATCCATAAACTATTGGAGAACTACTCAGATTAACCTTAAGTATATCTTTCAGCTATTTGTCTACAATATCATTTAATAATGAACTAATGCTTGCTTACTCAAATCTTCATTGCTTTAAGCTACTGATTATATGGAGGACAACTCCCATCATGCCTATTTACTATGAACTGTTTCTTGCTTTGCAAATACATTCATTGCTTCAAGCTACTGATTTATATGGAGGACAACTCCCATCATGCCTATTTACTATGAACTGTTTCTTGCTTTGCAAATACATTCATTGCTTCAAGCTACTGATTTATATGGAGGACAACTCCCATCATGCCTATTTACTATGAACTGTTTCTTGCTTTGCAAATACATTCATTGCTTCAAGCTACTGATTTATATGGAGGACAACTCCCATCATGCCTATTTACTATGAACTGTTTCTTGCTTTGCAAATACATTCATTGCTTCAAGCTACTGATTTATATGGAGGACAACTCCCATCATGCCTATTTACTATGAACTGTTTCTTGCTTTGCAAATACATTCATTGCTTCAAGCTACTAATTATGTGGAGGACAACTCCCATCATGCTTATTCACTATGAACTGTTTCTTGCTTTGCAAATACACTCATTGCTTCAAGCTACTAATTATATGGAGGGCAACTCCCATCATGCTTATTAACTATGAACTGTTCTTGCTTTGCAAATATTCTCAGCTACTTGCTTAAAGTTACTATTGAAGATTATTCTCATGAACTTAAAGAATGTTACTTAATGCATCTCTGAGGAAATACTTATTGATGAACTTTGTTGTTGATTACTTGCACTTCTTCTTATTGGATTATTGCCTAAATGCAATTCATTTAAGTTTAACACTTATTAAAACTTTGTTTGAATCAAGTTACCAGCGATTCTCTCTTCTTAAAGCTACAGTATTGATACTTTAAAGATTCTCAGTTTCTTCACAATTGTAATTAGGGAGTTTTACAAGCTGAAGTTAAGTTCCAATCCAAATCACCCAAGTAGCGTAACAATGAAATTAACATTCTTATTTTCAGCAGTGATATAATTACTGGACAGTTTATGTATAATTTTATAATCCATGTAATATCCGACCAGTATTGATTAAACTGTTCTCTATCTCCCAAACACCATCTCTCATAGATAAACCATCCCATTTGTGTTCTTTCTTGTAATCCCATGCTAAGAAAAGTACACACATGGTTGCTTCATTGATTCTATATAGATCTGTGTATTCTAAACCATCCTCGTTAATGTTTTTTGTTGTTGTTCCATACAAATGAATAAAATAATTAGTCAATTGGTTTTAGACAGATTGAGAAACTCTTAGACGGATGGGTCTGAAAAAAAGAATAGAGAGGTATACTTCACATGAATAAAATCTTTTAAATGAAAGGTAATTTTAACTCCCAAATAGTCTAGTACTTGATTAGACCAAATTAAATGAAATAGATTGTTTAGTTTAATCAATTCTGGTGGAGCCAAATATTTGAAAATAACTTGTTTCTATGTTAAAATCAGTTTATAATTTGAGTATGCACTAAATCTATTGATGATGTCCAGTACACAAAGTGAGGTCAATGTCAAGAGGATATCATCTGCACATAGCGTTATTTTTTAATTATCTGATCCTATTTCTAGTCCTTGAATTTCAGTGAAAGTGCATATCATTATAGCAAGGGGCTCTATTGTTAGAGCAAACAAAAGTGGGGCCAGAGGACAATCTTGTCTTGTACCATTATTAATTTTAAAGTAAGACGAGTTTAATAAGGGACTGTAGCTTGAGGATTTACATATCAAGTTAAAATGGTTTTTTTTTTTTTTTCATCTATTCCAAAAGCTTCCAGATTGCCAGACAGAAATTTCCAAACGACTTTGTCAAAAGCTTGCATCAAGTGCTAAAAAACACTGATAGTATCTCTTTGTTACTAACTTCATATACTATATGAAATAGCTTTCTTACATTCTTCCCCTGATCTCCCTATAATAAAATCTGCATTACCTACATTAATCAAATCGGAAGGAACCAGTTTTAACCTTTCAGCTACAGTTGTAATCAAAATTATTAATCACCCATTGGAATTCAGATTAATTATGAATTAGTCAAACAAAAGCAATTGACATAGCTGAACACAATGAATGTTTCAACTGAATATACAACTTATAGTGAATTCTCCAGTATAACAATAATTAAACCCCCTGATAGAATTCTTCACAACAGCACATATATACAAAATAGATGTTGTCTCGAGCACACCTGAGGCAACTAAACAAGGGCTATATTGTGTGCTTGAGCTGGAACACTTGAAATACTTGAACTGGTACATTTGACTGCATGCTAGAATAGTCCTCAAAGTTAAGAGAAGAGATCTTCACCCTTCACAAAAAAGAAACAAGATATAAAAAGATAGCAAAATATTCCTGGAGACAAAATTGGAAACATAGTTTGCTAGTCGAAGTTGAAGGAACAGTGGTTACACTATCTGTATGGGGCAGAAAAAGGAAGCTATCAATGACTGCCACCAGATTTCTGAGAAGGAAGGTTGTGAAAAACCCTTAAACGATTGCAAAAGACCTGCAGCCAGACTTGGTGCCAACAGGCTCTGAGGTTTCGGTGAGCACAGTAAGGCGTGTACTAAATGGAGAAGGATTCCATGTCAGAACTCCAAGATGTACACCACTAGTGACCCAAAAGCAAAGAAAATGTGTCTCCAATATGCTCAAGTTAATAAATAAGCCACAGAAGTTTAGGAATTCTGTTCTGTGGATTGATGAAACAAAACCGGAACATTTCAGCCCAACGGATCAGTGGAGTGTCTGGAGGAAGAAGAATAAAGCATATGCTGAAAAAAACATTACGCCTACAGTTAAGCATGATGGTGGCTCTGGAAACCTGCAATGTGTGGCAAGCAAGATGGATTCATTGAAGTATCAAGAAGTCCTAGGAGAAAATATGCAGTTTGTGAGGAAGCAGAAGCTTGGGGGTCATTGGATCTTCCAACAAGACAATGATCCCAATTATATCTGTCATGGCACAGCCAGGTACTCACCTGCCCCTGAGCGCCCGCCCCTCCCTCGTGGAAGAATTGCAGTTCTCACTGCTCCTGAAGTATCCCCTTCCGGGTCTGGGGCAGCTTCTTCTATCCCTCTCACCGTTGAAGTCCGCGGCGAGCACGCTGTCGCGTCAAGATGGCAGCTGCCATGCAGACCCGGCGTTCTGCACAGGGAGAAGGGGGAGAGCTGCAGATCCATAGGGGAGGAACAGGTCAGGGACCATGGTGTAAAACAAGATGGCGCTGAGTCCCTGAACTCTTTATATAACCCCTGTGTGCTCCACCTACTGGTGGGGGGTCATGTGATCACATCCAACCAATTAAACCCAGCACACCTTCCAGTCAGTGCTTGGTTATTTTGCTTATCGCTTTATACCTGCCTATTGCCCTAATTTCCATCTTATGTTCCTGGTTCCTGATCCTTGATTCCCTGGTTGATTGCTCCCTCCTGCTTTCTGACCTAATTCCAGATTGATCAAATACTTCTGCTTGCTGCCTGACTGCGATTTTCATTTACTTTTCCTGCTCCTGCTTCCTGGAATTCTTCTATTCATTAAATGCCTCCACGCCACCACAGACCCTTTGGGACCCTGTCTCCACTTCCAGGTGCTCCTAAGGGTCGTGATAGTAAGGGAGTGCTGTTCCGCTGCAATTGGGTTCCATCAGCTCCACGAATCCCCAGGTTGGTGTGACATAATAACCAAGCCATTTAAATATGGAACAGCTAAGGCCATTACCGCATTAACCCAACAAATGTCGGCCTTATCCCAAGCCATTCAGGATTTGCAATACCGCACTGCTACAGCGTGAACAAAGAAGAGCTCAGTCTGTACCTCAGCCGGACTCGTCCCCTTCTGGTGTCCATATGACACCTATGTCTTTTGAACCAAACGTTCCTATGCCTGACAAATTTACAAGGAAAAAAGACTGAACTTCGTTCATTCATTACAGAATGCGAATTACTCTTTACTCTGAAGCCACGTACCTACCCTAATGACTTTGTGAAGGTTCGTACTACCATTGCTTCACTATCCGGTCAACCTCAGACCTGGGCACACCAACTTTTGCATTCCAATAGCCCAATATTGGATTCATGGAATTCATTTGCTGCAAACATGGGCTCGTTATATGATGATCCTTTGATACCTTCTGCTGCCCTCCGGCAAGGGAAAAGACCTGTGGAGGATTATACCACAGATTTCCGGGAGCTAGTTGCTGATGCCGGTTATAATGAGACTTGTTTAATAGAGCAATACAGATTGGGTCTGTCTGAGGCCTTAAAAGACGAAATGGGTTAAGATTCCTCAGGAACGCTGCTAGAAGCTGATTTCTGGCTATGCATCTTGTTTGTAGCAGGTCATAACAGCAAAGGGAATTCTACTAACCACTGAAGACGCTTGCCATGAAGAGGTTGAATAATTTTGATCAAAGTATAAAAACACAAACAACAAAATATGTGAACACAACCCCAGTGAGAAAAGTATACAATTTAAAGCAGACCGGGACTTTCCTGTATTAGGCGAAATATACAGGTAAGTCCCCAAAGACTTCCTCTTGTCTTCAGCAAACACATACAAATAGAATAGGGGATAGTCTGCTAAATACAAATAAAAAAACATAGCGTTTAACTGTGTGGGAGTTAATGACAGTGTGCAGTCACAATTGGTCACTCACAAATTTTCTGATGTAAAAGCAGCCTTGAATGGTATCTTTTCCTTCAATGTCCACTGTATTGTTCCTCCTCACACTTCCATCAGTAAATTGGCATATATGGCTCAAAAGGAAAAAATACAAAAAAGGTAGTGCACTTCCAGAGTATAGTAAAATTTTTTTAATAACTTACATTTAAGTATCAAACAAATCACATGTCACCATAGGAGCGTCCTACGCATTTCGTCCTATAATTGGACTTCCTCAGGGACTTGGTGAAACAAATACAGCAGTAATAACAGCAATAAAAGCTTTCCCTCCCACAGTTCTTTTATATATCCCCCATACAATTTAATTATCAGATGATTCCCTGCCGGTGTTCAACTTCCGTTTTGGCGGCATTCTCTGTGTGTTTAAAATCGGATGACGTCATTACGTGCGCCGTATGTGTTCCATCTTGCCGGACCCGGAAGTAAATTACACCCTCACAATTCATAAAAATATATAAAAAAAGTATGTATGAAATATATATACACAAATAACAACATAGCTTAGCAATGGTGTAGATTTATTTGTGTGTGTGTGTGTGTATATATATATATATATATATGTATATATATATATACTTTTTTTAAATATATTTTTATGAATTGTGAGGATGGAGATTTATGTACATGTGTCTATTATGTAGAGATGCACTTTTTACATAAATCAAGATTTTTCATAAGTGTTATACTTTCATATACATAAAGTAAGTGGTTAATGGATATATGTGCATATTTTTGCACCTACAGATTACATTATAACGCATATTGTAATTATCATAATTTTTATTAATGTGGTGCCATCCAGAGTTTTTTAATAGTATTTCCCCCCCCCCCCCCCCCCCGCCCTGTTCATCCATCCACCCATACATGCTCGGAGCAACTACAATGGTGAAAAAATAAACGATCGTAATTTACTTCCGGGTCCGTGGAACGCAAGATGGAATTAATTGTATGGGGGATATATAAAAGAACTGTGGGAGGGAAAGCTTTTATTGCTGTTATTACTGCTGTATTTGTTTCACCAAGTCCCTGAGGAAGTCCAATTATAGGACGAAACGCGTAGGACGCTCCTATGGTGACATGTGATTTGTTTGATACTTAAATGTAAGTTATTAAAAAAATTTTACTATACTCTGGAAGTGCACTACATTTTCTGTATTTTTTCCTTTTGAGCCATATATGCCAATTTACTGATGGAAGTGTGAGGAGGGACAATACAGTGGACATTGAAGGAAAAGATACCATTCAAGGCTGCTTTTACATCAGAAAATTTGTGAGTGACCAATTGTGACTGCACACTGTCATTAACTCCCACACAGTTAAACGCTATGCTTTTTTATTTTATTTGTATTTAGCAGACTATCCCCTATTTTATTTGTATGAATAATTTTGAGACTGGAGAAATCAAAAGTTGCATTTTCAGTTGAATATAGCGTAAACCCTTGGAAGCCTTCATCGTGTTGAGTTATTTCAATTGCTATTGTTTGATTTGATCAGCTGAAAGTCTATAGATTTTGACAATAAAATTGGCTTTCAATGGGGTGTGAATAATTTTTATTACAACTGTATAATCTTAGAAAAAACTTTGATATCAATATTGATTAAAAAGAGTGGTCTGTAGTTAGAGACAAATTTAGGTTCTTTGCCAGGTTTAAGGATCAGGGAGATTGTTGTTTGTAGCATCTCATTTGGAAATCCGTTGGAATCATCAAGACCTTCGAATACTCTTACTAATAAAGGAGAAATGATAGGCTCCAATATTTGGAATAACAATGCCGAATATCCATCTGATCCTGGAGCATTACTTTTCTTCAATCCTGAATAGTATATTTTATTTCAGACAGTATAATAGGCTTATTAGTTTAAATATGTCTCAGATTGGTTTTATTTATGTTTTTGTATTTCAGTTCCTTTTCACAATTTAAAAATTAACTCACATAAAATGAGGCAGGATTTTATAATGGTGGGTGACAAACATATTCTTAAATTCTTTCACAGAGCAGCAAGCACAAAAATGCCACATGTTGCCTCAGATTATTTCTAACTTTCCACAGCCGCCAAAATCACTACCTATGGAAAGGCAAATGAGAACTCACACAGTTTGTATCGTTATCTTGCCTCTGTCAAGGGTTTCTGGCTGTTGTCTAAACACAAAACACGGGAATTAATTAGGTAACTCCGTGTGTGCATCGCTTTATGTGTTTTGTCTTTTATGTACTGTACTTTGAACAGTGAAGTGGTTTACACTTATTTTGCCTACAGGGCTTTTCATAGGAACATTACATCCGGTTAACTCATTTAACATAGTTAAATGTCAAAGTACTTGAAGATAAATTGTCCATTGTCCATAACTTTAAGGCACGTTCGTCTACTGTACATACAATAACATTTCACAAATAAAGAACACAGGTCATCTCAAAATGAAAACATTATAGGACTTTTCACTTCTTGATGGAAATACAAAATGTTAAAACCATTTCCTGGTTAACTATGGAGGCATCACTATTGGATAGCTCCTCACCTTTGCTTACCAGAACAGAAAAAACAAGAAGTAAATAAAACGTATAATTAATTAGAAAAGGTGTAAGCCATCTGCATCCCCAGAATATCCGGCATTGTTTTCCTTGGCCTCAGTAAAAAGTGCATTTTTATCCGAATGTCTCTATTCTATAGATTTTTTTTGTAACTCGCATGCCATGTTTTCATTTTTTTTAAGCATTTTTGTACTAAAATGTACAATGCTTTTAGCAGACGCATACAAAGGTGGAGAGAAAGTAATAAATTGTGCATCTTTTTTTCAAAAACAAAACTGTACCAAGACTGAATTACAATTTCGAACTGAGATAAAGAAAAGGTCATCCGAGCTACCCTTACCAGGAAAGGAAAATAATCAACAAATTTTTATGAATGCATTTTATAGGGGGAGTGTAAATTTCCAAGCCCTTGTTAAAAGTGATCTGGCTGCTTCATAAATTAAAGAAGCAAGTAACGTATCTTTGACAACGAGCCGTCGATGATAAAGATCAAATAATGCAAGAACTAAAGACACATTTGTCAAATTTGGCAGGAAATATAAAATAGTGTCTTTGAATAAAGTTCAAAACTTCCATTCAGTAGAGGGGAAATAATACGGCATTGCCACATAATATATTCTAATGTGCTTTTCACATTGCAAAACCTCAAACACAAGTTGTCATTTCAATTATAAAACTTGGAAATTCATTCTGGAGTCACATACCAACATAACCACAATTTATTTGATGTTTCAATATGTGTGGAACCTTTAGTAGCTTTAGATAATAAGCACGGAGCTGCTGTCTACACTGACAAGGTAATATCTGAGCACAAAATTGCATTGCATTTTATTAGATGTGGTTGTAAATTATAAAAAAAAAATTGAAATATTCCTCTTATCCCTACAGTTTGAAAAACATATGGTAATCATTTGGGGGAAAAAATCTGGCAAAGGTAAGCATAGATTTCCATAGGCTTTCAAAAATGATAAATTACTTAAAGATATTAATAATTATCAAGGTGTGTGAGATAAACCATTGCTTAACTCTGAGAATAGGAATAGGTTTATCCTGAGAGAAAAGGTCAGAAAATCTGTAAGGACCTTTGTTAATCCAAGAGTTCAGTGATAGATGAGGGATACAGAGCTCCAAAGCTTCCAAGGAAGAGGATAGCGAGAATGAATCAGATGGGGTGTAACATTTTGTATCAATGTACAGAGGGCAAGGCTATGTTTAGAAGTGGGCAAAATTTGAGGGGAAAAAAGGAGATTGTGTGCATGATGGGGATATCCAAAGAAATGGTGCAGAATAAAAGGAGTTCGAAAATAATTTTATAATTTCTATAAGTAAATGAGCAATGTGAGAAGTTTTATAGTAAAGCTTTATATTGGGCTTCTTCAATCCACCCATATTAACTGATAATTGTAAAGTAGGAGGATGGGGGGGTTCCATATGAAGTGAAGGTAGTTTTGGATAGGTACCTTGCTGTCCTTCTCCTTGTATTCTACTGATCCCATTCAATATTGTTTTGGAGGACTAGCAACCCATATTTAGGTTGTGTAAATACTGTTATTACCATTCAGAGTTTACGTCTCTCTGTAGAACACATACGTATTGAAAACAGTGTCTGTTCTTCTGTACCAATTTTAATGCAGTATGTGGTGTGAATAAGAAGCAAGGTTTAGAAAGACTGAACTTGATGGATGTCTTTTTTTTTCAGCCTACAGAACTATATAAATGTGTATCAGGTACCGAAGACATAATATATGCTCCAAGTTGGAGTGCATGCATAGAGATACGATATGAGATGCATTGGATCAAGTACTGCAAAAGAACGTTGAAAAAAAAAAACAGCTAGAGATTCATTTTAAAGCCAGAAGAGATTGAAGTATAAATTACATCTGGATGTTACATGGTACATATACCCTTAAAAAGGTATTTTAATAGGTAAAACGTGCTGGGTGATCATATCTCGCTGATTTTATCTTCATTTTACGTACTGTGACTCCTGTACAGTTTTATGTTGCTTTCTTTCTAAAATGTGATTGTGCTGCACTATTCTTTTATGAAGGCAGTATATTTTATTATTTTTGTCTTTCCTGTGCTTTTTAAGATAACTGAAGCTGAGCCACAACATTGCTCTGCTTCTGTACATGGGGGTAGCGATGTACATGTGAGACCTCACGGAACACAAATATGAGTGTTTAAGAGCAGCAAAATGTATGATGATGATCATTTCATCAGAGAAAGTACTTTTTGTGTGAAAAATGCAAAAAACTAATATAAACACTAACTTTGGCCAGGGTTTGTGATTAAGTGGCTACTTAAACAGACTGGACATACCACATTTTGAATACCCTGGGTTGTCTACTTTTGCAATTAGTATGCAATGATGGGGATAATTTTCATTCTTTGACTGCCATACGGTTTCTTTAGAAATGTGATGGCTGAACAAGAAATCACAGAAAAACACGTGACATTCTATGTAGTAGTATTATCAAAGCAATCTGGGAAAAGCAGCAGATTGGGAGGTGGAAGCAGAAAAAGTGGGATGAAGGCTTAAAACAAATTAATATTTTTTTAAATTAATTAAATTATACACATCACATAACTAATGGATCTAACCCATACATGCTACTAGACTTGGACATTCATTTCAGTCTAAACAGCATTTCATCCAAATCTGGGTCGAAAAGGTGATCGGTCGAATTCCTGAATCGAAATGTACCCAAATCACAAACCTAACTAGCTGCGCAATGTCCGAACATGTCTATTTAGATTTTTGATTCTAAATTCTGCCTGTGGTGCCAAAATAAGAGGTAATTGATGGGAAAAAAGGATGATAGGGAACAGTCAATACATTGAATTTTAGTGACAAGTGAGCAACACTGGGCAATAGAGAGAAAAATTAATAATACAAATATACAATATTTAAATGAAGATTTCTTTAATGCGCCTCCTGTTTTTACCTCTGTTGGTTACCTTTTCTCATTTGATCTTGAACCAAACAAACATTTTCCTTCCTTTGTGGTTCGTTTGCTTTGTTTCTAAATTGGGTTGTGCCAAACTGAACCAACAAATGCCCAGAATCTGGAGTTTCAAAAATGTTTCTATTTCCTGGAAAAATGGTTCAACAAACCAAATTTTCAAAGCCACGCAAAAAGGTACCTGTTACCTAACGTGCCTTCTCTTTTCTTTCTAGTGCACAGTTTGTAACGATGGAAATCATTTAAGCAATTTACATTCTATAAAACGGAGCCATGTATCATACATGCAGGTTTATAAACACATAAAATTAAGAAATATTTTGGATTTCAAAGTGGTGTATACTTGCAATAAACTTGGACAAAGAATATTTTGGCACATTTACTATAGGGCAGCTGCCACATGAAAGAGATTTATAAGGTCAAACAAATCATTTTTCATAATTATTGCCATACGAACTACAATGATTTCTTGTGTGGTTTCAAATAATATAGTATCTCCTTCTAATAATATTTAAGGCACGGTAATTATACATTCTGCGTTTCTTCTCAAAGATTTATTTTGGAATGGAGATTGTAAATCTTTAAACAATCCACTTGAACATTGCTAGGTCATAAAATCTCATTAAGATGGGACATTCAATGTGTATGTGTTTGTGGCTTAGTAGTGTGTGTGCGTGTGCTGTTGCGTATAACATAATTAAGAAATTTGCCTTAAAGTGGTCGCAGAATCCCCTAATCTTGTTATTCACCAGCTAAGATCACTCATATTGCCTATGTAATGAGAAGAATGGACATGTGCCATTCAACTCTTGACAGAAATCAATATAATACGCTGAAAATTGTTTTGTCTTTGACACACATTTTAGAGGGCGAGTAGCTTCACATTCAATGTTCCATTTTTTTGAGGAAATAGAGGTCATGTATGTTTTTTACATGATTTTCTCTGTATTGTTTTAATACTTAATTTAATAACCCCATCTATTAATAGCACTGTAACAGTTTTGTATTTACATTTTAAGCTAAATTATTGTTGCATTGCATCTGAGCGTATTAACCATTGGGTTCCACTCATTCACACAGCACAATGAAGTAAAATGAGATGATCTGTAATAAGTATTGATACTGCAATGTGCAATAATACACAATTAGATACATATACCCGTAGACCACTTGGGCTTTGACCCAGAATGCTAGAGGGCTACAGCAAATACTGTTGTATCGGTTGAGTATTTTTTAGGCCATTTCTCTTTTAAATTAGGTGGACACCTGTTTCTGCGCAGTTGGGTCACCTGTTCACTTACTCTTCCTAATACTTTACCACATATACATAACATGACTCCCCAACACACACAATGTAGATTGAATTAGCCGTATTATTCTAGTTGACAACAAGCCAAAATATGCAGTATTCCCGTATGAAATTATACCTTTTTTATTCGTCTAACATAACATTAATAAACAAGCTTTCAACAGTTATCCTCTCTTTCTGTGGAACAGTATTGTTTCAGACTGTCACACCAGAGGAAGAAAGGATGACTCTCAAAAACATGTCTTTTAAATATATTCTAATGTATATATTTATTTATGTATTTATTTTTTCACCTTAAAACATTATTTCTATGTGTATTCCATATCTAACGCACGATACTATTAAGGCACTTGATCATCTACTTATCACTACACGTCTTAACTACTACAATTCAGTTTTCATTGGCCTTCCCAATAAACCTTAAAAGTTCATAAAAATGCCACCCCGTAGATTTCCTCTCCGATTCACAAACAAACCCCTTCTTTGGCACTTCACTTTAGACATGTGCAAAAATGTGTTTTGTCGATTAATCGATTTAATACATCCCAGTCAAAAGTGCATCCACAGACATTACACAATCCCATTAACTACCAAGGGGCAGTTGTGCAAAATTTCAGTATGATAGTAACATTATTCTAAATGTATCACTGCATATCTGCTCACATTTTACATTGAAAAGGCAGATTACGCAGGAAACTGTGTCCGTTCTCTCTTGGCTTGTCTTAGTATAAAGGACCTCTTTTACATCCTCAAACAATGATGTAGCATGCCTCATACCGAGGAGTACTTTTACGTCACGGCTATGGAAACGGAGTGATGTGCCATTAGTATGCACCATGAGATATTTAGGGGGCAATAATGATTATAGGCATTGCAGGCTTGAGGGACTGAAGCCTCGGATTTGGGACTTTACAGCTAGTGAACAGGTTTTTTTTTTGGTTACATTTTATATCAGGCAGCTGTGTGTTATAGTAGTCACTTATAATAAAAAGAAAGGTTACTAGTATAGCATGCTGCCTGGTTACTTATGAGAACTATCAGAAGGGATAACAGAACTTGATAACGGAACTTTGCATTACAACCCTCCATTACTTAAAGGACCACTATAGTGCCAGGAAAATATACTCGTTTTCCTGGCACTATAGTGCCCTGAGCGTGCCCTCACCCTCAGGGTCCCCCTCCTGCCCGGCTCTGGAAGGGGGAAAGGGGTTTAAACTTACCTTTTTCCAGCGCTGGGCGGGGAGCTGTCCTCCTCCGATCCTCCTCTTTTCCTCCCCGTCGGCTGAATGCGCACACGCGGCAAGAGCTGCGCGCGCATTCAGCCGGTCACATAGGAAAGCATTCATAATGCTTTCCTATGGACGCTTGCGTACTCTCACTGTGAAAATCACAGTGAGAAGCACGCAAGCGCCTCTAGTGGCTGTCAATGAGACGGCCACTAGAGGAAATAGGGGAAGGCTTAACCCATTGATAAACATAGCAGTTTCTCTCTGAAACTGCTATGTTTATGAAAAAATGGGTTAACCCTAGCTGGACCTGGCACCCAGACCACTTCATTAAGCTGAAGTGGTCTGGGTGCCTAGAGTGGTCCTTTAAGTAGCATAATGGGATTACATTGAATACCTGAGTGTCAGATTGAGCCTGTTTCTGACTATGGTTTGATTGAAATCCTGGAGAGTATCAGTGGCAAGCAGAGGAAGGGATAAGTCATGATATACACCCACCTCTCTGTCAGTGCAGGGGTTTATCAAGTTCTCCCTGGGACTGAAGCACAATGTGTTTTTCGAATTTAGCAATCCCCCCTGTTTGCAGTTAAATCCATAACTGAAAATTAAAACTGTACATTTTTTATAGCTACCAGAACACTACAGTTTTATCATGCTCTGATATAGGAATCACAGTGTGACTTCCTGGGACACAAACATTTATGGTACTTTACATCAGCTTTGCACAGTTTGCTCGCAAACTTGAAAATGATAGAGGAACGACTTCAAAGTGGTAATGCAATGGGATTTAAGCCAGGAAAAGTATGCCTATGGCATTGCACTGTCAAATGAGATGGATCAAATGTTGTATACATATGACCTGAATATCATATGATGCTTGTGAAAAAAAATGAAATGGCTTATTTATCTGGACTTATTCTAGAAAGTATACACGTATAATTCTCCATCACAGTGAGAGTGACCTAGCATAAAAATATTATATTTGGTTTAATATAAGATACAATAGACATGGCTATAGGAAAGTCACGTTATGTTGGTGTCAGTGAGGTACATAGGCTATTACCTGCTCTAGGTCCTACTTTGTCTATCTGTCCATGTATGCATACTGCGTTCTGACACTTACAAATTCCCTTTCAGAGTAGGTACTGTAAATGTGTGTAAATACACATCTGTGTGTGTGTGTTCGTGTGTGTAAATATCTGTATACATGCTAACTTCTGTGTGTAATGAGTGCATGAATAGAACTGCATGTGATTAATATATGCAAATTCAAATGTAAAGGTGGATTGACTGTGTGAATGCAAGTGAATGTATTAGTGTATGCCTTCAATTTCCTGAAATATAGCTTCTAAAGCATGGATGAGTCATACATTAACATCTAGCCCGGTGATGTACGCGCATGATTTATAGCTTAACAGCTGTGTACATTTAACCAATAAACCTGTTTTGTTCTTTGTTTTTTTTTTTTTTTTTTAAGTTCAAACATTGCTTTGTATTCTTTGATATCATATTGTAGATTTATGATCCAAATCACATGTAAGTCTGTTAGAGAGGCAAAGGAAAATGTAAGGCATGGTGCGGTTTGTTTGCATGTCACGGGTTATAGCACAGTGTTCTGGAGGCAGCTTTGACATCACTGCTAAGGAGCACAAACTGGGCTCTTAAATGAACTAATTATTATAGCATTTACCAGTGTTTCCAAGCACACACACTGGGGAGAGTGGGGGAGGACAGTCAAATGTCACAATAATCTAAAAATCTTGGTGGAAAGCAGTTCTTGAGGACGTTGTCTAGAAGAGCTTTTTGTGTAAGAAGTTGTACATACACGATAATTCATTCCAGCAGAGGTGGTAGAGAGAAATGCAATGCAAAGTGTAAAAAAAATTGGGGGGAAAAAAAGAGCAGGAACACAAACCAACCTAAGAATAATAATTGTTCAGAAATAACAATTATGCAGATTAGGTAGGTCAACAGTTCTCTTTTACAATATTTAAAACTGTGAAGACATAGCAATGTGATTCAGATTAAGTAAAATCCCATATTTGTGTAGCAGGAATGCAATTGTTAAACCTGTTTTATAACTGATTACAGCATGAGAGTCGGAACCTTAAAGGATCCTCACTAGTATGTAATGCATTACTTATTTAATGACGAGAGATCTCTATATAGATGCTGAGACTAGACAAGCACTACATTCCATGCTGACACTGAATGTCTTGCTTTTTCTTAAGGGGCTAATTACATTTCAACTGAGAGCATTCTGATTGTTGTGTTCAGATTTGCTTCAAGGTGAGGGGTGAGGTGCTTTGATGGGAAGTGTCTATAATGGTGTGAGCTCACAGTAAGATGTATGAATTAAGGATCAATAAAGGAAGGAAATCTGTATACAGAGAAGTAAGCACTTGAGGGAAAAATGGGAGAAGCAGTAAAACAATTTCCCCCCTTCTCCCAATATTATGTATTTAATACACAGACAAACATCTATATATATATACAGTTGTGCTCAAAAGTTTGCATACCCAGGCAGAAATTGTGAAGTTTTGGCATACTTTTTGGATCTAGGACTGAGCATGCAAAAAAAAATATTTTATTAAAACAGTGACCATATGAAGCCATTTATTATCACATAGTTGTAAGCGCTATGTTTGGAGAGGGTTCTACAAGGCCTACAGTGAAAAAAAACCCATCCCCACTGTGAAAAATGGTGGTGGCTCACTGATGTTTTTTTGGGGGAGGGTGAAGGGGGATTGGGGTGAGCTCTAAAGGAATCTTGTGAAAATTGATGGCAAGATGAATGCAGCATGTTTCAGAAAATACTGGCAGACAATTTGCATTCTTCTGCACGAAGGTTGCGCATAGGTCGCTCTTGGACTTTCCAACATGACAATGACCTAAAATACAAGGCCAAGTGTAATCTCCAGTGGTTACAGCAGAAAAAGGTGAAGGTTCTGGAGTGGCCATCAGAGTCTCCTGACCTTAATATCATCAGCCACTCTGGGGAGATCTCAAATGTGGGTTCATGCAAGACGACCAAAGACTTTGCATGACCTGGAGGCATTTTGCCAAGACGAATAGGCAGCTATATCACCTAAATAAGGGGCCTCATAGACAACTATTATAAAAGACTGCACACTGTCATTGATGCTAAAGGGGCAATACACAGTATTACGAACTAAGGGAATGCAGACTTTTGAACAGAGGTCATTTCATTTTTTTTCTTTGTTGTCATGTTTTGTTTTATGATCGTGCCATTCTGTTATAACTTACCGCTGTGCAGTAACTGAACTTCAATTTCTTTAATTTAACTTGCCGTAACTTCCTAAGTCCTAACCTAACCTAGCTTTAATGAATCCTGTTTGGGCTCTTTTTACCATACGGGTGATACTCGAAAACTTAGAATATCGTGCAAAAGTTGTACTGTGGTCATTTTTTATATACAACCTGGAATGCAATGTTTATTTAGTTAAGATTTTCATTTTTTTTTTTTTTTATTATTTATAGTTTGCTTATAATATATTGTTTCTACTCCTGGGATGCTATGAATTTGTCTTACGAATGAGATCATTCTAAAAGATGAGTAATTTGATGAGATAATAATGCTAAATGTTATAAATGAATCAATGCTGTATTGTACTGTATTGTATCCCAAGAGAATGTAAAATTGAATAAAATAATAAATATTTTAATTAACAAATAAATAAATACCGTATTTTTCGCTCCATAAGACGCACCTCACCATAAGACGCACCTAGTTTTTAGAGGAGGAAACCCAGAAAAAAAAATATTCTGAACAAACTGTTCCATAGTGTTTCTTACCATGGGACAGTTTGTTCAGAATATTTTTTTTTCTCCCCTGTCCCATAATGATCTTTAACCCCCCTTTCCTCTGTCCCATAGTGATTGTTAACCCCTCCTACCCTGTCCCATAGTGATTGTTAACCCCTCCTACCCTGTCCCATAGTGTTCTTTAACCCCTCCTACCCTTGTCCATTAGTGTTCTGATCCCATAGTGTCCCCCCCTCCCATTGTCCCATAGTGCACTTTCCCTCCCATAGTGTCCCCCCCTGCCCTTGTCCCATAGTGTCTCCCCCTCCCCTTGTCCCATAGTGTGTCCCCTCCCCTTGTCCCATAGTGTCCCCCCTCCCCTTGTCCCATAGTGTCCCCCCTCCCCTTGTCCCATAGTGTCCCCCTCCCCTTGTCCCATAGTGTCCCCCCCTGCCCACTTTCCCTCCCATAGTGTCTCCCCCTCCCCTTGTCCCATAGTGTCCCCCCCTCCCCTTGTCCCATAGTGTCTCCCCTCCCTTTCTCCCATAGTGTCCCCCTCCCCTTGTCCCATAGTGTCTCCTCCCCTTCCCTTGTCCCATAGTGTCTCCCCCTCCCCATCCCATGGTGTCCCTCCCCCTCCCCATAGTGTCTCCCCCCTCCCTTTCTCCCATAGTGTCTCCCCCTCCCCTTGTCCCATAGTGTCCCCCCTCCCCTTGTCCCATAGTGTCTCCCCTCCCTTGTCCCATAGTGTCTCCCCTCCCTTGTCCCATAGTGTCTCCCCTCCCTTTCTCCCATAGTGTCCCCCTCCCCTTGTCCCATAGTGTCTCCTCCCCTCCCCTTGTCCCATAGTGTCTCCCCCTCCCCTTGTCCCATAATTACTTACCTGTCTTGGAGCGTGGGCCGGCTTCACAGCGCGCTCCGCGGTCCAGGAACTAATATTTCAGGTTCCGGTTTCCGGCGGGACTGAAAGGAAGTGTGCACACTCGGTGTGCACACTTCCTTTCAGTCCCGCCGGAAACCGGAACCTGAAATAGAAGTTCCTGGCCGCGGAGCGCGCTGTGAAGCCGGCCCACGCTCCAAGACAGGTAAGTAATTCTTCACATTCGCTCCATAAGACGCACAGACATTTCACCTCACTTTTGAGGGGAAAAAAAGTGCGTCTTATGGAGCGAAAAATACTGTAACTTACAATTGAAAATGAATCCCATAAGAAATAAAATAAATGTGTTTTGCCTGCTCACTCATGCTTTCTTTAAAAATGCTACGTATATTACCATTTCTCCAAGGGAATGCAAACTTTTGAGCACAACTGTGTGTGTGTGTGTGTGTGTGTGTATGTATATGTGTGTGTATATATATATATATATATATATATATATATATATATATATATATATATAATATATTTCTGTTTACTGCTCCTCCTGTTTATCATTCTATCAAATTAATTTTATGGCAAGACAGGAGGCTTCATATTTGCTTTAACCTTCTTTACTGAACCTCCCAACAGCAAAGAAATAGTTAAACATATAGAGAAAAAATCAACCAATCAGGACACATATTAGAACATAACAGTCTGTCAGGCTCCTCCCAAATCCTCTTTCTTTGCTGCTTGCCTCCCAGGTGAGTCTATTCCAATTATAGCTCTCTAATATATATTATTGACCTACCTTATATTGTTTTTTTCCATATATTTTTTGACTCCTTTAATTAACTTTCCCTGTCTCTTTTATTTCCATGAGGTAATGGTGTGTTTATTTTATCTGTGCACTTTACCACATAAACCTTTTCACAGATCAGCCCACTGTTCAGTCCCTTCCCTGTGCTTTTTATTTATGACTGACTGGGTTTTTTTGTAGTAAAACCTTAATAACCTTTTCCTTGGTGAAATTATCTTCAGACCGCGCCACTGCTGTGGCTGCGGTCCGTTTTAATCACGCCCGCGATCTATTTCCGTACCGCCCGTTTTTTCGTGTCATTTGATTGACACGCAGTTTCCAGCCTTCCTCCTTCTATGCTGGCGGCCATCTTCTGTTCGGCGGTTAGTTTCCGTTTGCGCGCTTTTTCGGTGAACAGCTCTCTGCTACTGGATTGCAGCTCTGTTAGACGGTAAGGTTAATTGTCCCCTGCTGGTACATTTTGTTATTACATCTGAATATTACACAGAACACTTGCTTATATTAGCCTATTTGTGTTTTTATTTGCAGATTGCTCTCAAACTATACTATACAGCTCTATGCCTATTCGAGGGTGACCCCCTCTTGCCTTTTTGATTTAAGGGTGATCCCCTTGTGCCTCTTTATTAAGGGTGACCCCCTCGTGCCTTATCTCTCAGGGTGAACCCCTTATATATTTTATTGATTTGCACAGGTTACCCCTGTCATTATTATATTGACAGTTTAACTGCCATAATTGTGGATGAACCCCACTTGGTCCCCTTAAAGGTGACTGCATATTATCTGGGTGAACCCCAATAAGACAGCCCCTGCTTTTACTTGTTTTGTGTAAAGTTTGTTAATATATATAATAAAAAAAAAAAAGAATTTATATAAAAGTTGTTTAAAATACCTTTTGGTATACTGATTCTGTGGTGAACCCACTACTATTTTACTGGTCACCATGTCGGACCAACCAGAACCTGCAATGTCAGCAGAATTAAAAGCCTGGCTTCAAGCTGCAATTGCAGACTCTATCCCCAAAGCCTTGGCAGCATTTTGTGACCAGACAGCCACTACTGCCACCATCTCGCAATTGTCAGACTCTGATGATTCCAGGGTCTCTGACCATGACGAAGCCCCACGTAAACGCCCGTGGAAGGGTAACAGTGCTTCTGCTGGCAAAGGCAAAGCCCCAGCAAAGACAGCTAAATTGTCTCATGCCAAATGCACTTTGACCTCAGAATCTGACCTCTTTAAGGACTCAACCTCTGGATATCACCTACGAGTGATAGACGAATACAATGCGTATCCAGAGGAGGATCTCCCAGGTGACCCTTCCCCTTCTGAATTTGTTACAGAGACTTTCCTCCTACCCCAAACCCAGTCCTTTCAGGACACTGACCCTATGTCCACTACTAATTTAGACAATACTAAGGACGATATCCTACTGGATACCAATGGTTGTCCTCTATTTGACCCACGCTGCATCAGACACCCTCATTCAGCGGAATGGACACCCCCTGATCACATTGCAAAATATTGCAGATTATGGCTTCGTAAACCCTTAGAAAAGGAGATTAGGGCCAAATTAAGAGCAGAATGTCCACGGCCTATGATCCCTGATAAGGTGGCTGTCACCCCTGAACTTGACCCACTCCTGGTCACTTTTCTAACTAAGACGGGTAAAGATCCCCGCAAGGGAATCGAAGTTGGCTTAAAAGCCACCCAGGACAAGCTGATGGATATAGCAGGCCCGCTTATCCAGATTTTTATAATTGCTGATGAGACGCTAGCAGGAGGCAATTTTGATGCACACATGGTGCGTGAATGGGCACAAAGAGCGTTATGCCTGTTAGGCAACGCCAATGTAGCTATTTCCGTTGAACGGCGTAAAGCCGTGTTATATAAAATTGATGCCAAATTGGCAGAACTAGGCACCAAAGAACTTGGTCCAGAGACTAACGGACTATTATTCGGGGACAGGTTCATACGAGACCTGAATAAACACGTATCCGTGTTTACCTCCCTTAACAAGGCACAATGGAACCTTCGCAGGGTGTTCAGACCCCAGCGTTTTTCCGGGCGAGCTGGTCGCAATAGGGGCCGAACGACTGGCAGAGCTGCCTTCACAGGCTACAGGCCTCAACCAGCAGACTCATGGAATTCGGGCAATACCCGTTTCTACCACAAGCAGTTCTTTCCCTCTAGACGTTCCATCAGAGGACGTGGATATGCTTCCCTCCGGGGCCGCACTGCTTCAGGTAATCGACTTTCCTTATTCTCAAGTTCCTATTGCAGGTCGGCTAACCCTTTTTTTCCAACAGTGGTCTCTATTAACTCAGGATCCATGGATCCTTCAAACTGTATCTGGTTTCCATATAGATTTTGCAAACGACCCTCTACAAGAGTTCCCCCCTCCACCTCTGCACATGTCTCAAGAGGACAATGCGACTTTGGAGGCCGCGCTAAACGACCTTGTCGCCAAGGGCGCTATAGAACATTCTCGGTCCCCTCACAGATTCATAAGCAACATATTTCTGGTCCGAAAACAGTCAGGGGACTTTCGACCAGTTATCAACCTGAAAGACCTAAACACTTTTATTGTTTACCAACATTTCAAAATGGAGGGTATCCACCTCCTTCGAGACCTACTCTGCGAGGGAGACTGGTTCTCCCGTTTAGACTTGACAGATGCTTACATCGCTGTTTCCTACAGTTCAGATGGCATCAAGACTTATGGCAGTTCACATGCCTTCCCTTTGGACTCTGTTCCGCACCCTGGTGTTTCACCAAGCTGATGAAACCGGTCATGGCCTTGCTACGCTCCCAAGGGATTCGCTCCATCATATATCTGGACGATATCCTCCTTATGGCTCTGGACCCAGGCACTCTACGCCTCCATACAGACATGACCACAGCTCTGTTACAAAACTTGGGGTTCGTGATCAATGTCCAAAAATCCATCCTCACCCCATCTCAGGTGGTTCAATTCCTGGGATTCCAAATACATTCCGTTTTGGCTATCCTACAACTCCCTTCAGTAAAGATCAAGAACATCAAAAAAGACATCAGAAAAAGTCTAGCCTCTTCGACTATCCGCCTTCGCGACTTAGCTCGCATAATCGGACTACTCTCCGCCTCAATTCAGGCGATCTTCCCAGCTCCTTTACATTACCGAGCAATGCAACGTCTGAAGACTCGCTCGTTACGTCACTCTGCATCTTACGATCAACAGATCTCCTTGACAGACGAAGTCCGACTAGAATTGAACTGGTGGCTACACCATATGGAAGCATGGAATGGGAGAGCGATCTTTGGATCACAGCCAGATTACATCCTAGAATCAGATGCCAGTATTCTAGGCTGGGGTGCATCATGCGCAAATCTCTCTACCGCAGGTCCTTGGTCCCCATCAGAACGGGCATTGCACATGAATTGCCTCGAGTTGATTGCCGGGTCCTTTGCGATTCGCAGTTTCGCAAAGGACTCCTACAATTGTTCCCTAGTACGGAGAATGGACAACATCTCAGCTGTTCAATACGTGAATCGTTTAGCGGGATCCCGTTCCAAAATGCTCTCAGACCTCACAAAAGAACTATACCAATTTTGTCTGGACAGGAACATCTCCCTGCGAGCGGAGTATCTACCGGGTTCCGACAACTTAGTCGCAGATTGGTTCTCTCGACACTGGAGAGACTCCAGCGACTGGCAATTGGACTCACACGTTTTTTACCGTCTCCATCTTCTTCGGGGTCCATTCAATATCGACCTATTTGCATCTCGTCTGAACCGACAGACGGACACTTTTTTCAGTTGGTTGCCGGATCCGACCTCTCTGGCAGTAGACGCCTTCCTTCAATCTTGGCCAATGACCGGCGCTTATGCCTTCCCTCCGTTCTCCATGATCCTTCGCACTCTCCATCATCTCAGGACTCAGGGGGCCACAATAACACTGCTGACCCCTTTGTGGCATACCCAGCCATGGTTCCCAATCTCTTGGAGATGTCGGTGAATTATCCACTACTGCTACCTGCCACGCACGATCTTCTCAAAGATCCCGCAGGCAATTTTCACCCTCTTACGTTGCAGGGTCATCTCCAGCTAGTGGCCTGGACTGTTTCAGGGGATCCTGGAATGCCGCAGGACTTTCGGAGACTGCTAGAGCACTCTTATGGGACTCATGGGCCCCCGGGACTAGATGCTCTTACCTCTCAGCCTGGCGAGTTTGGCATCGCTGGTGCTTGGAAAGGTGTATTGATCCCGTTTCAGCTTCTTTGATTAACGTCATGAACTTTCTGTCCTCTCTTTTTGATCAAGGTAAATCCTACAGATCCATTAATGTGTTTCGTTCAGCAATTTCGGCAGCTCATGGCCCCATTGATAATACAGCAATAGGTAAACACCCCTCCATCTGTAGACTGTTGCGTGGCATTCGTCTTGCTCGACCTCCTGTCCCAAAATATTCTCATTTTTGGGATGTTGCTCTTGTTTTGTCCTTCCTAGAGACTTGGCCACCCAATGAAGCACTCTCTTTACGACAACTGTCGGCCAAATTAGCTTTTCTCCTCTGCTTGGTTTCTTTTAGGAGAGTCTCTGATATTCAGGCATTTGACTTTCACGCTATTGAATTCACGCCCCAAGGTGTATGTTTCAACATTTCTCGCCGCACTAAAACTAATTCCTTAACGATTACTTACCTTTATTTTTCCGACAGACCATCGCTTTGCGTTGCTCGTTGTGTCCAACACTACGTCGCCTCTACATCACCTCTACGTCCCCCTACGGGCCCCCTGTTTATCTCATATGTGCGACCACACAAGCCAGTGTCTTGTCCCACGATTGCCCGCCGGATTAAATGACTTCTAGATTCAGCGGGCATAGATTCATCTTTTGGCGCTCATTCTGTCAGAGGCACTGCTGCCTCTTCCGCCTTTATAGCTGGGGGATCCCTTGCAGACATCCTAAAATGCGCTGATTGGTCTAGAGAATCTACCTTCCGTACCTTCTATTTTCGACAATCGTCCCATGCTTCTTTTTCTTTGGTTTCCACGCTTTAAAACAGCAAATATGAAGCCTCCTGTCTTGCCATAAAATTCGGGATTATTCTAGCTTTAGTGACTGAATAATCTAAATTTTATTAAAGACAGGAGGCGAATATTTTCCCACCCTATTGCTCTCCCACCCAGATTTTTTTCAGATCACATGTACTCTTAAATTTTTTTCTAGGTTTCTTGTGAGACTTTATATTTATCTGACTGTTTTTCTTGTTTGCTCTGTTTAGGTGCTTATCAATCTGCCTGGTTCTGATTATTTTAAATTTTGCAATAGTTATACTCGTAATATCCAGGGGGTAGATCTGTAAATGTAGATATCTTGCGGACACCCAGTCCAAGTGACCATACTTTCACGATCTTTCTCTGTCTTTTAGTGTGAAGTTTCTCTACATGAGCCACGAAGACTACGTTCCTTTGGTCTCTAGTATCGGCTGCGTTCTGGTTTACATGGTTGATGGATTACTCAAGTTTACACGGTTGACTACACTTATGATCGGCTGCATCAGAAAGAGGATTTGGGAGGAGCCTGACAGACTGTTATGTTCTAATATGTGTCCTGATTGGTTGATTTTTTCTCTATATGTTTAACTATTTCTTTGCTGCTGGGAGGTTCAGTAAAGAAGGTTAAAGCAAATATTTGCCTCCTGTCTTTAATAAAATTTAGATTATTCAGTCACTAAAGCTAGAATAATCCCGAATTCTTCTCCATTTATCTGTGAAACAAATAACAGGTCAATGCACCTTTCAATGTACTGCACAATCTACTGCCTGCTCTTGCTGTCCAATGTAAGAAGTCAAACCATTTTAGTACGGTTTGTCATCTTACCTGGGTGCCTAGGCACCTGCAGGATGTCTATTTACAATAAAGTATGGTCAATCAAGGACCACAGTTATTGTTTCAGAGTGTCACCAGGGCCAGTGCAGGGATTTTTGGCTAACTAGGCGAAAATGCATTTAGTCGCCCCCCACCATGACCCCCCAAAACATGCATCTTCACCTGAATGTCTCTTAATCCCCCTGTTGAATTTCTTGAGTCCCCTTTTGTGTTTTTTATCTTCTTTTTTGAATGTTACCCAGTTTAGTGTATCTTATCCTCCTTTTGTCTTACCCTCAACTTTAGACTATCTTATCCCTACATGTTGTATATCTCTTACACCCTACCCTTTGTGTGCCTCTTACTCCACTCCAGCCTCTTTTTGTGTCTCTTTCTACCCCAACCCCTTTGTGTGTCTCTTTCTACCTCCAGACTCTTTGTGTGTATCTTCTTTCTACCCCAGTCCCTTTGGGTGCCTCTTTGCCCCCAAACCTTGAGTGTCATCTAAATTACCATACATAGTTCTGTAGAGCTACCCAGATTCACCTCCAAGAGAATACTACAACTATGAGTATATGAGGGACTCAGATAAGTTGTCAAGTCATACTAAATGGTTTGACTACTTATGATGGGATGGTGCCAGGGAAGTCCTGGCACACTAACCACTTTATTGAACTGCAGTGGTTATGGTGCTTCAAATGTTCCTTTCACTGTGCCTGGATGAATAAAAAGAGGAACCTTGAAGGGTGTAATTTGCTGTTCTAACATGTTTCCTTGACCTTGTCATATATACATCTATTGAATGTGACAAAAAATAAAGAAAAAACAAATAAAAGATAAATTGTTTAAGCGATACAGTAAAACAATAGGCTGATATGGTGCAAATGTTAACACCATCTCAGCTTGCTAGCAAACATAATCACTGGATTTATGTTGTGACACTGACAGTCTGTGACACTTCCACAGGCTATATTCTACAGTTAACATTGATGTCCTACCTACTGGCCATGCAGAGTGATAGGGTACTATATATCATATTAACTGTGTGTTGCCTTTTAATATGGGGCTATTGCTGATTGCTGCTCAGTTTTTCTGCCTAAAAGAAGTACAGTAAATATTTTTATTTTTTAATGCTTATTAGCTATATTCCTGCAATGGTGGTCAAAAACACAAACACAAAGTTAATTAATGGATAACCAGGTGAATACAATGAGGGAAATCTATGTATACAGCATAGAAACATAGAATGTGACGGCAGATAAGAACCATTTGGTTCATCTAGTCTGCCCAATTTTCTAAATACTTTTAATTAGTTCCTGTCCTTCTCTTAAGTCTAGGATAGCCTTATGCCTATCCCACACATGCATAAACCCCCTCACTGTGTTAACCTCTACCACTTCATCTGGAAGGCTATTCCATGCATCCACTACCCTCTCAGTAAAGTAATACTTCCAGATATTATTTTGAAACCTTTGCCCTTCTTATTTAAGACTATGTCCTCTTGTTGTGGTAGTTTTTCTTCTTTTAAATATAGTCTCATCCTTTACTGTGTTGATTCCCTTTATATATTTAAATGTTTCTATCATATTTTCCCTGTCTCGTCTTTCCTCCAAGCTATACATGTTAAGATCCTTTAACCTTTCCTGGTAAGTTTTATCCCGCAATCCATGAACTAGTTTAGTAGCCCTTCTCTGAACTCTCTCTAAAGTATCAATATCCTTCTGGATATACGGTCTCCAGTACTGTGTACAATACTCCAAGTGAGGTCTCACCAGTGTTCTGTACAATGGCATGAGCACTTCCCTCTTTCTACTGCCAATACCTCTCCTTATACAACCAAGCATTCTGCTAGCATTTCCTGCTGCTCTATTACATTGTCTGCTTACCTTTAAGTCATCAGAAATAATCACCCCTAAATCCCTTTCCTCAGATGTTGAGGTTAGTAGGGTATCAAATATTCTGTACTCTTGCACTTATCCACATTAAATGTCAGTTGCCACAACTCTGACCATTTTTCTAGTTTACATACATCTAGTTTTTATATATATATATATATATATATATATATATATATATATATATAAATATATATAGAGCTTTGAGTTATCACTCTCTATAGCTATCTGTCTGACTATCTCTCTCTCTCTCTCTCTCTCTATCTATCTAGAGGTCAACAGTGGGTAATGAGGTTGGCTGACAGAGACTGGTAGAGGAGGGGGTAAGAGTGGTTAGTTAGGTTAACTGACAGGGACTGGCAGGGGAGGGGTTAACAGTGATAAGTAAGGTTGGCTGGCAGGGGACGGGTTAACAGTGAGTAATGAGGTAGCGATGGGCAGGGGAGAGGTTAACAGTTGGTAGTGAGGGTGGCTGACAGGGACTGGCAAGGGAGGGGTTAACAGTGGTAAGTGAGGTTGGGTGATAGAGACTGGCACAGGAGGGGTTAGCAGTGGTTTGTGAGGTTGGTTGGCAGGGGAGGGCTAACAGTGAGTAGTGAGGTTGACTGACAGGGACTGGCAGGGGAGGGGTTAACAGTAGTTAGTGAGGTTGGCTGACAGGGACTGGTACGGGAGGGGCTAACAGTGAGTAGTGAGGTTGACTGACAGGGACTGGCAGGAGATAGGTTAACGGTTGGTAGTGAGGTTGGCTGACAGGGACTGGCAAAGGAGGGATTTACAGTGAGTAGTGAGGTTGGCTGACAGGGACTGGCAAGGGGCTAACAGTGAGTAGTTTGACAGGGACTGAGTAGTGAGGTTGGCTGACAGGGACTGGCATGGGAGGGGCTAACAGTGAGTAGTAAGGTTGACTGAAAGGGACTGGCAGGGGAGAAGTTAACAGTTGGTAGTGAGACAGGTTAACAGTGAGTCATGAGTTTGACTGATAGAGACTGGCAGGGGAGAAGTAAACAGTTGGTAGTGAGGTTGGCTGACAGGGACTCGTAGGGGAGGGGTTAACAGTGGTTAGTGAGGTTGCCTGGCAGGGAATAGGTTAACAGTGGATAGGGAGCTTGGCTGACATGTACTGGCAGGAAAGGAGTAACAGTGAGTAGTGAGGTTGGCTGACTGGGAAGGGGCTAACAATGGGTAGCAAGGCTGGCTGACAGGGAGTAGCAAGGGAGGGGTTAACAATGGTTAGTGAGGTTGGCTGACAGGGACTGGCAAGGGAGAGGTTAACAGTGCATAGTGAGGTTGGCTGACAGGGACTGACAGGGGAGGGGTTAACAGTGTTTAGTGATGTTGGCTGAGAGGGTCTGGCAAGGGAGGAGTTAACAGTGGGGAGTTGGGTTGACTAACAGGGACTGGCAGGGGAGGGAGGATAGTGAGGTTGGGTGACAGGGAAGGGTCAACAGTGGGTAGGGAGGTTAGCTGACATTGGGTAAGGAAGTTGGATGACTAGGACTAGCAGGGGAGGGGTTAACTGTGTGTAGTGAGATTGGCTGACTGAGACTGGCAGGGAAGTGCTTAGCAGTGAGTAGGGAGCTTGGCTGACAGGGACTTGAGAGTATATTACTTGCATTACAGGGAGGGAGAGGAGCACATGTGGGCACTAACAGCAGTGCAGTCTGTGCTCAGGGCCGGCGCGTCCATAAGGCGGCACAGGCGGCCGCCTTAGGGCGCACCGGTTTCGGGGGCGCAATATTTCAGTGACCGGCAGGAGGGAAGCTCTCCCTCCTGCCAGGCCACCTTCTGGATCCCCGGCGCGGCGTGCAGAGCAGAGCAGAGCGGGAGCAGAGCAGAGAGGTTAGAGCTCAATTGCCGCGTCTGATCACAGCACTGCCGCACGCCTCCCAGCAGCCCCACTGGACCCCAGGGAATGATTCATCATCCACACCAGCTCTCCAGGTAGGGAGGCTGGGTGGAAAATGTTTATTTATTAAAATAATTAGTGAGTGTGTGTATGCATGTCTGTGTGTCTGTGAGTGACTATCTGTGATTGAGTGTGTCTGTGTGTCTGTGAGTGACTGTCTGTGATTGAGTGTGTCTGTGTGTCTGTGAGTGACTGTCTGTGATTGAGTGTGTCTGTGTGTCTGTGAGTGACTGTCTGTGATTGAGTGTGTCTGTGTGTGTGTATGTGTGCCTGAGTGTCTGTGTGTCTGTGAGTGACTGTCTGTGATTGAGTGTGTCTGTGTGTGTGTATGTGTGCCTGAGTGTATGTGTGCCTGTGAGTGACTGTCTGTGTGTGAGTGTATGTGTGCCTGAGTGTCTGTGTGCCTGTGAGTGACTGAGTGTGTGCATGAGTATGTGTGTCTGTGAGTGAGTGTGTCTGTGAGTGCTTGTATGAGTACTGCATGTGAGTGTATGAGTGTGGCAGTGTATGTGTGTCTGTCAGTGTGTGTTTGTGAGTGTCTGTCAAATCAGTGAGAGTATCTTTGTCATTGAGTCTGTGTGTAAGTATCAGTGTGTCTGTCAATGAATGAGTGTGTGCCAGATCAGTGAGTCTGTGTGTTTGTCATTGAGTGTGTGTGACTGTCAGTGTGTATACACCACTGAGTGTAGCGTGGTGGAACGCAGTACAGGAGCTTCTGTTTCCTGTACCCGGCCAGACTGACCGGAGGTGCTCACTGAGAGAGCACTCCCTGTCAGTCCGGCCAGGTACAGAAAATTGAAGCTCCTGTAGGGGATATCCTCCACTTGGCAACGCTACAAGAGAGGTAGGAGGCACACCAGGAAGGGGAGTGCGACCACTAAGGGGGTGGGGGGTGCACCAAGGGACAGGGAGGGGAGGGGAGAGAAACACCAAGGGACAGGAAAAAGAGGGGAGAGCTTAGAAGAACACTAAGGGACAGGGAAGGGAGGGGACCACTAATGGACGGGGAGAGGGGCTGGTTAAGAGGCACATAGGTGAAGATGTTATTTTGTGGGGTTGGGGGGGGAAGATACATCTTCGCCTATGTACCCAAAAATCCTTGCACCGGCCCTGTCTGTGCTGTGAGCATTCCTTACACTAGATAAGACATGCCTCTATTTTCATTGGCTGCAAAAGGTAAGTTTCTTTCAGTGACTGTTAATCAGGAACATGCTGAAATGTGAGAGGGAGGTGGCTAAGAAGGCTCGGGCTCTGTTAAACAGCTGAAAACAGCAAAACATTTTACAACACTGCAGGAAAATTATACAGAATTGAAAGAAAAGAAACTAACCACCGGTATTTTGAGCTTATTAGCTTTAATTTAAGCTTAACTTGTTTAGCTGCCTGGAGTGTCCCTTAAATTCCTTACAAATTTATAACATTATTTACAAATTAACAAAATTTAAAAAAAATATATCACATTTCACTAATGAAGATCATAATTTGTAACAAAAAAAATAATTTTCAGGTTACATAAGACAATATTTAGGCATAGAAAAAATCTGAGCACTAACAATAATAAGTATACAGAAGTTAATGAGCCAAGTCATTATACGGCAAATTTATTTTACAAAACAAGGGGCATTAAATTCTGAATTTTAGATAAAGACACCTAATGAAGACACCTAATGATTTATATCTACTTCAAATCATCATAGATAGAAAGCTTATTTGAGCACCTTTATTCACCTCTAAATGCCCTTGCTATAATTATAAAGCCCTGAGGAATATGTTGGCACTATTAATAATACTGGTAAAGACACAAATTCATGCCCTTGGACTAATTTTCTTAAAGGATTATTGCGTGGTGTCCCCAACCAGGTACCCTGTTTGTTTTCAGTTTGAAGTGCATGCCACCTAGTCAGCTGATAACACACCAAAAAAACTTAAACAACTTTAAACTTTAACAATATATGGCTTTTAAAATTCTAAATGCAAATATGGACAACCAAAATAAAGAATGAAAAAAAAAAAACATTTTGCCGCTAAAAAAAAAAAAAAATAGAACTAACTTTTTAAAGTTAAAAGAGTCTTCAAATAAAAATCCATTACTCACCTGAATAAATAATTCCTATGTAAATTGTTGTAAATTATTGAAAGCATGAACTACAGTTGTTTCCTGGTCTAGTATTCAACTTTGTGTTCTTGGTGTTCTCAGTTCCTGCTACCCACATTCAAGGCCGTCAACAACTGCCTCCAGGATCTGCCACGTTAGATGCCATGAAATCACAATCTCTCGAATTGTGGAGACACATGCCTGTGTTTTAAGATATCACGTGTCAGCTCATCTGTATCGGTAGCCATCTCTGCTCTTTAAGATAGCTTTCAAGATCTCTGCTCGTTGAGATAGCTTTCAAGTTTCAGACAGTTTAGCATTCTGTTATGCTTGTTACCACCTACCTACACCTGTGGTGCCACTAGCACCGTGTTTCTGCTTGGTTTCCATATAGTCCAATGTAACCTTTGTGATACACCTAGAACTTTACTTGCAACTAGGTTCCAATATGCAAAGATCTATGGTTTGGAAAATGTGGATTGTTCAATCCTATTACGTACCCAAACTTACACCATCCTCAACTTGTTATCCTTTAAGTGTTATAACTGCCCTGTTCTCTTAGGTCACTTAATAAGTCGGCATACGTGTCATCTGTCTCTCTCTCAATTTCCTGTGTGTTGTTCTGCTTTTAAAAGTGTATGTTCTTCTTCTAGTCTTGTATATCTATTGTAGTGGAGTTTAAAACAGCATTCATTTCCTATCAGTTTATGAGAACAGGTTTGAGAGAGCAGTTGCAATTGGTCTGAGTAGATAGACTTGCAAAGTTTTATTTGCTTTAGCAGTTAGTACAGAAGAGACGCATATCTGGTGGTTACCAGTTTTTAGGGCTAGATCTTGCTAGAGTTACTATCAGCTATACTGCTTCCAGGTTCTGTATCTGGCTGTATAATATGGGTTTTTGTTGCCAGACAGACATCTCTTCTCTGACAAAAGTAAGATGGTCAATGTACCTCAATCTACTAGTGTATATGGTGGAGCAGATTCTGCCAACATCCAGTAAATGTATAGATAAAAAGTTATTTTGTCAATAAGCATGGTTTCCAGTGCACATCTAATATTTGGACACTGAGGAACCAACACATTTTGAGCTATGAGGATGGACTTATATCATGGCAATTTCATCAACATTATGTATAGATTAAATATGTGTCTTTAAATAATACAATACATTATATCTATGTATTGGATGATGCTAATGTGAATCAGATCTATCACGGAGCAGTTCCGATCATTTTGGCATCCAAACCTAACATACATTATCAGAGTAGATTTGCTATCATACAGAATAAATCCATTTTGGTTTTAGAATAGTATACTTTTCATTAACCGTGACATTTAACATTATAAATAGAAGTAAATGACAAGATTTGTTTACCAACAATCTTATGTTATCAATATGTTTTATGTAACAAATTATCCTATCACTAAACACAGAAAAAATATGCTCAGCTCATTTAGACTAATTACCCTTCCTCTCACAATCATGTATATAAAGCTGATTTTGACAATTTCCGTAATGATCTCTATTGTATAAAATTAGTGTTGGAAGAGTAATCAACACATTCATGGAGTGAAGAGTATTTTTTATTACATTTTCTGAATGCAATTATGAATGAATTAATATCACCGTAAGCTATTTTTCCTTATTTTTTAAATAATTTAATTATTCTTTATGTAGCCATATATCAAATGTTATTTAAAGACAAGGAGTCAAATTGGAGAGAAAGAACATTGGAAGAGCTTCCTAAAATATTTTTACTTGCTATTGCTCAACACTGTACACAGTTAATAGCTTGTGTGAAGTAACACTAACAAAACAGTGACTGTATCTCACCTGAAGATCAGTTTAAGATCTCAGAGGTCAATTCATTTATATGCAGGCATAAAAGAATTACAACTGGCTTCGTCTAGTGTTGCCAACCCAGGCCTCAATTTCAGAAAGTTGTCTTTAAGTGTATCACATGGAAAAGCTCTAGCGTTGAATGAGACGGTTGCCTCACTCTGCTTGCTGAAAAAAAGCAGGTAAATATGATTTATTTGCTTCATATTTACCTGCTTCTTCTTTCTTATGATTCCAACACCAACTACAGGTGGTACACTGATCTAACCAATCAGTGCCCTATCCCTAGGAATGCTGGAAAAGTTCATTGTGCATGCTTGACATTCTTTAGTTTGTATATTTGTTTAAAAGTGTTTGCTTGCTAGTTTAGAAATATTATTGTTAAGTGCTGCATGTCTCTTAAATATTGTTGGATAAGCTTTCCAAATAGATTTAATATTTTTGGGTAAGCTTTTAAAATATTTTTTCAAACACATTAAAATATAAAAAAAATATAATATTTATATAAAAAAATCAACATATTAAAAAATAACACAAAATTAAATATATGACAATTAAATTAAATCATTTTAATAGTTTATATAAAAATATTAACTCATTTGGAAAGCTTATCCAGCAATATTAAATAGAGGCCTTAGTTATGTTTTTTACTGGACTGTTGTATGATCGATGTACTGTATGTAATGTGATACATGAGCATAACTGACAGGTCAACCACTAAGGAAAATCAATTAATTTATCACATAAGACTTCCCATAAGAAACACTGTAATTAATCAGTTTTACAAACTGCCATACGGCACAATTTATATGCCTACCAATAACATGTAGGATTTAAACAGTCTAGCAGGAAACACAAACAATGTTTCAACTCTAGTTGAAACCAGTATAGTGTGATAGAACAATCAGATATATGTAAAGCACAGTAGCAGTTTTTGAACAATAAGATATCAACAGGAAGTAAAAAAAATCAAGGGGTTAATTTTGTAACTTGTGCAATAAAACAGCCTAAATGATAAAGATTTGCACGTTTGATGTAGTCTAGAAAACAAGACAACCAGCATAGAAATTGGTAAATAAATAAATAAAAACCCAGACCATCATTAACCAAGGGGATCCTGTAAAATACAGCATTTGCTTGATTATAAGACAACCCTGATTATAAGATGACCACCTCAAATTTTGGATCTTGTTGGATAAAAAGAAAAATCCTGAATATAAAACTACCCTATGGGAATAAAATTCAAATACACAATAACACAGATACACAATAACACAGATACACAGACACACACACACTGCCACACAAGCAGATACCAAATCACACATCATGACACACATGTATATACACAGTCACACAGATACAGACACATGCACACATACATACACACAGTACACACAGATGCACACATATGCATATATATATACACACAGTTAGATACACAAACACATAGATACACAGGCACATACAGACACACACACAGATACACAGACACACATACAGACACACATGCACACAGACACATACAAACACACGGATAGATAAACGGATACAAAGTCACACATAATGACACACATGCAAATATACACAGACATATACAGACACACACACATACACACACACATATGCACACATATAGGGTGACTCACTGGTGTATGGCTTACGGGTAATTTGTTTATCCTGGTCCTTATTAGTGTGTGTGGTTTTTTTTTATCTCTTAATGCTACAGAGTTATGCTACCTAGTTCGATATCCATTTGCCCCAGAACTAGTAATAAAATCAGTTTTACTTTACTTACTACCCCCATGCGTTGATGTCTATGCAGCTGCCCTATCTACTCAGCTGAGATCCTAAGTTCTTATTATCTCAGCCGATCTAATTTTCAAGTTGTTTTGGAGACTAAATAGTCCCTTTAATCTCAAACCCAGCTCATCACTAATTTATTGGAATAGATGGCTATTAAATAATTACAATAGAAATTGATTGAAGTGATGAACTCATGGTGAGGAGTTGAGGACTTTCTTCCATGAATGTTCCAATAGAGTCCTCCACTCTCAGAGACCCAGAGCCTACTTCTAAGAACAATTTGCATAATGTTCCATTATAGTTCCATGAAAGCCACAAAAACAAGAACATTAATCAAAATTAGAAGTTACATAATACAATAAATGTTACACATGTAATGTCTTAATATAATAGGAGCCAGCACAATGTATGTATATTTCAAATTTAGAAAGATTCACATGTAGATTAATTTGCATGTGGTATATTAACACAAATGTAAATTCCATCTTTACCATGGTTTTTTGACATTGAAGTTACTTGCAGCATTATTTATATAACATTGCTATAAGACAGTTTTATAAAATGTATACCTACACTCCAGGTGGCTCACCGAGGGATAAGCTATGTGTACTGTCCAAGTACTTTTTTCTGTGTTTTTCTAAGTATGTTGTGCCGATTTCTGGCTTTAGGTAAGGTTTTAGAGATAATATAAAGCAAAGTAATTTAAGAACCCTTGCAGTAGCACTACATATTGTAATAGAAAGCTATCAGGAAACAGGTAAAGATATTATATGTTAGTGAGGACTAATCTATTAAACCTCCACCTGCTTTTCATTTTATCCTGAACACAGAAAACAAGTGATGTCTCTTGAGCAGAGAGCAGTGGCAGGTGTTTACATAGAAACATAGAATGTGACGGCAGATAAGAACCATTCGGCCCATCTAGTCTGCCCAATTTTCTAAATACTTTCATTAGTCCCTGGCCTTATCTTATAGTTAGGATAGCCTTATGCCTATCCCACGCATGCTTAAACTCCTTTACTGTGTTAACCTCTACCACTTCAGCTGGAAGGCTATTCCATGCATCCACTACCCTCTCAGTAAAGTAATACTTCCTGATATTATTTTTAAACCTTTGTCCCTCTAATTTAAGACTATGTCCTCTTGTTGTGGTAGTTTTTCTTCTTTTAAATATAGTCTCCTCCTTTACTGTGTTGATTCCCTTTATATATTTAAATGTTTCTATCATATCCCCCCTGTCTGGTCTTTCCTCCAAGCTATACATGTTAAGATCCTTTAACCTTTCCTGGTAAGTTTTATCCCGCAATCCATGAACCAGTTTAGTAGCCCTTTTCTGAACTCTCTCTAAGGTATCAATATCCTTCTGAAGATACGGTCTCCAGTACTGTGTACAATACTCCAAGTGAGGTCTCACCAGTGTTCTGTACAATGGCATGAGCACTTCCCTCTTTCTACTTCTAATACCTCTCCCTATACAACCAAGCATTCTGCTAGCATTTCCTGCTGCTCTATTACATTGTCTGCCTACCTTTAAATCATCAGAAATAATCACCCCTAAATCCCTTTCCTCAGATGAAAAATCTGAGATCTCTATTTCTACTAAAGATTCTGGTTCTAAGAAAGCGAGCACCACAACCACTACAAGTCCTCGACAGGACTTGTACTGGAGACCGTATCTTCAGAAGGATATTGATACCTCGACAGGACTTGTAGTGCTTGCTTCTGGCTGTACTTACACCTCTAATGGGACTCTAGTCTGGAGGAGGACTTGCATGTATTTGAAAAGGCCCTACAAGCAATGACCTCTGCTCCTGCTAGTACCGCCAAATCCAAGAAGTAACCTTCTGGACTATATATTGCTTTCCTCTTCTCGCCTAAGAGCGTCTTTGAGGGGAGGGTGATGTCAGGATCACCAGCATGCTATGCGCTAATTATGGGTATTTGGGTCTGGCTGGGTTTGAACCTGGGTCTCCTGCATCCCAGTCAGGCACATTGCCCTTGACTCCATGCATCTCTAAATTTGATAAATTTGTACCAAGAGCAAATAGCCAACATGTGTTCTCTCATACAGTAATTTGGTTACTGCAACACGTCATTCCATTTTAACTTATGGTTTACTAAATGCTTAGTTTGTAAAACTACTGATGTATATAACACATGATGAAAGGCAGACCCCAAGAAAATGTTGCGAGGAGGGCATGATCTAAATGAGACTACTTGCTGTGGGTGGTGTAAATCTCCACACCAAGTTAATATGGATCAACTTTATGATGCCTTCTGTTTCTTAGGCTTCCCATTGAATTTAATTATTAATTAATTCAACTATTATTAATATGTTTTAAATACCAGAAAAGTGTAAGGTGTCAGAAGTCAAAATTGTAAGAAGCAGAGGCAATATGAAGTTAAATAAAGAAGAAATAAAAGTGCAGAAAGTGCACATTGACATCCGCCTCGGTTGTATTTTATTCAAAAATGTTTGATTTGCTACTTCACCAAGGAAACCATGATGTGATCTGATGTCCATATTGATGAAATAGGGGGGTATACTAACTTACAGTGGTTTAAAATATTCAAGATATTAAATAGGGAAATAATTGATTTGATGGGAATAGTGTTGAGCACTATTGGGTGGGGTACTACATAGAGGTGGGCGGCATCACCTCTAACATGGCTGTGTAATACAAAAGGAAATACAACCATACAAAATTAAGTCTTGTGCTCAAATTCACCTAAGACTTGATAGGTGAGCTTACACTGTAATTAGAGTGATACTAAAAAATGTCCAATTATTTAAATGTGCATAGGGATTTGGAATAGTGCCCAAGGAAGTTTCTTTCATTTTTATTGTATGTATTGGGGCTGATGATCACTGTAGTCATTGCTGCCGCCCAGGAGTAGCGGGAATGTGAGCGCAGGGCTTTATTTCGTGTGTTTGAGTTTAGCCATGTTACAGTGCTGATGAGTTCCCTATTAAAGATTAATAAGTGTGTAGAGGTTTAGAAAAATACCCCTTGCTGCCTCATGAGAGATTCACCTTTTAGCTGAACGCAGCAAGGTGAATTGTTAGTGTACTACTCACCTAAGAGGTTTTGCCTTGACGTGGCAGGTGAGTTTACACTTTAATGGCCATTGGAGTTATACTAAAATCCTTTAGTTATTTAAATGAGCATCGGGATTTGGACTAGTGCACAAGTAATTTTTTCCTTTGTGTTTTTGTATTGTATATAATGTGTCTAATTTGTGGTACAGCTGTGGTGAACTTTGTAGTTAAGAATCAATTAGGAATTTAAATTCAATCCTAAAGAATACAGAAATCTAGAATAAAGATTAAAAGCAGAGCAGGCTTAACCATAATGTGATTTATTTGACTTAATGTCAGGATTAGTCATACCCAACACGTAGTACTTAAGTGAACAAATACAAAATATATAAAACTGAATACTAAAATGTATTCCTGGGCCTTAGAGTGGTCGGACTCAATGTTATATAGAATAGTATAGACGGACCGAGTTCTATAGAAGATTGAGAAAACAAGCCAAGATTCAGGGAGATAGAATGGAGAATATTCAATAAACAAGCCAAGGCCAAAATATCAAGAAGCAGTAATAGGAACGCGCTCTCGGATAACCTTTAAGGTAAACCACAACAGGACACTGAAAAATTTCTAATTTGAGTTTAAATAGCCTATTGAGGCCAGGGTTTCTGGTATTGGCAGTCATGTGTTGTCGGAACATGCGTGCGCAACATGTGCATGATGATGTGTCCGTATTTGGGGTTCAGAAGGCATATAAGGGCTCGGTTTTACAGCAGCCGGCCAAGTCCTTACAGGTTGCTCTCCTGGGGCCCCAAGGTAAATAAAACTGAGTTAGTAGACAGATCAAGGAACAGAGGGTTGGGAAAGAGGACACATTAAATTCAGTATCTTCCTCTTCAGTAAATTATGAAAATAATCTTTGGTCATGAGAAGAAGCAGTTGTTAGCACGCTACTGAAGGAAGAAGAAGTGTTAAAAAAAAAAAAAAAAAAGGACACCTGTCTTTTCAGATAAGCAAAGACAGGGTAGTGGGTGAAGCTAATTTTCCGGAGATATAATTGTATTTTTATAAAGGAATATTGCTAGATATAAATACCTGCCGGGTGCTAAGCCTGGCGTTTTAATATCCAAACAATAGTAAAAGTGGCAGCACTCACGGTCTTTAAATAAAACTTCTTCTTTATTCAGCAATATCAATATCAACGTTTCAGTCTCTCTCTGGGACTTTCAGGATTAATATATATGTATATATAGATATACAGTATGTTTTGGGGCTGGTAAATACGAGGTGATGGCTATATGATTTGAAAACAGGCAGAATAAAAATAAAGCCTGTACACAGTTAAAATGTTAATTACATCCGATGACTTAATGTTACATAAATTAAAAATATAGTGGAGACCTTCTGTAATCACCTCTTGGGAGCATCATTGCTTTACCCTCAATGCAAAAATAATCAATATTTCATATCTACCTCTCCAAAGAGGGAAACAATTGCAGGAACTGTGATGGAAAGCCTCTCTTTTTTATTCATCCATAAAAAATATAAAGTTATAATAAAAAATGTGTGACAGATCAGCAGTGCAAAATTCGCAAATATACTTACTACACCTAAAGGGCTGGAAAAAAAAGACATTAGCAAACATTTTGTATCTAAACCGATACCTTCATAACAGCTACTTTGCTACCTTCTACTAATTCAGATGCCCACGTTGGCTTGGCAAGAGATATCAGACATGAATTTATAATGCAGGAAGTCAGAGTTCGTGTGAACTTGACATTGTGGAATGTTTGAATAAGCATCTCAATGAATTTCAAAAAGCATGTCTGGTATCTGTGAACTTTATGTGGCTTGAAGGTGGAACTGTATGGACTTGAGGGATTTATGTAATTATTACTTATTGATGAAGACGCTACTGTTGATCTTTCTTGGATGCTTTTCAAATAAACCTGTTGCAGTGCTCTCCCATCCATGATCCTGTGTGAAGTTACACTGCGCTTGTGTGTTTATTTAAATATGCCATGGTGTGTTGTGTAAAGCTAAAGTGATGAGAACCCTTGCCACGTTGTATTCTACAGGAGTACTGAACATACATGGTTAATTGATTATTGACAATCATCATGCTATATAATGGTCACTAATGTCTTGATAAGTAAAAGAATGTCTTTGATGGCCAAGATAAAAGTAGGTAATGTAATAGTCACTAATGTCCAAGACATAAACATTTTTTTTTTCATATTATTAGCATTAAGCTAATAGGAACTCTATAAACAGTTTAAGAGGTTTTTAAGAGAATGTTTGCTCTTTAACCCCTTAAGGACACATGATGTGTATGACATGTCATGATTCCCTTTTAAATTCTCTTTAATTATCAGCTGGCATCTGGTCAGGTTGTAGCCGGGCGTTGAGGGAGCATTCTCCCTTGAGTTCTTCCTGCTCCCTCACCATCTGCCTCCAGGGAATAATCAACTCCAGCACTCCCAAAGGTAGGGAGGCTGGAGTGATTAAACAAAAAAAAAATCAATTTAAATTTTTTTTTAGTGTGTTAGTGTGTGTCTGTGAGTGAGTGTGTTAGTGTATGTCTGTTAGTAAGAGTGTTTGTGTCTGTTAGTGAGTGTGTTAGTGTGTGTCTGTTAATGAGTATGTGTCTGTCAAAGATTGTGTGTGTGTGTGTGTGTGTGTGTGTGTCTGTCAGTGAGAGTGTGTGCCTGTCAGTGTGTGTATGTGTGTATCAGTATGGGTATGTCTGTTAGTGAATGTGTATATCTATCAGTGTGTGTCTGTCAGTTAGTGCATGTGTCTGTCAGTAAATGTGTGTGTCTGACACTGAGTGTATATATGTCTGTCAGTAGTGTGTATGCATTTCTGTCAGTGAGTGTGCATCTGTAAGTTAGTGTGCATGTGTGTTTTGACAGGGAGTGTGTATGTGTGTCTGTCAGTTAATGCGTGTCTGTCAGTTAGTGTGTATGTATGTCTGTCAGTGAATTGGTGTGTGTGTTGGTGCATGTGTTTAACTGTGAATGTGTATGTTTCAGTGAAAGTGTGTGCTTGTTAAACAGTGTGTGTGGCAATGACTGTGTATCTGTCTGTAAGTGTATGTCGGCGCATGCATCAGTGAGTGCATGTGTCTGTCAGGAAGATAAATTAGGAGGGGGGGAGGTGCTCAAGTTTTTTGCATGCCTAGGGCAGCACAAAAACCAGAATACATCACTGGTGTATATATATATATATATAGTCTTTATGATGATTTCATGTGCTGCCTATCAGGGCATGGATGAAATGTACTGAGGAAAACACAGTGCGTTTAGAGACACTACTTATATCCCTTTGTTAAACACCTTATAAAACAGGATTTTTAGTAATAAAATTGCTGATTATTTTATGCATACACTGACGTTAAAAAGATTGTTTAGATGACCATGTATACAATAAGTTACAATGTAATTTTCACCTACTGTGAGACAAGATGGCTGTTCCCAGGATTAATATTGCTAATATTCAGTTTTATATATGACAGGTAAAGAAAGACAGTGTTGATTTTTCAAACGTTTGAAAGATAATTGTTTGTAGTGTTTAGGGAATCATTTGTTTTTTTAAATGTGCGCATTGTAGTTTTATGAAACAGAGAGGCGTTTATTGTAAACGGCTAGCATCAGTATGAACTTTCATTTCAATATATTAAAGGCTTTCTTATCCAAGCAGATGCTACATTTAGGCTGATAAAACATAAGCTGCAAAGCTCAATTATTAGTGCAACAGATGTCAAAACAGCTACAGCAGTGTCTCATGAGCAACAGGCATAGAATTACTTCACTGCTCCCATGTTAAATTAAAAATATATAACGTACACTTATAACACACAGAGAGGACTAGTGGTGTAAAGAGACGTTTTCGATTGTAGTTATCCTAAAATGTCTCACCTGTTTGATGGCAACAAGTAACTTCCCATAGCAGTAGACGATGACAGCGAAAGGAAGGGCCAAGCAGAAGACGAAGAGGCACACAATATATGATGTGTTAACGGCATCTTGAGAGTGCCAGTTCACGGAGCAGGTGGTTCCGGGTCCTTCTGGCCCATAGCTGCTCCAGCCAAAAAGTGGAGGAATTGTCCAGCATAATGAGTAAACCCAAGAAACCAGGATTCCCATCCAAGCTTTCTTGTAGTTTGTGACATCTGCTTCCGTGCTGCCTAACATAGTGCAGTATCGCTCATACGACAGAACAGCCAAGGACACAAGAGAAACTGTTCCTAAGGAGAGAGAAGAAAAGATGGCACCGTGAACTGTGAATTCGGTGGTAAGACCGTAAGATAGACATAATGGTCTGTACGTGGAAGCAGAATAATGAGTAATAGGAAGTGTTATATTTGTTTTTTAATAAATTCAGTGCAATCCTGCCTAGCCACATTACATAATAAATGACATTACATAGACAACTTCCTCTGTCTATCACTCGTTTCCTTTTTGACACCAGGGTGGGATCATCTGCTCTGCCTAAATAGCCAGCAGGAGTGCTATTCTAGTGACCGTATTTTATATCAGCCAGCTGCTTTGAACATCAGTTCTCTGATGTAAAAAGAAAAAAAATTATGTAGTATTCTATCTTCATCCTCGCTACCACTTGTAGAGATCCAGGGCTAAAGAAACACACATTCCACCCAGGACTACAGCCCCCAAGGCCAATTTAGCAACTTCTCAGAATTGCATTATATTTAAATGTAGCATAGTTATCAAAGACTAAATCTTTACAAATTTGTTTTCCTAAAAGATGAACTTTAAGAGTTCCTACTATTTTTTTTTTTTCATATTGATATGGAGAAATTGTATTTATATAATAACTGCTTAACACACCCGATCTTGAGCAGTGTCTGTCATTTCTATTCATAATCCTTAAATTATCACCCACATAAAGTTTGGTATGAAAACATAACCACATTACATCCTTCATTTTGTATAAAATTCTTGTTGTTCAAAGCTCTTTCAATCAGAGCTGGAGGATACATTTTATTAAAGACACGGAGGCTCCTATTAAGCTTCTCTTTCTTTAATTTTCCCTCAGCAGCGAAGAGAAAAAATGTATGTAAAAGAGAAAAACAACATAACATTAGCATATTCAACAGTGCTACTAATCAGTATCCACCCCCTTCAGTATATAAGGTGTAGCACTCTCTTCCTCTTTCTTTGCTGCTCCCTTAGACCAGCTAAGTACATTATTCTTTGTGAAATTATTGATGTGGGACTGCATATGTCATCCCTATTCACTTAGGGGCTTATGATTTGCTCCCACTAGTTTATTTTACTACTATTGTTGTCTATGACTTCTTAACTCATTTAAATATTGTAGTGTTATTTGTGTGTTTTCTACATTATACTGTATTTGTGCCCACTGGGTCCTGTGGTGTTCGGCAGGTCTGCCTTGTCTGGCAAGCCAGGGTCTTTTCCCCCCTCTGGGCGGGTGCTTCGCCCTGGCCCCTCTCCCAACCGGGAACCATTGCAAGGGTTCCCTACACCTCCTCGCCCCGTCCCTGGCTCCCTGCGCTTCCATGCGGTGGTTAGTTTTTACGTTAACTTTCGCCGTTCGCGAGCGCCGCGCATGCGCATGACACTCGTGGCGGCCCTCTTTTGGGTTTTTCTGTCGTCGTCCTATGCCGGCGGCCATTTTATCACTCGTGCTGCGATTTTAAACTGAGCTAAACTCTGCACACAACACCACTCTGCTATATTCACCCAGGACCTGGGTATTTTCTTTACATTTTCTGCATTTTGCTATTTTGCTCTCAGATCATCCTTACCCTGTGCTTGGATTAAGCAATCCTGCACCTTTTTTATCTTATTTGTTTTTCTTCCTTACACTCACTTACTGCAGTCATGCAGTCAGCTGGAGAGGACCTACCTGGCCACCCCAATCCCTTAATAGGAGCCCCTGGCCCTGACCCCCAGGCTGACCCTAGCCTCATAGTCTCCGGAGAATTTCAGAGCTTCCTGGATGCCATCATGTCCAGTTCTATTACTAAGGCCATTTCTATTACTAAGTCCACCAGCATCTCACAGTGCATTACCCTAGCCCTTCGACAGGCCCACCCTGCTCAAGCGGTTCCTGTACAGACGCATACCGTCCCTGAAGGGACACCAACAGGGCGCAAAGCACTAGGCAAGCGCAAACATGCTCAAGACCCCCCCCCCACACCCAGGTACAGCCTGGCTTGATTGACATGCCTCAGGCTGTCTGTGATGGCGTGCAACAACCGGGCAAAAGAGCTACTGGCCGGGCTAAAGTAGCTAGGGACTGGAAACGGGCGTGGGTCCCATGATTTACTGTTTGAATCAGACGATGGGGATGAGGGGTCGGATGACGATTACTCAGATCCCTACGGGGACGAGTCCTCAGGGGGTGAGGGCCTCCCGGTACACAATTCCCATCTAGACCGACTCATGTCAAGGCACAGTCGGAAACACCTGGGGCAGACACAGCCCATGATGCAAGGGAGACACTTGCATTCGACCCAGACAATTTGAGACACCCTCGCTCCGCTGAATGGGAGCCCTCTGAGCACATCGCTCAATACCTGGCTCTCAGAGTACATAAATCCTTCTCCCAGGAGGGTCGTAATAAGCTGAGGGCGGAATGCCCCGACCTATCATACCAGATGCAGTGGCAAAAACCCCTGAAGTCGACCCACAAATTGCCCAATTTGTGGCTAAGACCGGTTGGAAGCCCAAGAAGGGCCTAGATTACTCACTATGAAACTGTCAGGATAAGTTCTTAGACACTCTGGGTCCGGTCACTAAGTTATATGAACTGCTTGAAGCAGCTCAGTCGGACGAGGCACAACTGGATTTTGATGTAGCATTTGGCTGGCTCCAACGCCTAGTTTGTATGATCGGTAACGCAAACACGGCCATGTCTACCGAGCACAGGAAAGCCATCCTGCTCAAGATTGAGCCCAAGCTGGCTAGCATGGCTCCCAATGAACCAGGTGCCTCCGCAAAAGGCTTGTTGTTCGGTGAGTCCTTTGTAAAAGACCTGGGCTCATACGTAAAGACCTTCACGACCTTGGACAGAGCCCAATCATCCATCAAACGTGTCTTCAACCAAAAGGTTTTCGGTGGGGCCGGTAGAGGTAGGAGCCATCTATCCGGCCGCAACCCCCAGGGTTTTTCCAGACCGGGCAGAGGCTCCTTCAACCCTCCTAAACTGAACCAGGAGCGTTCCTACACTCCGTTCTTCCCTTCACGAGGAAGACCTTGGAATGCCCACGGCGGTCGAGGAGCATTCACAGGAAAACGCCCTTATGGTGAGTACACTGTTTTCCCATTTTTCCCATATAAATGTGGGGGGCAGATTGGCCTTGTTCCATCAGGCCTAGGCTATGATCACATCCGACAGTTAGGTGTTGCAGACTATAGATGGTTACCACCTAGAATTGACGGCCCTTCCCGTTCAGGGCATCCCTCCACACATGTCACGATCACATCACGATCTCATCTCTTCGGAGGTCAGGGAACTGCAAGCCAAGAAGGCTATAGAGGAAATCCCTCTAGATACTCCAGGTTTTGTGAGCAACCTGTTTTAAAAAAAAAGGGAGGAGGCGTTCGCCCAGTTATAAACCTGCGGCCCTTAAACGCCTTCGTCCAATATCGGCACTTCAAGATGGAGGGCATACATTGCCTCCGAGACCTATTCCTCCCTGGGGACTGGATGGTCAAACTAGATTTGCAGGACGCATATCTGACAGTCCCGATAGCATTACTGTTTACAGAACAATGTGTCAGTTATCGCGGAACACATTCCAAGCCTGGAAAATTACACCGCGGATTGGAATTCCCGTTACCTGAGGGACTCTGGAAATTGGAGACTTCAACCGAGTGTGTTCCACAAGATCGCCCAGTTATGGGGACCTTTGAGTGTGGACCTGTTTGCGTCCAGACTGAACACACAACTACCTCAGTTCTACAGCTGGCGACCAGACCCGGAAGCCATGGCAACCGATGCATTCCTCCAGGATTGGACCAAAGGCCGGACTTATGCCTTCCCTCCATTCAATCTGATTGCTTGATCCCTGGTGTTCCTCAGACACCACAAGGGCACGATGGTCCTGATAACCCCATGTTGGAGGTCCCAACCTTGGTTTCCCCACCTCTTGGAAATGGCGATTGATTGCCCACGGTTGCTATCAGATCACCTATCCCTTCTAACCAATCCGGACGGGGAGAGTCACTCTCTGATAGAACAAGGACTCCTCCGTCTCATGGCGTGGCTCCTTTCCGGGGACCCTGGGAAATCACAGACCCTGGGAAATCGAGAACAACTACACAACTCCTGGCAAACGTATGGGCACCGGGAACACAGCATGCCTATGCTGTGGCCTGGAGACAGTGGGCCAATTGGTGCTTGGAATGATCGTTGGATCTCGTATAAGCCTCTGTGAAGACGGTGTTGGACTTCCTGACACATCTGTTAGAATCAGGCAAAGCCTTCCGCACCGTCTGCTTAAGGGTGTTCGTTTCTCGCGCCCACCTAAACCTAGATATGGATCCTTTTGGGATGTCAACGTGGTGTTCAAGCTCCTGGACGAATGGCCCCCTAACACGGAATTGTCATTAAAACAATTGTCGGCAAAACTGCTTATGTTGTTTTGTCTACTATCCTGTAAATGGGTGTCCGATGTAAGAGCTTTGGATTGGCAGGCCCGCATGTTCACTCCGGAAGGAGTGTCAGTCGATATCTCACGGAGAATGAAATCAGCAACTAAGCAGGTCTTTTACCCATGAATTACAAATCTACCCAATCTATGCCCGATGCTGTGCCTGAAAGAATACGAATCTAGCACTTCTGCTCTACGCTCGTTTAATGATGGACCTCTGTTCATCTCACTGAAGAAACCCCATCTGCCTGTAACTACACCTACGCTCGCACGTTGGGTCAAATGGTTATTGGCTTCGACTTGAATAGATGTCTCGGTTTTCTCATCCCACTCTGGGTGCTATGGCCTCTAAGGCGTCGACGATAGGTTGTCGATTGGAAGACATCTTGAAGGCCGCAGATTGGTCTACGGAATCCACATTCCGGAATTTGTATTTTAAACCCATACAACACTCAGAAAGGGTCATAGCTCAGCTTTAAAAGAGCATAATAGGAGCCTCCGTGTCTTTAATAAAATTCCAAGATTTTACTATTAACATGACGTAAAGTCATGATTTTATTAATGACACAGAGGCGAGCATTATTCCCTCCAACCCTCCCTGGGTGGAGTTTGTGGAATTCACATGCCTGTCAGTCTTGGAGTGGGTATGCCTCTATCATCCTACCTTACAGGTTGGATTTTTCTGTCTCTTCTCAGATAATTGACTATAAAGTTTAGCTTATCACGCTAGTTTTTTACAATACATTTTTTCATGTATGATGATATTATGACTATGGATTTTCTCCAGACCTAGGTAGCCATATATTTATTGTGGTATGTTACAACCAGGTGTTAATCGAGATATTACCATATTTCTCCTCTCTTTTAGCCTGAATACTTATATCGGTGTGATAACGAAGATTTAAAGGACGGCTCTACCATTTTCCCATAAGGAAGGGATGTATGACTGCTATCCGATGTTTAAGTTCCGGTTCAAGTTTATCGTTCAGTTATTGGCCTTCGGATCGCTACAAAAAGAGGAAGAGGAAGAGAGTGCTACACCTTATATACAGAAGGGGGATACTGATTAGTAGCACTGTTGAATATGCTAATGTTATGTTGTTTTTCTCTTTTACATAAATTTTTTCTCTTCACTGCTGAGGGAAAATTAAAGAAAGAGAAGCTTAATACTCGCCTCTGTGTCATTAATAAAAACATGACTTTACGTCATGTTAATAGTAAAATCTTGGAATTGTTGATAACAAACAATATTAGATACAAACACATTGTAACACACTGTTTACTATAAAAAGAAAATCTGGAAGACTGTTGATGTAATACTTTCAATTGATTTATTTTATTTTATAATAATTTAGTAGCTATACCCCCAATGAAAACATGCATGCATGTAATTATCAAGGAAAAAGTAACTATCCCAAATCCCTGCGCACATTTAAATAACTGGAGGTTTTTTAGTATCACTCCAATGGCCATTAAAGTGTAAGCTCCCCTGCCATGTTGCTCGCAAGGATTTATTTTGTATGTTTGCATTTGCTCTTGTATTACACAGCCAGGGCCGTCCTTAGGCCTTTAGGCACCCTGTGCGAACAAAATCTTCACAGCGCCCCTCCTTGGTCATACCCCTTCATTTATGTGTAGTGTGTGTAAAGGAATGTAATGTTTGAATAGGGGATTTATTAAATGCATGCGACAGGGGTTATGGCTGTAAGTAATATGTGTGCCATGTGCTGGCTGTGTGTGATATTTGTAATGTGTGTATTATTGGCTGTGTGTGATATGCTAATATTTCACTAACTGTGTGTGATATTTGTGTTGCGTTTATTGGATGAGTGTGATGGGTATTTAATTCAGATAAAAAATATGCATGTAGGCCCATGTGTGAATGCAGGTGTGTATTTTGCAGATTCACATGAACACAGTACCACAGTCAGATGCACACAGTTATACACATACACTGTCAAATATAGCCATATGTACACAGTCTCGGGCACATAGTCACACACAGTTACAGGTATATAATCAAACACACAGTTACAGACAGTCACACACAGGTACATGCAGACAGTGACACACACTCACAGGTACAGGCAGATAGGGACAAATGCACACAGGTACAGGCAACCACACAAACAGTTAAAGGTAGCCACATATACACACTCAGTTAAAGCTAGTCAGTCACCCACACAGGTATAGGCAGTCACACATAGTCACAGAGAGACAGTTGTACACACAGTTACATGCAGACAGACACACACAGCTACAGGCGGACAGACAGAATGAGAGACATACACACAGTTACAGGCAGAGAGAACAGGCAGTCTCTCTCTCTCACACATGCACACGCACACACAGGTACAGACAGTCTCACACAGGTACAGGCAGACACACACTTACAGATTACATAGTTACAGTTACACACACACACACACACACACAGTTTCTCTCTCACACACACAGTTACAGACAGTCTTTCACACACACACACACACACACACAGTCACAGTTAGTTTCACACACACACACACACACACACACACACACACACACACACACACAGCTACCTGTTTCCATTATGGACTGTCTGGGGGGAGCACTGCAGTACCTGGTGTATAGGTGCCTGGGGAGCAGGTACTCATTCCTGTTACCCCACAGTGTCCACAAGTTCCCAGGCAGGGGGATCTGCCTCTGCTGACTCTGCTGCCTATAATGCTCCGCCCTGCTACTCTTGTAGCTCTGCTCCCCGACCTAATCAGATTGACCTGGCTGGTGGATAATTAAATTCTCCCCTGGTGCAGAGCGGCCACGGTACATGCAGCACTCCTGCATTATAGGAATGTTCTGTGCACTCCCTCACACCTGTCACACGGGGAATGTGTGAGCTGTGCCACCACACAGCTCACACCCCCCTAAGGCCGGCCCTGTACACAGCCATGTTGCAGTGCTGCTGCCCAACCCCATGTGTTCCATATTAATGATTAATAAGTCTGAGGTTTAAAAAAATTGTAAAATAACCCCCTGTGACTCAGAGATTTTGCCTTTAAGCTTAAAGAAGCAAAGTGAATTGTTAGTGTAGGGCTCACCTGAGAGGTTTTGTCTTGACATGGCAGCTGAGCTTACACTTTACCTGCCATTGGAGTGTTACTGAAAAACCTTCAGTTATTTAAATGTGCAGGGATTTGGGATACCGTGCAAGTAACTTTTTTCCCCTTGTTTTTTATTGTATGTTTAGGGGCTGCTGTGTACTATAGTTATTTCTGCCACACAGGAGCCGTGGGAGTTTAAGTGTAGGGCTTTATATTGTATGTATGCATGCAATTATGCATTTTTTCATTTGGGGTATATCTTAAAAAATAGGGACACAGTCATTGCATATAGAGCACTTCAGCAAGCTAAAGTGCTTAATGTGTCTGGAGTTCCCTTTTTTACTTGTTTGCCATTACCCATGGGTTACGGGATCGGGAGTGGGGGGGCAGGTGGGATTATGTGCCCATTAGCTTGATGTAAATATTTAGTAGGCTGGCAAAAGAGAAATTAAATACCTCCCTTATAGCAATATGGTGGTCTTATTGACACCCATAGACATTTTATTTACTTTTCTAGCTATTTAATGTGGTTAGCAAGCACTGGTCAGCCACCTAATAATTAACACTTGCTCCACCAAGTGTTTTTTTAACTATATGCCTCTTGGCTGCGAACTCTTTTTTTTTTTTTTGTTTTAAATCCAGGTCTGTAATTGAAGCATTTGGACGCTAGTCAATAATGTCTTGATTTTGTAATTCAGGCCCGGAATATGCCTGGATTCGGTCTGGATTTCGGCCTGCTGAAACCCAGACCAAATTCAGTTATGTTCTAGCCTGATTTGCAAAATCCAGAGATTGTTGAATAGCGTGATTTTGCAGTCTGAATTGCCCCATAATCATCCAAATGATTTTGCCCTATTCAGTACGGGGCCATCTTTGACAGAGTGGCTGAGGTGACTGTGTGAGAGGCGAGTGTGACAAGATGACTGTGCGTGGGGTGACTGTAACAGTTTACTGTATGTTGGGGTGTGGCTGTGTCAATCTGACAGGTGTCATGACATGTTCATTCTGTGCATATTGGCCGACTGACGTCAGCACACAATCCCTTTGAGATGCACTAGAAAAATCAATTACTTGTCAGTCTATTGAAAAGCGAGTCAATTTGCTTGGTAGATATTAACACAGTGATTTGTTTGTCCCTAGATTGACAGGCATTTGATTTATTTAGCTCGGCTGAAAGGGATTGTGCACAAGTCTATTGATTAGTTCTTGTAAGGATTGCTTCCTTGCAATCTTCCTCTATCGCTCTTCCTTATCCATAATATCACCTCACTCATCACTTGGAGCTCCATATCTCCAAACTATCATGATCAAGGGTCATTAGAAGCCAATTTCTGCTCTCTTTCTGCTGTCACTTCCACTAGGTGGCCGAACATTCGTTATATACTTCCTGACTGGGCAGTTTGAAATCCTTGATTCTTAATACTAGATGAGTCTAGTGGTGACCCCAGTTGGACAGCGTCCTCATTATTTTTAGATATCTCTTGTGTGGTTTACCTGACAAAGGCCTCTATTACTTCCTGTTCTTTTACCTGAATTTCAGGGAATTCAAAGTGGATTTCAAAATTTAGGCCAAAATATCTCAATTACAAAAATGTTGCATTTAATTTGAATTCCCAGCAATACTTACTTTTTCAAATTATGACAAAGGCCACATGGCATAGTCAAAACGATGTCACTTTCCTTGGAACAATTAAAGTCCTTGGAACAATTAAAGTCTACTTCTGTGCCCGGACTCCCTTTTAGAATTATTACTAGAGGGTGTGGTGCCGTTCCGGTTTGTGAGAGCATGTTGGATATTAATGGATGTGTATGAATGATTGCCTCTATATCTGTAATAATTTGGGGCATAGTGAATAAAATCTTGAGACTTAAAAAAGTAACTCATGTAAAATGTTTTCAGTTCACATAACACCTTGAACGTTATGCTTCAATAAGCAACTTTCAAATCATCCACCATAATCAGCAGTGCTCTCTTTTAGAAGACAAAAACAAAAAATGTACGCGTATGTTCTGCCCCTTGGCAGCACTAGACACCTCCCATCAAATCCAAACACCTTCCTGAGCTTGAGGCCACCAAGGAACTCATCACAGTGTTAGTCACTAAAGACTGGAATTTTGTGAATTAAATCCAAATGGAAAAATAACAGATTTGCAAAAATTCTACAATTCAGCCACCCACACATCTTCCCTCTATTTTACCATTAGGGTGTGATTTGTAAAAATTCTGAATTTTTGATAACCCTGCTAATAGTTACAAGGAGATGTTACAAAGAACAATGTGAGGAACTATAGGTAGAGGCCAATGGAGCACATTCTTGGTAGAGAAATATTATACAAACTTAGAAATGGGTTGCATTTGTTTTCCAATTTGACCATTTCTATGTATTTTCTCAATTTAATTCTGATCATCTATCACAAAGCATTACACTTTTTTATACTTTCTAAGTTTTTCATTCCACTGTTATTTCTAGAATAAATTCATCATTTTTGAAACTGCATATTCTATCATAATTATGATTAATTCCTTTTTTTCATTCTTGAATTTAATATGCTCACATTTATCACTCCGGTCTGTACTTGATAATAATTTACACCATTCCCTCAATGGAAAATCCATGCGGCAAGAGTTTATTTCCATCTTTTGTCTTCCTTCCAATGTTTGAATTTCATTTTTCTGCCTCTATTCCATATTTCATTCTTATCACATACATTTTCAGGTTCACTAAAAATGACACACTTTTTTTTTCTTTTTCAACAAGAACTTGCCAGCCGACATTAATTTAAATTGCAATGAAACCTGGAAAAATTATCACTAAATCTCTCCTAATTGCTCTCCTGTTTCTGGGTCAACAAATATCTGTCTCTTTGCATTCCTTCTTTTCTTAGATAGCTCACCTGGCTAATTTGGGATCTGTGTCAATGCACCAGTTTCTCTTTTTTTTTTGTCTACTTCTAGAGATAGCATGGAAAGTCATCAAAAAGTGCAGTTTGGGTGCATAATTCATACTTTCATGACCAGCATTGCATATTAAGGTTAAAAGCTTGCCTTTGTCTCTGATCCCATGTATAAATAGGGTAGAATGCATTTTTAATATGAAAATTAAAATAAAACAATCCTTTCCCTGGCGTTACAGCCATATGAAGCCCAGTTTGTCTTTGGACCACTCAAAGACAGGTGGGGATAATATCATATAAAAAGGAAAATAAGGAAATTCCTCTTGGGTACTAATATATGGAAGGCTGAAATAGATAGGTGCAGTTGTTAAAACATAATGATTAAATATCTTTTGTATAGAACAGGACAAAAATGTCATCCAAATGGTTAAACCAACAGGCTTTACTATAGTGGCCTATAGTGTATTAACCGAGAGTTGTCCTGACTATACAGATAGCAGCTGCATGCTGCTATTGCTGTTAACAGATAGGAGACTCAATTCCAAAACATAAAAAAGCACAATGGTCAAAGGGAATGGGTGTCCAAGTAAATTATGGCAAAAAATAAGCCTAAACCTCTGCAGTCCAAAATTTAGACCTTGGTACTATAAAGTAGATAGAGATAAATCAACTAAACTGTTACTTGGTATATGAAACTATAAAGGGGGGTGTGTGTGGTCCAAATTAGAACCTAAGTACTATACAATCAAATAGCAAGATAATAGTATATAAAGAGGTGAAAGAGACATCCACCAACAGCTGATTGTAAGTTCTAGGTGGATGGGATGTAGTGGAACAAAACATTCAGAATAATGCTATCGGACATCGGCCATGGAGGCTAGAAATATCCTGAGACACCTTCATAGTTGTCATTTAACTACATTTCCCTAGAGCTATAAATGGCTCTTGCAATCTTGTCTTTAATGCTATAGAATCACAGCTATAACAGCTAGAGATTCCCTAAGACACTTGGAAGGATGCCAATAAGGCTGTATATCCCTATAGCTGTAAGTAAAAAAGGCTCTGGTCTCCTGCCCCCATATTACCAAGTCCCCACACCCCCATATAGCTCTTCCTCATTACGGACAAAACATAAACAAAGTGAATAAACAAGTGGTCAATTAGTGCGTGGTGCTAAAATAGTGGGGTGTTCCCGACGCGCGTTTCGGTGCTTTAGTTGCACCTTCGTCAGAGGAGGAAATTTGAATTTGTCGGTCACTGGTTTTTAAAGGGCTTTAGAGTCTGCCCTCATTTCCATATTATCCTATCATACCTCAGTAAATTCCTCAAGCCCGTCTGGGTGGAATCGAGCTACCAGGGTTCCCTGATGATGTCATCATATGGATGTATCTTTGGAACACCCCTCTCATTACAATTACTTATATACTTAGTATTAGTGGCAAAGAAACAAAGTTGCAGGTAGAAAGAAAGGATACAAACATAGTATCTTTATAGTTGGATATGTATAAAATCTCTCATATGTTTCCCCCCATATTGTAATATTAAATTTTATCTTGAGTTTTCCAGAGATGTTTGTAGATATAGTATTATGTTATGTATTACCTAACCAAATAGGCTAAAGACAATATTCTGACAATATCGGTCCTCTGTGAAATAAAGTATCTCTATATCATAGAGTATTGTGACTCTTCACATTGGATCGTAATTTGATGTAATTTCATTGCGGCAAAAAGTGTGACATTTCGTAGTCCCTGATTTTAATTTCCGTTTATGATTATGTTTAAAAAGCACTTAAATGTTATTCCAAGGGTGTATACTTTGAAAATACTTAAAAAATATTGTAGGGAGGAATCCAGTGCTTTGGTAATGTCTATATTCTAAACATAAAAGGTTGAAAAGAAGATCATATGTTTTGCAAGAATCTTGTTTGCTAAACAGTGGATTGAAGTTGCCTTCTGTTTATCCACCTCCAATGTGCTATAACTGAAGACTCACAATACCATCATCTAGAGAGGTGAAGGAGAGATATTGGTATGTAGGAAAGAAAGGCAAGAAAGAGAATTATTAGGGATGGATGGTTTAGTATACAGGCTAGAGTATATTCCTGTATGTAAATGGTATATGCATGCAGTGTTTGTAATTGCTTTTTAGATAACAAGATAATGGTCCAGTTCTTGGAATTCCTATAGGAAGCAGAGGCATCAGTAAGTTCTGTAACAGTGCTTTTTACCTCTAGGAGGAAGCTTTACAATGTGTACAGTATCTGGAGAGCCAACTTTACAAATGAGGAATTGTTCACAGTTATAAAAGCTGTTAAAGGAACACACACAGTAAGTGCTTTATCAAGTGCTATATGTGTTCATTAGAAATTGGCATTTTTACAGTTGGGGACAGAAACACCTCCCTGGCTATCAATCAGACAGCCATGGAAGCTTCCTTCTGCATATGGTATCTGCATCTGGTATCAGAGCTAACTTTAACCGGGCCTGCCTCCCTCCCTTTCTCAATGAGCTAATTGAGAAAAATTAGAAAGCCATGGTCATAGCACACTCGTGGCTCCAGCACAGAGGCACGAGAACTGCAGCTTTTGCAAACTGTTTCTTTAATTCATAGAAGGCAGCAGGAGGACTAAAGAGCACAAACAGGTTAAACAACTGCAGTGGCAAGAACCATGTCCCTCTCCCTTCGCAGTGTATCTACTTGGTAAATATGGGTCTATCTTGGTAAATATGGGATAATGCTTGTGGTGGTCAGATATTTTAAAGGGTTTATTCACTATATATCAAATTAAAGTTGATTCAAAACTGAACTGAATTTAGGTTGTTACAATCCAGCTGTGTCTATTGCTTATCTAGGAATTATTTCCAAGTCAGTACTTTTTCTCCTACGCTTTGCAAGTCTGTTTCCTATTCCCTACAATTAAACCACTTCTGTGATAAAACATTGCTGACAGCGGGGTCAGTTGTGCAACTTTGAGGAAGATGCTTCAAATTAACAAAGAAGGTTCTCTATGAATAAATATAGTTTTTGGGACAAAATATAAGAGCTCTGGGATGCTGGTAAAGTGATACAAAAATCTTAAAGGAACACTCCAATCACCATAACCACTCTAGTTAGTTTTTATATGGAGTAATAGGAGGAGTTACAGGGAGAGGTTATATGGAGTAATAGGAGGAGTTATAGGGAGAGATTATATGGAGTAATAGGAAGAGTTATAGGGAGAGATTATATGGAGTAATAGGAGAGTTATAGGGAGAGGTTATATGGAGTAATAGGAGGAGTTATAGGGAGAGGTTATATGGAGTAATAGGAGAGTTATAGGGAGAGGTTATATGGAGTAATAGGAGGAGTTATAGGGAGAGATTATATGGAGTAATAGGAGAGTTATAGGGAGAGGTTATATGGAGTCATAGGAGGAGTTACAGGGAGAGGTTATATGGAGTCATAGGAGGAGTTACAGGGAGAGGCTATATGGAGTAATAGGAGGAGTTATAGGGAGAGGATATATGGAGTAATAGGAGAGTTATAGTGAGAGGTTATATGAAGTAATAGGAGGAGTTATAGGGAGAGGTTATATGGAGTAATATGAGGAGTTATAGGGAGAGGTTATATAGAGTAATAGGAGGAGTTATAGGGAGAGCTTGTATGGAGTAATATGAGGAGTTATAAAGAGATTATATGGAGTAATAGGAGGAGTTATAGGGAGAGGATATGTAGAGTAATAGGAGGAGTTATAGGGAGAGGATATATAGAGTAATAGGAGGAGTTATAGGGAGAGCTTGTATGGAGTAATAGGAGGAGTTATAGGGAGAGCTTGTATGGAGTAATAGGAGGAGTTATAGGGAGAGCTTGTATGGAGTAATAGGAGGAGTTATAAAGAGATTATATGGAGTAATAGGATGAGTTAGAAATAGAGATATTATATGGTATGGCAGTTGTTTGGAAAGATGCATGGTATGAAAAGTCTTAACAGGCATAGTAACAAGGGCATGATGTAATAGAAAAGAATATAACTTTCAGAAAGAATACAAAAAGTTGTCTGATAGTGGAGGATGTTTACTGAGTAATAAAATGGTATAGTTATAAATGTGCTGGATGACCTATCGCGTTGATGTGAACGATTTCCCTCTTGAGGCTCATTAAGCATTGCAGGGTCACGGAGAAGAACGTGTTAATACAGGTGGGATAGGGGTTTTGGGTTGTGATTTACACTATTATAAGATGGAAGACATAGCAATGTTTGACTTACTGCTAGTCCCGAAACAAGGTGATCAATAAAAATGTTTAATATGGAAAGTTGTTCATAAACAATGAATGTTTTACAGCTGAACTTTTTGAATCTAATACATACTATAATACTACATCTTGTATTGACTGCACATTACCAAAGTTAATGACAGGGTGAAGTTGTAAATAGTATTGAGAAATCCTTTTGTAAACATAGAAAATAACATGTTTATCTTTTTGATGCAGATCAAAAGCTGGACTTCTTTATTTGTATTTCACCACCCGTTCCCTGCACAGCATAAGTATGGAGGCTAATTGAATATCGCACTCCTGGGACTGTCTGCATGGATGCTCTGATTAAAAGTCACACTTTCTCTCTGAACCCACTAACACTTTGCATGCAGTGCACAGCAAAGTCAAACACTCAGGTTTAAAGCCCCCATTTATCAAGGCAGAACCAGGTGCAATTCTGGGGCAAATTGCAGTTATAGATTGTTACAAAAACTTTGGAACTTTGCTACATAACACCAGTTTAGTCTTGGTAACGTAGACCTGTATGTAATCAGAAATCTATATACATACATATGATCTGAAATATGAAATTAGGTGACAAATCTCACTTTGTATGGGACAAGCAACCAGTAGCTCTCCGGTTGTTGTTAAATATGGTTCTCCCTCATCCTTATCCTTACTTAGGTCTAAATGTCCAAATATTTAATTCCGGCAAACTGATTTCCTTATTTTGTATATCAAACCATGTTCTCTTTACTAGTGTTTTACCTGTGTTTTTTTGGTCTCAGTTAAGAAGAATTCTGTCCTCGTTAAAAATAATACATTTTCTGTTGAAGTTGCAACATCAGCATAACATGTTATGTGTAATTAGATCAATTCTAACATGCAGATATACGATACCTTTAAAAAAAAGCCTCTTGTCTTCAGTGTCCGACCAGCTGTTATCCAATTATATAACATAAAAGCACATATAATTTGGCTAGATTAGTGATTTACTAGGCTGCCTATTTCTTACAGAAAATTTTGAATTTTATTTTTGACCTAATTTCTTACTGTGCACAGTTGTATGCCTGTTCTAAACATTTTCTTCTGCCACCTCTGCCATAAGGCAGTTCAATGCATCTGCCACTTTTTTTTAAATTAATAAATACACGTGCGTAATGCCTGTTTTAACCCCTTGCACAGATCAAAATAAAGAATAAATCTTACCAAAAAGTGAGTTGATAAATCCATACCAGATGCAGCCGGCCTCTCCTATGAGCCAACGTCCCTGCGTGCTTGCAGCAAAACTGAACGGGGTCCCCAAGATGCACACCATCAGGTCACTTATGGAAATGTTCATCAGAAGTAGGTTTATGGGAGAACGTAGTATTTTGTAGTTGCAGAAGAGGACAAGTACCAGCAGGTTATTAAAGAAGCCCAAACTCCCAACGATTCCAAGGAACACAGCTACCAGCAGGTGGCCTGTAGAAGACAAGTTTTCAGTATCCCCTGTCCCGTATTGATAGCTGCTTGCCTTGCAGGTGACGGTACTGCTGTCACTGCAGCTGGGGCTAAAGCTTGGGAAAGCCATGTGGATAGTGACAAGAGCTCTGCTTCTTACAGTAAACACTGGCTTCTCACACAAACCCCCAGCATTAGGCTTTATTTATTTCTTCATTTTTTCTATCTAGGATTGTTACAGGAATTCAAGGTACTGTATGGGTTAAACAGGGATAGCCAAGTGAAAGGAGTAGAATGTAGATCCCTGGAAGACTCCACCATGTGGCCATTTAACAGCTGGATAAGCTGTGCCTTTTTATGTGTCTTGGATTTAAAGGGAGTGCGGCGTGCACTTCTCAGGGGGACTGTCAATCAGAAGAGAGAGGTTGGTCTCAGACTAGCCTTTATTGGTGAGAGTGGAGAATCCCTGATAGCTGCTGGGGATGTGAAAATCAACTTGACATGCTGACACCTAGGACTGCTGCTCTGAATATCCTGATGCAGCCACTGAAAGCATTTCATCACGCTGCACGTTAAGAATGTTTGCAAACTGACAAATAAATGGCACTGCTACAATCTTCCTGTTTTTTTTTTCTGTTTTGTTTTTTATTTCTATGTAAAGCAAACAAAGCATCAAATATTTTTATTTATTTTTTTAAATTAGAAACAAAAATTACTACTTGTCGGAACACAGGAAACCAAAATCAAAAGGTTCTAGGGATATTTTCATCACAACAATTGTGTCGTTGTGTATGTGTTTGTTTAACCCCTTAAGGACTGGACTGTTTTTGCGATGTTGTACATTTGCGACCAGGCATCTTTTTACACTTTTGTGGTGTTTGTGTTTAGCTGTAATTTTCCACTCTCTCATTTACTGTTCCCATACAAATTATATATTGTTTTTTCAGGACAAAAGGGGCTTTCTTTACATACCATTATTTATATAATCTCATGTAATTTAATTTTAAAAAAATGAAAAAATATGATGAAAAATTGAAAAAAATACATGTTTTTTTACTTTTACGTGAAAAATATTTTACTCATCTACAAAAGCAAATTAAAAAAACTGCTAAATAGATTCAAAATTTTGTCCTGAGTTTAAAAATACCCAGTGTTTATGTGCTATTTTTTGCATGTTATAGGGCTATAAGTACAAATAGGATATTGCGGTTTCAAAACATACATTTTTAAATTTTTATAAATAGTGACATTGTAACACTATTATCTGTCATAAATCTCTGAATAACACCCCACATGTACATATTTTTTTTTAAAGTAGACAACCCAGGGTATTCAATATGGGGTATGTCCAGACTTTTTTTAGTAGCCACTTAGTCGCAAACACTGGCCAAAGTTAGCGTTCATATTTGTTTGTGTCTGAAAAAAGTAAAAAACTAAATTGAACGCTAATTTTGGGCAGTGTTTGTGACTAAGTGGTTACTAAAAAAGACTGGACATACCCCACTTGCAATACCTTGGGTTGTCTTCTTTTGCAAATGGTATTCCATCATGGGGGTAATTCTCATTCCTGGGCTACCACACGCTCTCAAAGGCAACGTAACCAACCTGGCCATTTTCAATGAAAAATATTTGACCCATATATTTGACCCTCTAACTTTCAAAAACGCTATAAAACCTGTACATGGGGGGTACTGTTATACTCAGGAGACTTTGCTGAACACAAATATTAGTGTTTCAAAACTGGAAAACGTATCACAACAATTATATCATTAGTAAAAGTGCTGTTTGTGTGTGAAAAATGCAAAAAAAGTCACTTCCACTGACAATATCATCGCTGTGATATGTTTTACTGTTTTGAATCACTAATATTTGTGTTCAGCGAAGACTCCCGAGTAAAACAGTACCCCCCATGTACAGGTTTTATGGTGTCGTAGAACGTTACAGGGTAAAATACAGTGCTAGCAAATTAAGTTCTCTGGACTTTTGGCCTGGGTTGGCAAGCAGGTCCCTCAAATTGCAATCAATAAAATGACTTAATTGTGTAAAAATATTACATAAATACGCACGTAGAATTTAAATATATATGCATATTTATATATTTGAAGTCTATGTGTATATTTATATAATTATTTATGTAATTTTGTATATGGACATATGTATATTTTGTATTATTTTTATTTATTTATATATACATAGATATATATACAATTTCATTCTAAGTGTATTTTGATATAAATATATATAAATATCAAAATAAAGTTAGAATAAAATTTCATATAGATATATAATTTTTAAAAAAAAATTATTATTATTTTTACATTTTTTTAATTTAATTTAAATTACTTATTATTTGTATTTTATAATAATATATATATATACAATATATATAGTTATTATATATATATTATATATATACGTGTGTAATTTAATTATAAGTGTATTTTTATATTATATGTATATATTAATATAAATATACACTTAGTATGACATTATATATAGATACTATATGTCTATATATCATATATATATATATATATATATATATATATACACACATATATAATTTTTTTTTAATTAACATTAACTTTATTTTTTTATGATTTTACAGTTGATTTTACAGTTGCAGGGAGACTGCCTGTCAGCACAGACAGTCCCCCTGCAGGCAGACACATGGACACCTATTGTGACCATGTGATCGCTCTGTCGAGCGATCACATGGCCCCAGGGGTCCTAATCCGCTGTTGGGAGACTGCAGGCAGTCTCCCCACACCGGGAGCAACACGATCACCGCCGGGGGAATGACGGCGATCGGGTAAGTAACTAAGACCGTTAGGACGGTTCAGGACCGTCAGCGGTCGGCAATGTAAAAATGCCGATGATGGTCCTGAACCGTTCTCGGTCCTTAAGGGGTTAAGGAAAAAAATGAATTAGTTGGATTCATTAGGACTTCCAGCAGGTGGGCCGATGATCATGGCTGAGTTTTACAGCGCTTCAAGCTCAGCTCCATCTAGTCATGTAATCAAACAGATAGTGGGCTTTAATAACAAACTAAAGGTGGACTTTATTAACAGATATTTGACTTCCATAATCTGTCTTTTTCCATGTTTTTATCATTATTTCATACTGCTATTATTGTTACATTTAATATATATATATATATATATATAATATGGAAGGGTAAAACATTTATTATAAATATAGTACATAGCCTTACATATTACATGTGACAATACATGACGCAATGACTATGGCTGGCATAGTTTTTTTTTCTTTCTAGGGCTGCCTTGGCTGTGTGGAGATCTAGTGGATATGGTGATATGCACATGTTATTTTATATCTTGTACGTGAGACCAATAAATGTAGTTCTTTTTTTGTAAGTGAAGATCTACTCTATGTAGTTTTCCTTTTTCCTCTCTCCCATTTGTATATGGTTTGGATGTGAGAATAAAGAAAAAAGAAAAGATTCCTGAGTTTGAGGAGTTTAAGACCTACTATCAACTTTTGTTTTTGAGTGCAATACGAAATTCCCCCTGGTCTTAACACCTAACTGCATTGCACTATTTTAGTGTTTTATTTTTGTAGATAGTGATGTGTGTTTTATGTGTTATGAAGATTTAGAGGAATCTTTGATATTTCTGCATTTTGAGAGAAATAGCGTAATTGTTATTAATTTTATTCCTCCTTGTTATGAACGCTGGTATAATAGATACCCTGTTCTCCTATTCCCTCCCGAACTGTTGAGTGATTATAGCTGCAGTTCGGGTGTAGGTTCGAACGGTTCCAGACGAATGCATCATTCCAGTAGTTTCTCCCCAGCAAGTAGACAGTTACCCAAACATGAGCCTAGACTTCATGAAGGGTACAACAAGAATGATTTTAATGGGTGCCACACTGACTTTTATGCCCGACTCCATGCAAGGGGCATTCCCACATGGACCTTGTGGGGAACAGGGACACAACGTTTACAACCAATAATAATACAGTGACAAAGTGTCCCAATACAAACAGATAATTCCCTCCTCTCTGCCTGTGAGATAACTGAGTCAGCTAGAGTAATAACTCAATTATCCCCAGGCAGAAAAAACATATTTTTCACAAAACTTAGAAAGTACCCCAAATGTCATATCCCCTGATATAGGTGACCAACATATCCAAAAATCACCCAGATCAGTTCAGGGGTATTCGAATTTTATGGAAGTCCCATTTAGACCAACCACACATGAGGCTCCTGCCCAGAAACAGTTGCGGTCGGTCTATTTCGAAAAGTCACAAAAATGAACTAATTTATGAACGGAACCCCCTGGCTCATAGTAGCGATTGTTTCCCTGGTTCGTGGGAACCAAACTACTGAACAGCGCTGTCCTAGCTCGGGAAAAGGAAGCAGGCGTTCGTATAGTTTGGCCGGTGTTCGGGAAGTCGAGTGTCTGATTTTAGTTCCAGACACTTGAAGACCAAGTCCCGCTGCCTCCTTTCGTGAAAACAAGATGGCCGCCGTTTTCTCTTGCACGTGGCATTTGGCTTTACGAATGGCGGCCACACAGGGAGAGCACTTAATTGACGGTTTCCTTTGAAGATAATGAGCCAGGGGGACGGTCGGTGTTCGGTAGTTACAGCTACCGAACCAATAAAACATAAAAAAGTCCCAAATGGCATGCTATTTTCTTCACACTCCTCTCTGTGTGTTCTTTCACTGGTGTTGGACAAAAAGTGTGATTTATACCTTATATGAAAGAACCTGATAATTTGGAACCACATACTGACTTTTTCACTAAGGTAAACATACCTAAACTTACTCCTGATGAGAGGCCCTTGTCCGGCCAATATCTGAGGATGAGATAAGTCATGTAATTTCTGCACTTCCTAAGGCCAAAATGCTGGGTCGACATGGATTTAATTCAGAGTCTTACAAAATTGTAGCACAATTGATAGTTCCTTATCTCTAAGTACTGTATTAATAACTTACTACAAGAGGAACCCTACTACACACCAGATTTTAATACCGCAAGGATAACACTACTTTTAGAGATATCTGGGACTTATGTCTTCTTGTAGATCAATTTCACTCCTGAATAGAGAAATTTAAATATTTTCCAAAATAATGACTAATCGACTTTAAACCCCTTTGGCAGG